GGTTATTATTATTATTATTATTGTTGTTATTGTCCTTGGTACTGATGGGCATGCATGCAAGCTGCATAAAGGGAGAACCTTCTGAGCGGCTTCAACCGCAGGGGAATATTCCAAAGTCACAGAGGGAAACTAAATGTACTGCCAGTACATTAAAAAAAAGAAAGATGGGGAAAATTATGAAGAGGGCAGGGCTCATGGAAGAGAAGAGAAGAGAAGGGGGGCCCCACCGCGGTAATGGGCAGATGGGTGGCCATCCCACGGTGGAAGACCGAGGGGACCCATGCCCAGAGTCAGAGCGAGAGAGAGCTTCGTTCCGCTGCCCGGCCTTCAGCGCGAGGGGCTTCGTCAAAGCGGGGGTTGCGCTGCAGCAGCGCTTGCATCCAGCTCCGGGCTGAGCGAGGCGGGATCATATTACACCGGAAACGGAGTGAGAGAGTGAGAGCGAGCGAGAGAGAGATTATCGAGGAATCTCTTACCAGCAAAGGTTCGCTCTCTCCCATTGTGAGATCGCGGGAATTGTCTGCCGGTTTTGAGACGAGCACAGGAAGGGGACAAAAAAGATGCGCATAGAACGGTTGCGGTGTTGCGGACATCGGTGCTGGATTGAGAGGATTTTTCCCACGATTAATTTAGGGTTTTGGGGCCATTGTGCGATGCTGGTTTTCTCAGAGCGGTGTCGTGCTGGTTGTCTCGGACAGTGGTCTCGTAGAGGAACAGCTCGCAAGTGAGTTAGATGCGTAGCGTGGGACAACTATTCGGGTGTTTCTTTGTGTTATTTGATAATGTTAATATGTTTAATGTATATATATATATATATATTTATCTTGGGAGGATTGTGGGAGGTTGAGTTTGACTGCGGCAGAAGAGGATAGTGGGAGCATGGATGGTGGAGGAGTGAGGAATCCGCTAGCAATGGTGCAGTGATCTCTTTAGCGCGTTTTGGGGTTGGTCTTTGTGTGGTGTGGCCATGCTGCTGTGTTGGATAGAGTATGTCGTTTCAATGGGGATTGAGGAAGGAATCCTGGTTGTGGGTATAGAGAGTGTGCGGTTCACAATGGGAATTTGTAACATGGAGGAGTGTGTTATTGTCTCTCAAAGGGTTTTCTAATGAGTGACGTTGTCAGCGGTTGTTTGCGGCTCAATCATGCTTAGGCAATTGATTGTACGATTGAGATGGTCGTGGAACGATTTAGTTTTGCCCACTCACGGCTTCTTGATTGAAGCCATTAGTCCCTGGGATCTGCTCCTGCTGATTCATTACCCTGTTTTGATCTTGGTTGGGAGAGATCTGTTAATAGGTTTTGACGGCAGTCGTAGTAAATGCTGCGAAATCTTGAGTAGCAGGCTTAGATCATGTGAATTAGGAGGGCGTTGATTGGGAATCGTGCATTCCGAATGCTCCATAGCGGCAGCACTTCAGCTACGAGAGCAGCTAACTATTATTGAGATGCCGTATAGTGCGTTTAGATTTCAGAAGTTTAGTATTTCATTAAGCCATTTTTATATTGTTAATGAGTTGTGGTTTCTAATTAAGAACGTACTGGGTTTCCGTCTGTTCTCGTTGGCCGTTTCAGTCTACTCGATGTGATTTTTCTTCGTGATCCCTCCTTTTCATAGCAGGCAATGCAGTTGGACTTGAGAATGTGCTAGCTAATGCTAGAAAAGAAAAAAAAAGAAAAAAGAAAAAAAAGTAAGAAACAAACAAACAAACAGAGGGAAACTTAGTGTGTCCGGTTCGTTAGCGGAATCTTGTAGGAGTTGCAGGCGGAGAGGTATCAGCTGCGGCTTATTCGTGATTTTTTTCTAGGCTGCAGGAAATATTAGTTGATAAGCTACCTGATGAATCCTCGACCCACGTGGATTTTAAGTTACTTATGTTTGCCAGTCTACTATCCCTGCATTATCTAACATTATTTTTTCCATATTTGTTGTTGTTTGCAGTTCTCAGCAAAGCAAACATTGTTTTTTTTTTTTTTTTTTTTTTTTTTTTCCCCTTCTTCTTCGTTACAGGTCGTGGTTGAATGTGTAAGACAATTTGGTGTACACAGATATGACGCTACCACTGGCGCCTCCTCAGTCATTGGAGTGATGAAGTTGTACAAGCTAAGTCATGGGACTTCATATTCGTGTGAAGCAATGCATTCGTTTGTAAAGAGAGGCGCAGAGGTAGATATAGACAATCAAACTAGGATTGGAGTGAATTTTTAATAAGCATCAGAGCTAGGGGGAGGTTCAAAGCTCAAGATGATGGGTTCGTTGCCAACCATGACTTCAGATTCTGAGCCCCTTGTGCACCCAAGAAACTGGGATGAAAATGGCGCCAAAACCACTGGGCGACACTTTTATGAGGATGAAGACGAAAGGACGTATGAAAAATCAGAGCTAGTACACGTTGCTTTTGGTGAAGAACCGGATGTTGATGAAGAAGGAGCGGATCGAGATTTTCTTCCCAGATTTTCATGGAAAAAACTCTGGATGTTTGCTGGTCCTGGATTTCTGATGAGCATCGCATACCTTGATCCAGGCAACATTGAAAGTGATCTACAGTCGGGAGCAACAGCAGGATACGCCCTCTTGTGGTTACTGATGTGGGCCACAGTCATGGGACTTTTTACCCAAAAACTTGCCGCGAGGCTTGGAGTTGCAACAGGTAGTCATTTGGCAGAGCTGTGCAGGGAGGAGTATCCTGTATGGGCTCGCATGGTACTGTGGATCATGACAGAGATTGCTATTATTGGTGCCGATGTTCAACAAGTTATTGGGAGTGCCATCGCCTTCAGGATTCTTTCAAATGGTTGGATACCCCTTTGGGCTGGTGTGCTAATAACCGGGGTCGATGGGTACGCACATGCTCTTTATCTTACACCAAATTACATCAGAAGTATCTTTTGTCTTGTCTTAGGTCAAAATCGGTTAGCTTCGAGCTTGGTAACAACTCTCGTTAATACGATCAAGACTCCACTCTTCCATGTGTTGCTGGACAAAGTTGTGGATTCAAGGAAGTAACTTCTTATTCTTCTCTCCCTTTTTTTTTTTTTTTTTTTTTTTGATGTTGGCAGTGAATTATTTATTTATTTACTTATCGACAGCCGATGGAAATGAATGTATTGATACAAGCACGTAGCCTGGCTTTCGTTAAAGCCTGGTAGTTAGATTGCTCGACCTCATTTATGTGTTTTGTAACTGTGGGTTGTTTATTGTTGGTTTTATCCAGGTTCTTGTTCCTCTTTTTGGAAAATTTTGGCGTTAGGAAATTGGAGCTTTTGTTTTGTATATTTATTGGAATTATGGCACTTTCGTTTGCTTGGATGTTTGGTGAGACCAATCCAGATGTCAAAGCCGTTGCTTCTGGTGCGCTGAATTTTCTCAACTATTCTAGTTTCTGAAAGACGTTGACGCACTCTTCATTGTTTACTTTTATGATTGATATTGCATGAATGCCACCTGTGCTTTGTGTGCTCAAAATCTGCTGGCCACTTTTCAGGTCTCATCTTTCCGTCAGTGCCTAGAACCGCAGTGGATAAGGCTGTGGGGATCGTGGGGGCTGTCATCATGCCACATAATATATTTCTGCATTCCGCCCTTGTCCAATCACGGGACATAGACATCTCTAAGAAGAGTCGCGTGCGTGAAGCTCTGCGTTATTATAATATCGAGTCATCAGTCGCCCTTTTTATCACTTTCTTGATCAACCTTTGTATCATGGCTATTTTCGCCAAGGCCTTTCATGGGAAGGAAGAAGCAGGAGTTATAGGGCTTGCAAATGCTGGAGAGTATCTCCAGAAGAGATACGGTGGTGGTTTCTTTCCAATTTTATACATATGGGCAATTGGGTTGCTAGCTGCTGGTCAGAGCAGCACAATGACTGGCACATATACTGGTACGTCAATGATTTGATTTGATTTCCACAATCTTAATCATAAAGGTTATGGTTATTAAAATTGACCCATGACGAAGATCTTTTAGCTATCAATACTTTCTTGACATAGGAAAGTATGAGCAGAGGTGTAAATCAAGCTTTGTATATTAGGTCAGATCTTTTAGCTCGTCTATCCTTTTTGATGTTGTAAATTAAGCTAGCAACCAGAGGGTTACGCACAGGTTTGATACGGAACAGATTTCGTTGGTCTAGATGCTTTTAACAGCTTAGCTTAGAGCTTCCCTAGCCTAGAAAGAATCTCATTATCGTGTGTTATGTGGCAGGTCAATTTGTAATGACTGGTTTTCTTAACTTGCGTGTCAAGAAGTGGATTCGAGTGCTGGTTACGCGAGCTGTTGCAATTGTTCCGACAATCATAGTGGCTCTTATATTTGACAGCTCAGCTAACGAGCTGGATAATCTGAGCGAATGGCTAAACGTTCTGCAATCTATTCAACTGCCATTTGCTCTTATCCCGCTACTCTGCTTAGTCTCCAACGCACGAGTCATGGGTGTTTTTGTTATCACCAAAGTTACGAAGGTACTGAAAGTCCTGATTCTAAGAGTTTACATCACTGTTGCAAATCACATTTGGTGCATTTCCACGTTGGGTATATTATTAAGTTAACGATGCGTTTTAATGATTTTTTTGTATTCTAAATATGTGCATCAAATAATTACGATTAGATTCCATATTATCTTCATCTTGCGCAATCTGTGGTTTTACATAATGGAAATTCAAATGAATTGAATGTAATATCTTTGCAAATTGTTTATGTGGTTGCAGGTGATAGCTTGGACCATTGCAGTGTTGGTAATTAGTATCAATATGTACCTGTTGTTAGTAACAGTATTAAGCCGCCTCGCGAACTCTACACCGATTATAGTGATCTTAACTGTAATCATTCTTTTTTATGTGTGCTTCGTAATTTACTTGGTACTAGATCCTGCACAAGAGGACGGGAACTGGGTGTACTTCAAGCGGACATTTCTTTCATCTAGGTCAGCCATTTTTCTTACGTACTACGATTCGTACATGAATTTTCACTCCTTCAATGAATATTCTCTGGATAAGTCAACTCCCCTAATTTCAATTCTAAAAAGTGTGTTTGCATTAATCTTGTACTCCTGCAATGTTGGACTCTGTTCCGACCATCTTCTTTTTGTCAACTGGTTCTTAGAACTTAGCTGGTGTCTTTTACGTTAGTTTTTAACTACAACCAAGCCAAAGATTCATAAATTTTCGTTGTTTTTCAGGTTTGAAAACAGTAGAGTAATGCAAATGGGAGAGCAAGAGCTTGTGAGCCCTGATTATGGAGACCGGTGAGAATAATATAACATTTTTTCAAGCAATTTAAATTTGTTGAGCAGAACGTCCAGCTATCTTAGGCTGTGGCAGAGCATCCCGTGGCACAGGCTTGCGTTCTTGGCAACTTTTAATAATAGTAAGAATAGGGTCCTATCTTCATTGAGTACTCTGCAGTAAGTTATCTAATGCGCTTTGTCTGAACAGACTGATTAAACTTCGATTATGGGAATGCAGGGAAGTCATCACTTTGAATTCCGCGAAGGACAGCGACGTTGCAACTCTAGTGTCAAGTGCTAGGACATCGTAGACAAGGAAACTTGATTTGAAGGCTGAATGATTGTACTAACAATACTTTGTTTTCCTTTGAAGGTAAACAATCTGTGCAATAGTTATTTACATCCACGGTACAGGAGTTCTCTTAGTTGACATGAGTTGCTCAGAGTTTGTACGCTCGCTTTCTGGAGAACCCCTTTCCAAGTACGCCCTGCCATTTGGACAGCGGTGTTACTTCGAGGATTCTTTGGCAATAGTTCTGATTCTATAACCAAATCCCTTCTTTTCTTATGGAGATAGAATAGAGATCTATATCTTGATTTTTCTAGTGACTTTTTTGAGTAAAAATTGTGCACAATCACCGATGCTTGCCTTCGCATGGAAGGTTTGTGAGAATTCTAGAGTTTATCATTACAAACCATTGGGTTCCTCATGTAGTACTTATCAGTGTGTGCAAATGGCATTAAATTCAACATGGAAATTACTGTGTAGGATTCTTAAGCAGACTGTATTCTCCATGAGTAAGAATTACATTTATCCCTTGATAAGTATTACACCCGTAAGTCTTAGTTTTGGTTACGCTTTGAAAGAGCATTTGAATATCAACGATCTTAGGTGAATACTTCTCTCAAATCCGATTATTACTTGAGATTTCTTCCCCATAGTTCTCAACCAAGTTAGATGTGATTGAAGACGTAGATTAAACATTTCTTTATTTACTCTCATGCCACAAAATGAGGATTTTATAAAAATTATAGTATTAACAACTTTAAAGAAGTAAATGAAACAAATTCATGTTAAAACAAAAGAACCGACTTGATTTATAAATAATTTAATTTAATAACTTAAAAATTCTAAATACATTTAAAGGTTTTAAAAGTAAAAGTAAAAATAATAAATGATAAAACTTATAACCACTATAGGATGCAATGATTCAAAAAGACTACGAATCAAAATTGTAAAGAACTTTCTGTAAATGGTAGCCTTTAATGTTAGATAAGAAAAAACATGTAAAAACTACAACTATTAATAATTTTTCATTTTTAACCAATTTAAGAAATTTAAAAGATATATAGTTAAATAACTAGAAAATATGAAAAACGTGTCATTTAAAACTTACATGTAAGGCCATTTTTTATATATGTTCAAAGAGTGTATGTAATTGATTGTAGTACCAAAATAGTATAAATAAATTAAAATGCAAGTATTCTTCTTTAAATTTAAACTATTAATTCTAAAAGAATATAAAGATTAATTGTGCTTCAAGAAGATAAAAAATTTCTATAGAAGATAATGTATTTAAAATAGAAGTTAGGAAAATTGAAAGCCACCAATTTCTGAAATATTTTAAAAAAAGATTAAGTAGTTTAATTTCAACAAGTTTAAAACATCCTTTAACTTTTATAAGACACCTAATTTTTTTATATAATATAATATGATATTTATAATACAATATAATATTTATTACATGATACAATATAACATTTTAAATATATATAAATTAATGTATAAAATTTATTTAAACAAATTAAGTTTTTGTAAACTTTAATTAATATTTGTGGTTAATCAATATTTTCTTGCTGTTTTATAATATATTTTGAATCTATCACTTTTAGATGTCAAATAAGGCACACTATTATTTTGGAAACTTGGTACTAAATCAAAGTTATTGAAGATTTTTTTTAATAATTAAATATTGGTTTAAAATTGAAATATTTTATAAATTAATAATGCATTCTTATATTTTAATATTTTTTGTTAATTTTATATTAATAAAGCATATACACCTAAGAAATTTTTGATAGATGTAACTATTTCTTATTAATATTAGTACTTGTACACACAAATAGGACACAGATAATATAAAACTATCTTAAAGTATTATTAATATTAACTTAATTGAAGTTTTATTATTTTTAGTTGATACTTACTTTTAATCTTAGATATTGATGTAAATTATGTTCAATAAATTTGATTATAAAATAGGTTAAATTTTAAGTATTTAAAAAATTTCTATCAGTAATTAGAGAGTATAGGCAAAAAAACATTATGTTAGTTGGACTTCTTGTGGTAAATCTAACTACAAATTCTATAAAAATTTCATCCATGCTTCTTTTGTGTTGTTAATTATCTCTCTCTCTCTCTCTCTCTCTCTCTCTCTATATATATATATATATATATGTATATACATCATCAACCTCATAGGTATTATCAATTATATAAATTAATAAACTTTATATATGAATAAATTGGTGATTCTTATTATGTTAAACGTTACTCTATGGCGATTAAAATAATTGTGGTAAAACTAACTTTATCATATTTAATCTTATCCTTAATTGTATACAATTTAATCTTTGATATCAATAAACCTCAGATTGAATTTCTTTAAACTTGTTTATTTTATCTAATACTTAAAATTTTATTTATTAAATAATTACTATTTATTTTGAGTAAAATCAAAATTAAAATACTTTATAAAACTTTGATTTAAGTATATTATACATTATTATATTAATACCAACTTTTTGTAGTAAATAGGATAATTAAAAAAATGATTAATTATAAATTAATAAAACTTGATTTTAAATAATTTTTATTTTTTTAAAAAATAGTATTTAATTAATTTATTTCCAATAACTACTAATTAATTGCATCAATTAGAATAAAAAACTTTATATATCAAAATATTGTATCAAAGGTTTTTTTTTTATACAAAACATTAGCCACTCTTGCAAGACTTAAGTCTTGAGAAAAACTTAAGTCTTGTTGATTATGGTAAACTTAAAAAAAGATAAATTAACATTCATTCAATAAAAAATATAAAAAAAGAATAAAAAAATATAAATAAATAAATATATATATATATATATATATATATATATATATTCAAATTTTGTATAAAAAATATTTTTTATAATAAATAATTAAAAAGTTAACAAAAATAAGTTGTTGTGTAAACAAAGATATTACATACAACACATTGAGTGCCATAAATCAATCACAAAATATGCAATTTAAATCAAATACAGATATACAACCAATATACTTTCAAAGAAAGATGATAAATCTACACACAAATAAGTTAAGTTATCTTTCGTGCCACAAAGGGGTAATCCAAGAGTACAAGTGTGAGTAGAAAAAATTCTAAAGCTTTACTAAAATAATTAAATCACCATAGCCAAGTCAAGTGAAGGGAGTTTTTCTTCCTGAGTCTTCAAACTCAAATCGGCATTAACAAAGTCAACTAACAAAAAAAACTAAATGGATGGAAAACCACTTAATCAAACTAAATCATGTACATTTGACGGGATTTAGCATCCAATGCAACATCACGTGATAGTTGTCATTTAAACAAAGTTTGTTACATACAACATATTGAATGCCATGAATCAATTATAAAATATGTAATTTAATCCAAATATAAAGGTACAAACAACACACCTACAAGTATCTTCTCTAGCTAATTAGTAGTCTCTCTACTCAACTAAGACAACATAAAAATAATTAGAGACAAATGGTTTAGTAATGTTGTTGCAAAATTGTATACAACCAAGCTAATGTTATAATAGCCAAACCAAAAAAAACATGTAGCAAATACAAAAGAAAGAATCTTCAATCTTTGTCAATAAATGAAGCATTGCTAGAAGACTTCTAATAATGAGGAGAAATCCAATCTTCTGAAGGAGGAGTTGAAAGAGGTGATGTTAAGTATGTCATATACTATGCATGTTGGTATTAATTACAAAGTAGTATTATAACTGCCGATTTCTTTTTATCACATACAAAACATGGACAACCAATTGATATAAATGTTACTTTAAGATGTACAAAATCATCAATAGGTTGATGACAAGGATTATAATTTCTTTCAATTATTGATCAACTTATAAAAAATGAAAGGATGGCATTCAATTCTTATATATCACTAAAAAAGAACTTGTTGAAGAATCTTAAGCCAAAATTATAAGTATGGATTATAATTTCATGTAAGAAGTTGGCTAATATATATTAAAAAAAATTATAATGAATGAATAATGTGTACAAAAATGCATCTAATGATATTTCAAAATTTTATTTTTATTAATAAAGATTACTTTTACTTTCTTCAAGAAAAATATTACTTTCACATATTTAAATTTTTACAATTTTTTTATAAAAAACATAGATAAAAGATAGGAACATAATAAAAAAAAAATTAGTGCTAATGCTATATTTTATATAAAGGGCTTCTACTCTCTTTGTAGGACCATAAACAAGACAAAAAAAAGTGGATTAGAAAAAATATTATCATAAACAAATTTAGGTAGAAATTAATAGTATCTTCTAATAAAAATTACTTAAAAAAACTTGCTTTTGATACTAAAAGAGAACCAATTGTGAACTTGGATCAAAATCAGACCTTGAATCACAGAACCACATATCTATGGCAATTTCAAGGTTCTTTTGTTGATTAGAGAGCTAGATTATTGAGTAAACTTGATGAGGATTGTTTGAGCATTGATTTGAAGTGATTTAGATTGATATTTTTTTTAAAAGAGCTAGAGTTGGGATTTTAGATGATTTGGGATTTTAAAAGATAAAAAATAGTTTATAGTTTTAAGAATTTTGTAAACATTTGAACAGATTTATAAGTAAAAATTTGTGGTATTTTAAATCTACTTGTTTTAAATGTATTTTGTAAGTTTGAGTTTAATTAAAAAATTAAATCAAATTTTAATAAAATTTAATTGGATTAAGATTATAGAATTTGGATTTGAAGGATAAGTGAGGGTTTTATTTTTTATTTTTATCTTAAGCAATCTATAGGTAAAATTGATTTTTTAAAATTTTAGCCGATAATAAATTTAATTTAAAATTTTTTTAAATTTTTTTAAGAAAAATAAACAATTAAATAAAGAACTACTATTGCTAATAGATTTACATCAATATTGAAGAAAGGAGATATCTAATACCTAAGCAAATCACAATCTTTTTATTCTATGAGTAAATTTTATTTTTTAAAATTTTTTGTATCCTTGATGCTAACTTATAGATTGAAATGTGTGCATGTTTTTAAGCAAGATCAATAATTTAATTAATAGCTATTGAGGTTTTAAGATTGCTAGAAGAATTAGTTAAGGTTGGTCAAGATTTTATTATAATTTGATTAAGTTTTGTTAGAGTTCATTTTAGATTTGATTAATTATTTTAATATTTATTTAAAATTTATTTAGATCTATTTATAATCTAAAAAAATATGATTAGGATTTATTTAAGATTTATTTAAGATATTTTTTAGGATTTCATTAGGATTTTAAGATTTACTTATAGACTCTTTAGTATTAATTTTTTATGGTATTTTTTAAAAGGTTTTATTATGATATTTTTAGAAAATTTTCAAAAAAATTCTTTATAATTTCTTTATTACATCTTTAAGATTTCTATTGGATTTTTTTAGGATTTAAATAAGATTTGATTATGATTCTTAAGATTTAATTGGGATTTTTTTAGGATTTTATAAAGATTTTTAAGTTATTTGTTTGTTGCAAAATATAAGTTTACTTTCCACAACGAAGAGCTTGATAAATTCTCAAGCAAGACAATACATAATACAACATTGTGCCATCCTATTGGATGATCGTCTCAATAAGGGATTATAAGAAGAGACTAGTAAAACTTAGGTTGTAATTGCTTCTCTTTTCTATTCAAATTAGAGCAAACTTTTAATCTTAGTTGATTTTGTACCTATTTCTCCTTACAAAATGATAGCTTATTTTTGCCTTAGATTTGATTCATGGTCACCTCTTGTAAGGCATTCTAATAATTAAAAATTGCTTAAAGATACTATTTGTTGCAAGAAGTCAATTCACTTATGCTTGACTATTTTAGAATCTACTTTTATATTCTACTATAGAATTAATTTTAGATTTTTAATTTTGATCAAATTTTTATTTTTTATTTTTATGGCTTTTATTGTTTTTATAAGATACCTACTTTTTTTATTGTTTCATTTCTTTTACATATTCAATTCTTCTAATCTTGCTTATTTTAGCCTAATTTATTAAAATTATTCTATAAATTTAAATTTTATTATTATCTTTTATATTCTTAATCTTTCATCCTAACCATGTAAAGTAAATAAATAAGATTTAGATGGAAATCTTAATAGGAGCTATTACTAAAATATGGGCCTTAAATTATGCCACATTATTCTTTGATTTCATATTACAAGCAAAAACCAATACAAATAAGAATAGTTAATTATCCTTTTTGTCTTTTCTCTATCACTTATACCAAATTAAGAGATATCTCACTATTGCAACGAATAAAGACTAAATATAAAAGAAAATAATATAAAAATTCTAAAAAATTAACCTATAAGATGACAAAGAATAAGTTATTGAATTGAAAGAGAAAGAAATTACTAAGGTGAAATTAATGTAGAGGGCTTTACCACCTCTAAAATAAGTGAGGGTAAAGATCATCTTGTTGTTCAAATTATAGAGATAGTCAAAACGATCATAATTTTTTATCACAATGAATAAACTATTTAATATGACTCAGGCAACTTTGGATTAAATAGAAAAGAAATATCTAGGATTGTTATAAATAATGACTAAGGTAGCTTCTATAGTTGATATAGTTGGTTAGCTTGGAAATTTAATCTACATTTTGAAGTTAGAGGCATAGCCAACTAAATTTTTTAAGCAGAAAATTGCATTAAAGAAAGTGATTAAAGAACCAATAGAAGAACTCTAACAATCCAAAAAAGAGATACAACATGATAACTACTAAGTTAATATGTAGATTATCGTAGCCAATGATGAAGCACCTAGAGCCAAAAAATCATTAAGTTTTGTACCATGGATTCAAAGATAGTAATCAAAGGCTAATTTTATAATTAGATGTTTAGCCAATAGAAGCACATTTTAATAAGTAGGAATATTAAAATTTTTGCAAACTTTATAAGTAGAATAGCAAATGTACAAGAAATTGTACAAAAAATATTGAAAGAAGTGGTGAAAACCATCTCTTTGGCTATTTATTGCATCCATATAAAAATAAAAAAATCCACATAGCCTTTTAATAGTACTATTATCTAATAATAATGATAGTCTCAACTTAAAGGTAAGCAAAGAAATAATGGTAGAGGTAGAAGTTGAAAAGAGATTTGTATCTCTATTTAGATTTCAAATGAAAACTTGACGTTGTTAGTAATGGTGTTGGCTTAAGAAAGTTGGTTTAGTAAGATCTTGAGTATAAAGAATCTCACCCTCTATCAAAATTGTAAGTCTTAACTTGATTAAGAAAAAGACTAACTAAACCTCAAAACAAAACATTGTCAAATTAATGCATATTTTGGAAGGGAAGAATCTTCAAAACAATAAAGACACCACATAAGATATATAGATGTAGATCTGCACTTTGGATAAAATAATGTTAGGCATCTTTCTTTTCTTATTAATCAAAGTCAAATTTTATTTTATACTTGATGGAGCTTTGAAGTAATATATGTGTCTTAAAAGATAAAAGAAGTAATATAATATTCACTTCATTAAAGCAACGATGTGAAGTTTTTAAAATTTAAAATTGATCTACTTTTATATTTTTAAGGCTTTTGATCTTAATGGTAGATTTAATATTTTTAGAAAATCTGTTATTTATAAGATATAAGATTTTTAAAATTAAAAAATTATCTTTCATATAATATGTAAAAAGAATAAGAATTTAAGAGTTTAATTTTAAGTTTAAGATGTAGGGATTTAGGCATTTAAGGTTTGGGATTACATGGGTGTGCTCAATATTTTGATCCGCTTATTTTGGATTTTGACTTGACCTACCTCCTACCATTCCTCTCTTCTTCTTTTCTTCTCTTCCTCCCTCCTAACTTCCTCTTCCCTTATTTTATTTTAATCTATAATTCCAATGATATAATGACTTACTCTATAAGTTATTAGTTTGCAAGATATAATAAGTTTGACTTAGAATTTAGGATTTTGACTCTAGTTACAAAATAGTCTTTTTAGAGTTTTAAAAATACCATTGGATCTATTTGATAGTTTTCTATTGTAAATATTCCATTTAATTATTTTAAATCTATATAAATTTGTAGATATTAAGAATTTGTTCATTTTAAATTTTGAATTGACTTTGTTAATAAATAGGATTTTGGAAGTTTTGATTTGACTTACCTTCTATTTGAAGATCTACAAATCCAAGGGTTTACTTAGAATGCTTTATAAGTTTTTAAAATTTTATGTATAGAACCTTTAATTGGATCTTTTTTCTATTAAATTTATGTACTTTGTCTTTTTAATATTTTAAGTTGGTATATCTCTTTATTTGTGAAGCTTTTGATTATAATAATATGTTTAAAAACTTCAATAAGTCTATAGTTTACAAGATATGGTATTTTAAAAATTACAGAATTATCTTTCATATATTACATTAATAAAAAAAAATTAAAAATTAAAATAAATAAAATGGATTTTTTAACACTATGACAATGAAATAAGTAGCTTACATAAGCATATATATATATATATATATATATATATATATCTTGTGGTTATAAAATATTATATTTAAACTACTTTTTAAATATATTATATATATAAATGACTTAAAATCATATAATTTATATTCTAAACCTATATAATGGATTGCACATGATCACACTAAATTACACCATATTCTTTAATGAAATGACAAGCTCTTCTAATGCAATCTTCACATACTCATTTTTTCTTCTAATATCCACTACTATTAATCCTCTTCAACATTAATCCATCTACACTTCTATCTACCATCCTATTGTAAAGAAACCAATGTGTATTGTGAAGAAATTCAAAGATAAGGTGATAATTACTTATATCATCTTCCTCTTAACTATCACAGAGAAATTAGCCTTGTTGACTAGCTTTAGCACTTCTCCAATCATTTACTTATTGGTGTTGATACTCCATATGCTTGTTGCTCCACCTTATTACGTATTTAGCAAAAGTTAATGCACTTTTCATACAAATAGAAGATGCATATAAATCTCTTCTATAAATACTATTAGCCATCTTTTCTAATGTAACTTGATATGTTTTAGAAAATCTTTCTATAAATCTTTCTTGACAATCAAAAAGAAACTTTAATGCACTTTGAATGCATTAATATAAAAAATGATTAGGATTACAAAAATAATTATACACATCCACAAATTTTTTTGTATAAATAGTGATTTCTAGTCTAATGCCTAAAAACTGATCTATACATGTATCTTATAATATTCCTTCTTATATTGACAACATATATTAAATTTGATTGAAACTTATGCACATTGTGCAAGTTGTTATAGGCACATCTTATAGTAACATGATTTTAATTTAAGATTTTGATGATCTATTTTTTTGATTTATGTAATTTATGTGTTTTAAAATTTTAAATCTACCTTAGTAATGATATTAATATATACTTTAATTTTGTATGTGAGATATAAAATTATTACAATATTTTAAAATATTATTTTTTGATCCATTCTAATGTGATTATTAATATATAATGACTTGTGTAATGTCTTTAGAACTCAAAGGATACTAGGGGCAATATGTTATAACAAATCTATTTTAAACTTTTATTGATAGAATGTTACTAATAAAACATTTTCCATAAACTCTTGTATGTGAACAAAAAATAAATGCAAAAAATAAAATAAAATATCTTAATACAATTAACAATCTTGATATAATTAACAAGTTAGAGTCAAATCCTGATGACAATAGAGTCAATTTATTTATCATGTTTAAATATTATAACGGTATCCCTTCACTTGGACTATCCTCATCACCATTTCGGCCTTCGGACTATTGTCATCGTGCTTGAGCCGCCTCGATATACTAACACACCAAAAACAATCTTTACCCACCAAAGGTTTACCACAACGATTTACACATAGATTATAATGTTGGTCTTGATCATGGTGGCGGGCTCACAGAGATATAATGACAGATAGCCTATGTCTATTCAAAGTCACAGATCCTAACATTGCCTTCCTAAGGTCTGTCGGTCTTATTGATCAGTCTCTAGGGTAGAAGAAGCTTTCATGGGCAGAGTCTGTGGTTCCGATCTGCATTCAAAGAGAGTGGTTTGAGTGTACGTGTTGCTCGGAGGGCAGAGAGAAATATCCTTAATACCATGTGTAGTATGGCGGGATGCACATTCTTTGCCTGACTTGGATAAATTTCACGACTTATGAGAATATCGAGTAGCAACTGCCCTATTCGTAAGGTAACTTCTGTGACTCCGCTAGTAAGTTGGGTACATACAATTTTGTGAGATTTTTGAACATGTACAAAACAATATTTCGGGGTGTTGAACATCAGCTTAGGCTCGCATTATACTTCACACCATGACAAGACTTGAATAAGTAATACGTTTTACAAGAGGGAAAAGAGTAACATTAAAAATATACACGAATAGAATAACTACCAAATCACTCTGCATAAGTTTTCGATACAGTATAGTACAACCCTCCACCAATGCTGGTGATTGAATTCTAAATAGGCTACAAAAACGGTACTCACTCGGAGCTAGTATACAAAAGTTCCAGAGAATAGTTGCCCGAACAGCTTAGCGAGGTGCAGGGCCGGGGCTAGACGCTGCTCTTTGAAGTAGGTCGGTGAAGTTACTGATAGATCTCAGCGGAGAGTCCTTGGCTCTAATGTCGGTACGCCTCCTCCTCTCCCCTGAATATTTCATCTGTACACGAGAGAAGTGAGAGGATTCGCAGAGTGATCAAATCGTAGCGAGCACCATCAAAACTCTGCAACTGATGAAGAACATTTCGTACCAGAGTGATTTGCAGTGAAGTGCACAATACAACTCTTCACCATCAAGGGTGCATACCTTATATTTAGAGTCCGACAGCTCTCGTTCTGCGGTTCGGAGGCGATTTGCAAGCAACTGAAGGGCGTCCATGGCTGTCGACAGATTCGCTTTTTCCGCACTTGACAAGCCAGCTGCCTGTTGACCCAAAAAGATTCCCAAATCAAGAGAAAGCCATTCAAACAAACACTGGAGGTAGTGCTATGTAGAAGTCAATAATGGACCTTAATCTTGTCACTTCATAGAATCTCATTGTTAAAGTACAGAAATTTAGGATTGAAAAGCGCATCAGCACTTCCTGAACCTCCACCCAGTGCCAAATATGAGGCTAAATAAGGCCGTTTCAGAAAAATTCAACTAGCTTTTAGGTCAGAAACAACGGACATCCGTTCAGTCCGGATGGTATACCTGCAATATGGCAGAACTCAGAACTGAGAGTTTCCGTGATGCTTGAGCCCGGCTATCTTCTGCCTCCTGAACCGCTCACCCATTCCAGAGTTGTAGTTAAGTAGGGTTTTAAATCACTAAAGCTCTAAGACGTACTCTGGAAGACGCAGATGCGGGGCTCAAGACAAAAACTATTCAATTCAACAATAAACTTGAACTCAAACTGCTAAACTGTGGAAAATACAGTAGACAGTCTTACAGACCAAAGGTCCTTGAAATAAACAAGGGCGAGCGAATAATGGATACCCGAAGTAAATGGCGAAGACGTTGCTCTTCATCAAATGTAGATGATGCATTCTTGCTCTCAGCAGTCCTGTGTCTAACCACTTCCTCATTCATCCCTGCATTCAGGAGCTCAAGGCGTCGCAGATTCTTGCTCAACTCCTCATTGGCGAATTTCAGAGCCTGGTTTTCTTCCTGTAATAATGAATGATAGAGAATAAGAGCAGAAACTCAGGAAAGAATTCGGACAAACCTAGTAAAAGACACTAGAGTGAACTAAGAACATACTATTGCTGGTGACACCAAACACTTGCTTATTAGACATTGAGCAAAGGACGCTAACCGATTCAATGAATATTGATGCTGCCATACAAAGCCAATCTCTGTCAGCTACACTTCATATCACACAATTCGCTTGCTATTGTCGGGACAATTCACACACCACATATTATATTCTACAATACGTGGAAGATGGCTTTTAATAAGTACCTGAATTTTAGCGTGATGGGTGATCTGTTGATGAAAAGTCTGGTGGCCAGACGGTAGTCTTCTGATCTCCGTTTCAAGCTCCCTAATCTTTTCCTGATGATTGATGTTTGAGATCTGCGAGAAAGAAAACATTGCGAAGGTATACTAAGGAACAGTGTTATGATATGTCTTTGTAATAGGGAGAGCCAAAACATTGAATCACTAAGAACTACCGAAGTATGATCATCAAGAGGATGATCCAGTTCATCTATCTTAGCATGGGCATGTAAAATGAATTTTCGAGCTTGTTACGAGGCCAAGAGTGTGTTTCTTAAGATCACATCTACTACCAGAGACGGTCATTAGACAAACCGGGATAGGGCTTACCCTGAACTTTTCAATCTCATCTGTTAGCAATTGCTCTCTCTGTCGCAATTTCTCGGCAATCTCACGAGCGGCACTTATCTCACACTGCCTTTGATTTACTTCCTCTAGCAAACTGCGCACAAAAGAAGTCATACGGATAGCGCAACTTTTAGAAAGTCTTGCCTTGAAAAATGAACAGTTGATTATTAAGTACAGATCAAGACGAGAAAGGAGAGATAAGTCAGAATCTTCACCTTTTTCTTTCCTCGATGTGGTCATTGATTTGTGACCTCAAGCACGAAAGCTCCGCTTCCTGCACGCAGAGACTATATGAGAAGTGCCAACTAAAATTACGTAAATTAAATCAAAAACTTGACTCATTTTGAAGCGCGTGAAAACTCCACCGAGGGGAAGTGTGACTAACGATGCTTGATCTCCATAACACATGGGTACAAATCCGTTAAGAAGTGAACCATATAACAAACTGTCTCTACCACTTCAGCAAGTACGTTGGCATGCAAGAGACATCCCACAGGATGCCTCACTTATGCACTGTTAGATACGGACATGTCAGATTACACAGCTAAATTTTCATGCACAGTATCGACAGTCTTGGATTACGTAAATCGTTAAGAGACGTACCATTTCCTCAGCATCTACATTTTTGCGCCGCGCGATCTCCGCCAGCTGCTGGATTTTTTGATGCCCCAGCATTGACTGCAAAACCCACAGCTTTGTTATCAACTACAAATGCGCAATTACAATATATATAACGTCCATGTACCGTTATCAATTTCCCAAGCGCAGTAAAGAACGCACCGCAATGTTATTCATGTCCGTTCTGACACCGAGCAGATCTCGGAGCACATCATGAGTCATGCTCTCAGCCTCGGCTAGTCTTGTATTAAGCATTGACATCTACATGTAAAACACGTTTAGATAAGTATCAGCCAGGGAGCAATTCCTAGGCAAAAGCACCAAACTGTAGACGAATCAACTATGCACTGGATATTAGCAGACTGTGATGAAGACCTCGTCAACAAGGGAGGTTTTGTAGAAATCGACTTCGTAAAAATCATTACGATAACATGACTTGGCGAATATCATCAGAACTTGATCCACATCACGGTCACAATAACTCGAACACACAGATAAGCAGTCAGCCATGACGGCCTCCACGTACCTCATTCTGACGAGATGCAGCAAGCTCTTCGAGCTCCTTAATACGTGATTGGCACGTGATATGCGCTGGATCACTTCCTAAGGAAAAACTCTGAGCTGAGGATTCAAAAGAAGATGAAACATCTCCGGCCACTCCATTTGAGTTTCGGGCAGTGTAATAAGTTTGAACATCCCAGTTGGTTGATTTTGATTCCGCTAACAAATTCTCCATCTGGATCAGATATTGATGAAAATCCAAATTAAATTAAATTAAAACGTACAGCATTAACTTCTAAAGAAACGATTGTCAAAACTCATTCTAATCAACTCAATGTGTTATGACGCACTATAATGATAGAATAAGAAGAATTTACCTTTTGTTGAAAATCAGCTTTCTGTTCCTCAGCAGCATGCAGAAGGTCAGATATCTGCGCCATGGCATCATCCAACTGCATACAACCACGTACTAGGCATTGATTAGTGAAGGAATACCTGGATACAATTCATGATAAGAGTCCAGCATTCGGGTCAGCTTGTACATCACAAGCTTCGAGGCTCAGGTAGAATAATCAGCTAACGTCATAGATATGCTGATGTGAAACAGTTTGTGCTAGGATGTGCAGACTACATTCTCTTAATACTACCCCAGTTTCAGAATGAATTTCAAACCTGAAACTCTGTATCCTTAGATGAATTATCGAGATTTTTCAGCTTTCTTCGCAAGTGCATGATTTCCGAATCTTTCTCCTCCACTTTCCTGAAATAGGACATATCACGTGAGCCAAGCTGAAAAGCAGGTGCAGTGACTGATTCATAAATGATTTCTAGTTGCTATCAATATCAGGAGGAAAGAGTTTTTCGAGAACCTCTCTGTTTCTTGAAGAGCAGAAAGTGCATCCTTCAACTGCTCGTTACTGCGTGTACTAGCTTCTTCATGAGCAGATTGTGTCACAAAAACATGATTGTTCAGCTTCTGCAGCTCCATTTCTATATCTTCCCTTAGCAGCCTTTGCCGCTCAGCTTCTCTATTCAGTAGACCCAACTGTAGAGAAACATGAATGTATTTAATGTTTAGTTCAGTCCCTCTAACTTCAATAGAATATGCGGAGACATGAGAGAAAACAAAAGCAAAGGAGCAGGCCTACACTCACTTGGCCCTCCAGAGCATAGACGGTGCTCTCTAACTCTTCCACAGATCTTGAGAGGAGCACGGCTTCGTCTTCTTTCACCTTGGCATGAGCTTTACTTAATTCCGCAGTCTGCACAACATTGAAATGCATTGAAGGAAAGGTTGACGTTTGGCCCAATTCTGATGACGCCGGGATAATCTACATTTCTGAAGTCAAGAAAAGTCTTATGGAATCTAAACGTTAACTCACCGTAGGTTCAAAATGCTATACACAACATGTACAAGTTCCATATATTTACCTTGTGCAATTCAGAGGCAATAGCTTCACGCTCCAGTACAGTCGCGTGCGTCGTTTCTAGTTGCTTTGTTAGGTCAATTGTTTCTTTCTGGAGCCGATCCCTTTCGTTTTCAACCTCCTTCAAATCCATGGTGACCTCTTCTAGAGCGTTCGCCATAAGTCGTTCTGACATTCGCAACTCATCTTCTAGGTTTTCAATGATCTGCCTCTTCCTGTCTAGCTCAGTTTCCAAATTATTAGACTTCTCCTCCCAGACTGCTGCCTGGCTTTTGACCTGGACGATCTCTTCAGCAACTTGACCAATCTGTTTCTCCAGATCGGCACGCCCCTCTTTTTCGAAGTTAAGTTCTTTTTGCAAGGTACTTGTTGTGATGCGCATCGATTCGACCTCTTGATTAAGATAGAGCTCCTGGAGTGCGGACTCCTGAAGAAGATTTAGGTCAGATTCAAGGCTTTGAAGAAGGTCATCTTTCTGCTTAAGATCCCTCTCAAGTGCCTCCATTTCCAGTCTCGTCTCGACATGCATGTTTTCCACTGCTGCGACCCTCTGTTGCTTGGCAGCAACTTCAGCAATGTATTGATTAACCAGAGATTGCAATTCTCTTTTCTCATGCTCGAGCGAGTCAAATATTTCTTGCTGGATACAGTGTTGCGTGAAGTGGTGTGTCATGTCATCTTCCCTTGTTTGTATCTTCTGTTGAAGTTGGGCTACTCTGGCAGACTCTTCTTCAAGGTCGTTGATCAAGTCTCGTTTTTCACATTCCAACTCTGCTATACGAAGATGACATCCCCGTAGTTGTTCCGACGTCGAAACTACTGACTCCTTGTATTCTTCCTGATTTGAAAGAAGTTCTCCTCGGAGACTATCTAATGCAAATTCTCTCTCACTGAGTTGAGCTTCCGTCTCTTCACATCGTAGTTTCGAATTGCACAAATCTACTTGCATCACTGCCAATTGGGACTCCATCTTTTCAAATTTATCTGAGAAGACACGTACATCCTCTTCTTTCTGTTCTTTCAATTCTGCAAAGGATACCCTGATTTCATTCAAAGAGTTCTCGGAAGCTTGTCCTTGTTGTCTAAGGATAGATATTTCTTGGGATTGAGATTGGATCTCAGCATTCAGTGTCAGTTTGCTCTTCTCGAGTTCTCTATTTTTCTGGAAGCAGGCGTCAAGTTGTGATTGAAAGAGCGAAAAGTGGTTCACAACCTCCTGAGAAGATTGAAGCATCTCTGAGTTCTGGAGTTGGCTTTGACTCAGAAGGTTCTCGAGTTCATTTGCAAGAGCATCCTTCTCTTTTGAATCTTTAACTGCACACTCGAGCATTGCTGTTAGGATTTCGATCTCTATTTCTTGCTTCCAATGTTCATCCGAGGCTTCCTGCAGGTCGGTTCGCAGCTTCAAAATCACCATCTCCAAATCGCCGCATCTTCGTGCCTGCATCTCAGTTTCCTCCGCAAACAATTCTTTTCTCGTTTCTAATTGGTTTACAGTTAGAAGAAGCGAATCCTTCTCACATTTAGACCCTTCCAAGGAGGTGAGGAGTTGGAAGGATTGGACACTGCTCTGCTGTAATTCCTCTCGAAGTGCAGATATCATGTGATCTTTCTCCGACAATTGGCTTGAGATACTTTCAATGATGGTCCTCAGACTCTCAAGCTCTGACTCATGTGCAACAGATGCAGCAGTGGCTTCCTGCGATTGCTTACAAAGCTGCAGACTTAGAATCTCCAATCTCCTCAACAAGTCCTTCTTATCATCATTCAACGCTTCCCAATTAGCATACCTTTGCTCAAGCTGTTCTTGAAGTAAAGATGCAATGTGATCCTTCTCCAGCAACTCGCTAGAGGCACTTTCAATGATGGTTCTTAGTATTTCGAGCTGTAATTCGTGCCCAGTAGATATAGCATCAGCCTCCTCTGAATACTTACAGACCTGCAGACTTAAAAGCTCAAGCCTCTCCAACAGATCCTTTTTCTCATCATTCAAGGCTCGCGAGCAAGCAGAGCTTTCACTAAGTTTTCCGTGAAGCGTAGATATGATATGGTCCTTATCGAGCAGTTCGCTTGTAGTACTTTCGATGATGGTTCTTAAGATATCGACCTGTAACTCGTGTGCAGTAGATACATCACTCTCTCCTTGCGAATGCTTGCAAATCTGCAGACTTGCAATCTCCAACTTTTCCAGCAGGTGCTTGTTTTCCTCATCCAAAATGCTTGCTTTTTGGAGGAGCAACTCATTCTCTTGCCTCAGATTGGAAACAGTTGACTGTAAAGAGTCCACCATATTTAAATATTCGGTCTGGTTTCTTCCCAGCAAATTACTAAGATTAGCTATCGTAACCTCTTTATCGTACACTTCATCAGCAGTTCTTTCAAGGACGGTTGCAAATATATCCAAAGCAGCATCGGATTCAGCCTGAACCATTCCTAGCTGGTTCGAGGTACTGGACACCACATGACCCTGTATTTCAGCGTGTTCTAGAAGATGATCCTGCTTCTCGACTAGTTCGGCTGCATGTCGTGGCAGAGAATCCAGATCGATTACTGAATTGTCCACACTTATTTGAGAATCCACCGTCTCATTCCAGTAATTATCAAAATCTGCACCGAATGTTTGAAAGGATAACTCTGGTCCCGAGTCCTCAACGACTGCCGATTCCAGCGCATCATGAGAGGTACGGATCACTACGTCGGGCCAATGAATTTCATTCTTGAAAGAATCCTTGTGCTGTCGCAGACTAATGATTTCCAATTCCATCTCTTGCTTAGAGTTACCTTCATCTACTATAGACAGCTCGAGCTCCTGAATACGATTGATTAAAGCGATATTGTTCACCTGCTGCATGTCCACTCGCTCAACCAAATTAGGTTTCTCCATATCAAGCTTTTTCAGTTCTGCAACAGTGTTGACCAGCTTTCTAGAATTCGTTGCATACAAGCTCTCGAGCTCAAAAATTCTAGCAGAGAGGTCATCAGGCTGAGAAGCAAAGTTCGAAGGGCAGGTACCCTTCTCAGACAATGAAACGAGAGCTCCAGTACTCTGCGTAATATGCAGGTTCTCGTTGCAGATGGTAGTTTTATGCAATCTCGACTTTGCGTCTATCTCCGCACTAATTTTCGCGAGCTTCATGCGAGTTCCCTCTGTGGCTCTTTCAATTTCAGAAATCTGAGTCCTGGTGAACTCATCCAATTCAAGCTTGAATTCAACTGCCATCTTTGAGTGACAATTCTTCCATAGAGACTTCATTCCATGAATCTCCGAACCCAGGACTTCCATGCATTTCTCCACATGATCCATGGTCACAGATATTTCTTCTTGAATGACGCTAAGCATCTCAATGCTCTGAAGAGACGCTTCCTCTTCCCTTAACTTCCATTCGTATACATCGCGCTTAGAGATTTCATTAGCTCGAACTAAAGCATTAACAAGGATTTCTGCTTCCTGCAAAGTAGCCTGTCCTTCCTCAAATTGTCTCCTCAGCATGGTCACTTCGCTTCCCTTTTCGGTTGCACAAAGTTTTGCAGCTTCCCTCTCAGTCTTCACTTTCTCTATCTGCTTGCGCCACTCACGTGCCGATTCATCCGTTTTCTCTTCGGTCTCCACCAGTAATGCCATCACCTTGTGCAGCTCAGTGTCGAATTGATCCACTTGCAACTCTCTGCTTCGAACTTCATCTTTGGCATTTGTGAGAGCTCTGCCAATGCTCTCAAGCTCCAGTTTGAGAACATTTCTTTCATCAAAACAGGATTTCAATTCGATTTCAACCTGCCTACTATTTTCGATTGTAGCATCTAGATCCATGCGCAATGATACGATAGTGTTGTCCTTGTCGAACATTTGCGCCCGTAGATTTTCATTTTCATGTTTCATGTTATCAAACTCCCTCTTTACCACTTCGAAACAGTCTTTTAAAGACCTTGACTCTGAGGTTGGAGTAGCATTGTGGTGTGTCGTGCTTGACACAGAGGAATTAGTTTGGTGACATTTCTTTGCATCCAGCACCCATTGAGAAAGTTCTACCCGCAGTGCCTCCTGCTCTGCAAGTAGCAGTTCGTAGTTAACATTTAAAGCCTTTGTTTCGTCAAGAAGTTGTTGAATTTTGGTGTCTGCAGCAGACAATAAGGCCCGCGTGGTTGCAAGCTCCAGCTGCGATTTTTCCCAGGAGCTCTTCACTTCTGCAAGGTCGAGGGAGACTCTGGATAGGTGATTTGATGCCTCTTCTCTCTCAATGTTCCACTGGCTTTCAAGTTCGCATATTCTCACTTCGTGCACCTGCTCCTTGACCTTGATTCTCTCCTCCATCTCTTTCACAGAATTGAAATATTTTTGCTTCAGTTCTTCGCTCTCCACGAGCTCCCGGTTAACTGTTGCAAAACGATCTTTCGACTGTTCCCTCTCAGTCTTCCACTGCTTTTCCAAGACCTTTATCTCCTCTTTTAAGTCGCGAAGAGACAAATTTGTCAAGTTCTCCTTTTCTTGAGCTTCCTTGAGGCTTTTCTCAAGTCGCTCTTTGTGACTTTGCAGGGATGAAAAATCCATCTCTCGACAAGCCATGCAGCTCTTCAGCCTCTTGTTCTCAGCTGCCAGGGCTTCTTTCTGAAGCTTCCATTGCTCTTCTGACCGAGCAAGTTCTTTCATCAACATGGTTGAAGCACGCAGTTTCTCTTGGGTTTGAAGAGACTTGCTTTCTGACTGAATCCGGTTTTCCTGGACAATAGCCATCTCGTCCTCCTTCTGCTTAAGTAGAATCCTCGATCCCTCCAAAGCATCCTCTAATTCCTTGACGCGTGCAGACAAAACCATCTCTTTACACTGCAATGCGCCAACCTCCCCGAGAAGCTTATTCTCACGTTCACCTGCCAAAACCGAAGTTAGAGCTGTGTCCTCGTGGGCTTTAACAAGACCTTGTTCGATCATTGAGCAATGATGCAAGATCTTATGCTCGATGTCTTCAACCTCGGCTTCCAGCTTTTGTTTCGTGAGGGTAAGAGCGTCCAAATCCACAACTATCGCATTCATCTGGCGGTGTACATCCTCCACCATGTCAGAAGAAATTTGAAGCTTCTGTTCAAAAGAAAGCTCATGCCGGGATATTTCTTCGCTCTGTTGACTCATGATGAAAATCAACTCCTCCGTTTTCGATTGTAATGCCTTGTTCTCGTTCTGAATATTCAGCTTGGACTGTATCACCTCTTCTAGGTTTTGAGTAAGCTGGGTCTCGCGAGTACATGCATCATGTAGTTGAGACTGCAACGCAGCAAGTCTCGTTTCCCTCTCGATTAAAGTAGTTTCCTGTAGTTTGGCCAGTTCTAGTTCTGCTTCAAATTTAAGTGCCGCATTGAGAGCAAGCTCCAACTCCTGCTCCAGTAGTGTACACCTACTTTCTGCTTCTGCTACGCTTCGTACCAATCTTCCAGTTTCGAGCTCCCACTCTTCCTGTACAATGAACATGCCAGCTTGAACAGTGGCTAGTTCCACCACCTTAGTGTCGGCCTCCTCCATTTTCCTCTGCACCTTCGAAATTAATGCCTCTAGAGCTATGGAGATTTCCACGCTATCACTGAGCTGAATCTGGAGCTGTTCTTTCTCAGACACCAGATGCGCACCGCGAGCCTCGCTTGCTGATACTACATCTTGCAGTCTCAGAATACTAGTCTGCATGACACCAAACATAAAATCTTTGTCTCCAAGTTCTTTCCTTGTATCATCGCTTTCCTGCACGTGTTTTAAATTCTGCTTCACAAGGATTTCCATTTTCTCCTCTTGCTCTATCAGTAACAAAGTTTTTTTGGTGATCTCCTCTTGCAAGCTTGCAATTCTTCTGTCTTGTTCAAAACATTCAAGAGCAATATCATCATGATCAAGCTTCTGAATTCCTTTGACAGCTACCTGGTTTTGGAGCCACCATAGCATGATTGCGGCTACCATGCACGATCTCCCTAAGGCCTCTTTGTCATGGGCATACTCTCCTGCAAGCTGCATATTTCCCAAACCAAATTTCCCTTTATTCCTTTCGCAACCTATCAAATCTCCTTCAAATTTAGAACACACCTGTTTCTGCACCAACTTAAGCCCAGTTTCTTCGGTACACTTCACAAAAGTAGTGTTTTGAGGGCGGTGCTTCTCAATGCCTTGAAGTCGTTTAGGCCGCGTATCCACTACAGCCTGAGGTTCTAATGCCTGAGGGCGGGTTTGCCCTTTGAAAAGCTCATCTTGGGGCTCAGATATCAATGTGCAATTACCGAACATATTGGCTACACCGCACTCAATCTTCGCTTGCAGGCTTGAAATCAAGAGGTCTTTTTTCTGTAAATTCTCCTGACTATGCTCATTCTGCCTCTGCAGAATATCCTTAGCATTGCATTCGTTCGTCAGAGCATCTGAAAACCATCGCAACATGATAGTCAAACTGGCAAAAGTTTTCTCAATTTCAGTGGACTTCACCTTATCACCCAATCGTATGGCCTTACTCATATCTTTCCTGTCGACCACAGGGCTCTTCGCCGCATCCGAATAGTACCCTTTCATGCGTTCAAGTTCTCGATCTCTGTCAGTGGCGGTCGGTTGATTTAAGGAGTCGTCAAGTATTCCTTCCATCTCACGGACAGCCTCCGTAAGAGCAAGGTCGCCCTCGTTGATATAATCCAGGAGCCTAGAATTAGCTGCTTCCCACTCTTTGCGTGCCCGAGTTGCCAAATCTTTCTCTTTTAATAAAGCCTCGTTCTTTAAGGCCCAATTCCTCCTCTCCTCCTGGACGGCTTGAATCACAAGTGTCAAATCTTGGAGCTCCTTCCCAAACTCTGTTACGTTCCATTTAGCGAGTGCTTTCTGCTCGACAACGGCATCTGGCTTCAATTTCATGATCTCTTCACGCAAAGAACTTATGGAACGTAGTATTTCCAGCTCTGCAGGGTCCGCACTGGTTGATTCAATGTCTAGAGGGATTCGATCTCCCAGAAGCCTTGCAGTTGACATATGCGCAACCTCTTGTTCGCCCTTCGATGTTGGATGATCACCCTGAACCACATGAAAGGAGTGGAGTGGAGTGGCGAAGTTAAGTTTTAAGATGCAACTATCTCGAGGTTGATCTCCATCTTCCTGAGAACGTGGCATTTCAGTGCAAAGCTTGATGACGTTATGTAGCTCCTCTCTTGAAGATCTGTTAAGAGGAGTGCATACATTTCGAGATGAAAGATCAAGGAACTGTAATTCTTGCTCCAGTTGAATGATGCTATAAGATCTCTCATTACAAAGAATTTCTCGCGCATGCACATCATCTGCAAGAGAGACAGCAATACGACTTATCTCCTCCTTTTTGGAAGATAGCTCTTTTATTAAAGAATTTGCTTCTTCCAACTGCTTCATTATTTCAGATTCCTGCAACCAAAACCATTACTAATTTAATAATATCCTCTAAAAATGCACAGCAAGAATATTGTAGGCAAGATGCTCATCTCCCCCACATTGCAATCTATGCCAATTTTGCTTTAGAATTTAAATGTTTTTAGCGACCAGGTGGCCTTTATCTCCTCACACACCATGCTCTATATAAATGATTCGGTGACCAGTTCTTTCATGAATAGATGAACCAATTGATCACATCAAAAGGTTTTTGAAATATAACAAGGGCAAGATCACCTTCATGTGTGCTGCAACAGCTGCGTCGTCAATATGCTTCAAAAGCACCTGCTGTTCCACAGCCATTTCCTTCGTTTCTGAGCGAACTTTCGTAACTGTATCTCTTACTAGTGCAGCCATCTCCTGCGTGATGATTCGGAGTTCATAAGCTTTGATACTAAAATCGGATATCCGAATCTGGCCCACACTCTGAACCTTCAATCTGTTGTTATGTACGTTTGCAACCAATCCAACAATCACATGAGTCTCACCTGAGCAACTGAAAGACTTGACTCAGTAGACAAAAACTGACTTAGAAATGTTTCCGTCGCATCCACAGCTTCCCTGATTTCCTGTAGCAAAAATGAGATGTGTAAAGTCGACGGCTAATAAACTAGCTTCTTTAACAGTACGAAAAGATAAGTTCTAACCGAATAAAACGGCATGCACGGATAAACTTTAAATCCCTACATCTATATACCAACTAGTACCTGGAACTCTGCCTGAAGTCCATCTACATCCTGTCGAGAGGCCTTGAGCTGTTCATTCAACTCAGACCGATTGCGGGCGTCACGCTCAGACTTCTCCTCACTCTGTACAAGTTGCCAGTTAGGAATTATGATCACCTATGCAAATAACTCAAAAACCGGATAACGATACTACAACAATTGGGCTATGAGAACGTACCTGCTGCAATTTGATTTTCAGATTTGATATGAGCTCTAAATGCTGGGCATAGCCCAATTCAATAGCCTCAATATCCAAGACCTTGTCCTGCAAAAGAAATTCAAGAAAGTTCGGTAAGAGAGTTGAGTTCATGTAATACTTAGCCGCTAATACAATGGAAATATTACAATGGAAATAATACAATGGAAACTAGCAGTGTTCAGTAAGAAGGGTAAGAAAAACACAGTGCTGACCCGGAGTTCACGGATTTCGTTTTGTTGTTCTTCACTGCTCAGCCTCATTTCCTGAAGTTCAGCGTTTGATTCATCAAGTTGCCTGCCACAATAGCCCAATTAAGTGTCTGCTCTCTCAATAACGATACACTCAAGTTCACATCCCTGGCGTACCGGTATAGAACAACCATCTCAACTGTATCTCTCCTGTGGTAACTCTATTAGAACTGTCATAATGACAATAAAGTAAAATAGATCGTTTTTCTGTTCGAAAACTTCAAACCAACAGAGAGCATACTTGGTTAATCTTGAATTTGCTTCCAAACTTGAGCTCAGGTTCTTCCGGCAATCCTCGACCTCCCTTCGATAGTTGTCTGCCTGTAATACCGTTATACCGCACGAATTCAGCAAGACAAAACTGACAGAAACTATACATTGAATAAAACGAGATCGAGAATGAGATCAAACACAGTCCCGTGGAATGTTTTCAGACGATGTCTGAAAACAATGGCACGCAAACAAATCACGTTCCAAAACAAAGACGAGAAAGTTTGAAAATTTGATGGTGGTAATGATTTGACTGTACTAATTGGTTCCGAACGCCCTAAAAAGTTTTTCCAGATAGTCACTAATTCTTAAAACACGTTTTGAGTCGGCAACAAGACAGGTTGTGGGACGAATACTAATCAAATCAAGCAAGCAGTTTCTACTTAGAATGTGGTGCAAGGTTTGCAATTTTCGTTAAAGCAGAAAAACGATCATACAGTAGAAGCAGGAACATACTTCAATGCGTAGGAGCTCGATTTCTCGCTTGGCAGAAGCAAGCTCAGGAGCCAAAGCTTCCCTCTGTCATAATAATTGAACACATCGTAGACATCATTATTTAGTGTCTCTTCGACCAATACAAGATCCAGGGTATGAGTTAACTGCTTTCTCAAGACGCAACATACCTGAGGAGAAGTAAGAGCGGTTAGCGATAGTTTACTATCAAGCACTTCCAGCAGCTGCAAAACTCACACTTGCACTAGTTAGTTCCTATCTGCTGCGGTATTTCCTCCGCCGAATTGCCTGTGGACTTATAGAATTGGTTTGATAACATCTGGAATAGATGTCTGAAACTAAATTCTATCCGGGAGATGAGGGCTTTTATGAACCTGATCTCTTAAGTTAGAAATTTCGTCAGCCATGGCTTCCCTTTCTCCACCAATGTAAAAGTCTTGGAACCTGCATTGAGGCCTAAGTTAATAAAGACAGAGTTCAAAATTGAGCATATAGATTAATTCTTGAGGATTTGACTTTAAACCGATCCAGTCGACAACAAGGTGCTTCTTGGGTAATCAAATTTGCTCATATAGCCGTCAAGATATTCAAGAGATGTTGCAGAAAAAAATAGCTGTGTAACCTGCGAAGTTGCTCCATTAACCGTATGTTTTCCATGGCGAAGCGGGTTAGCTCAGGATTGCGGTCAACTTTCGCCTGGATGAGCTGCAACTCATTCGTCAGGGAGTCCTTCTCCTGCCTGAGGTACATGTCCGCAGGCACAATCCCTGCGGAGAGCGCTTCTAATCTTTTTATCTTATCTTCTCGAAACCGTAACAACATCTTGCTACATTGATTGTCATCCTCCCGCTGTTTCACCTGAACAACATAATCTCTCATCAGACACAACACGTACGCTGAATGTAGATCCTGAAAACATTTCCCCAATACTTGTTTCAGCCGCTATGTGCAGAACATGTAGTTTAAGGTTGAAGAACTCACAAGACGGGTAAGCTGATCAATCTCAACTGCTTGTCTCTTTTGGCATGATTCTGCTTCCTGCTCTCTTCTGAGAGCACCTGCCAAGACTGCCTCCAAGGCTTCCAGCTGTCCACAAAGACATCTCCCTCCAATCAGAAATATAATCAGATTTAACCCTGATTTTTATGTTATGGTGATCATGAGACGAAGACAGACTTTAGATTTTCAATAAAATACTTAATAGACAGATACTCATGGAAATGTCATTGATAGGACACAACGAGTCATTTACAAGATTGGGAATGTCAAGGAACCTTTTTGATCGAAAATCGTGGGCCAGTAAAAGATTTAGACATCTCCCATGAATCGAAGGAACAATGAGATTGCTCCTGTTCATTGAATGAAATAATTGCCGTTCCCATGTTTTGGTCCACCTTACGACCGCTATCTAGATGGACTGAAGCTGTCGTATGCATAGAAGACGTCAAAGGCAAGCTTTTCTGTCTCTTCATGCGGTTCAACTCTTCCTGCAATTGAAGGAGAATGTCGGTTAGAAACACAGCGGATAGGAGTGAAGTAATACATACTTCATATCAAATACAAAAGTCATATTAACAATTCATCACCAATTCCCCAGCGCTTAACGCAATTAAGCCCTTTCAACATGGGATAGTATTTCTGATGCTTCTAAAGCCAACCTTCAGTTCCTGGATTTCTTGACGTAGGCCATTCACATCTCCCGAGGCATCTTGATTCACAAAGGCCTGGCAAAGGATAGGCGCGTAAAATTAATCAGAACTCAGAACAATGATAGGTGATCATGACTTCAATTGTAAATGAAAGTTTTCACAAATTGAGAAATCGTCTGTAGTAGCATACATTGTTTCTGATGAATTTCGCGCGTTGAGCGAACTTCAACGTACTCAGAGTTTCCAGCGCACAGCTGCCAAACATAAACTGGTCAGTCAATCGGTAGTCGGGAGGGATCAGGTAATATTCATCAAAAAGAAGTCTCCAAGAGTTAGACAAGAGAAGCGAAGTTAAAAGTACCAGCTAGAAGGACTTATATTCGCTATCATGATGGTCTTCGAATTCCCCCCCAAAGAATCCTGCACCCAAAGGAATTAGATTTTTCTGTCAGTTCATAACTTGTCAATACAATGCTATAGCAAATACTGTAGTGAAATTAGATAGCGCATGTCTGAGCAGCGTACATGTCCAGAGAAGTTAGTCATGTAGCCAAACCTGTAATAGATATGTGAGCTTAGAGTCACGATAAGGCACATGACGCTGCTTCCCATTTGCTACATCCACGAGTATCATGATGACGAGACTGTTACCCCAAACCACGTCCAAGGTTAAGAACAATGACTGCCATCACTTAACTACGCGGACTGTTAGCAGAATTACAGATAATGTCACCGTCAGAGAGAATCAGATTCTACAACACCTTTTAAATATGTCAAATCGAGCCGAGATGAAATTACATAAAAACATACCCAAGAGTAGAAAGAGACTTGTTGATGTGGGCAGCCTCCTTCAACCGATCTCCATCAGATCCCGAGCTTTTCTGTCTGTTGCAACGATATTAATACTTCTATAAAATTTCACGGTTCCTAGAGTCTGCTTTTAAAATTGGCATAGGGAGAAACTTCAGTACCTTTCAGACCCAGCAAGATCCACCAGGTTCAATCGCCCGAATCGAATGCTCGTCATTGAGTTGAATTCCCACTGCAGTGTACCATGGCGAATTACGAAGATCAAAACGCTATTTCTGAGCATAAGTGACAAGTGCAAGAGCTCATGTACACACGACAAAATGCTTAAAGATAAAATTTACCTTGCTCTCAATGGTGCAGGTAAACACACTGTGCGAACGACTGCTCTCACGATTCATATTCGTGGCAGCCACTTTCCTGTTGGCAGCTCCCTGCGTAGCATAAAAAGAAATGCAACAAAGTGTAATTATAATCCTCTGTGATGCATGCAAGGTACTAGAGATGCTCAATTATCAATCATAATCCTTACCAGAAGCAGGAGATGCACAACATCTTGCACGCTTTCGACCTCAACTTCAGAAAGGTTTTCAACGTATACTCCTTTTTTGCCACCCTCCCGCATCTGCAAAACCAGGTGCAATAATATAAATGAAAAAGTTGAGGAGGACTTGTACAAGCTTTAAGAAAATTGTGAGTCGATTTAATACGGTCAGAAACCATAGGATGCCGCTCATATAGAAGTATACATGCCTGCAAGTTCGTAGAGGTTGGCTCCAAAAGATCAGTTATCTGCTCATTAAAAATCTCCAAAAAGGAGCACTTGCAGACATATTTCAGGTGCTCATGAATACGAGATTCTTCTTCCTGCGAATTCAACAACAAAAGAAGTCAAGTTCCTACTCATAATCTTCCATGAACGAGTGATAACAAGAAATTCATGTACTTCAAGGTCAGGGCAGATGGGTAAAAAGCAGCCTCCTCTTTTCACCTTTTGTATCCTGGAAAATAGGTACTCAAACACGCGTGGTGTTATGCCCCGGTTGTCGCTGGGACGGTGTTCAAGGTCCACAATGTCCCCAAGCATTGTATAGGTTTTGCCACTTCCAGTCTGTACACATGTCATCACTAAACTTGTAAATGCCACGAACTTGCCTTACCACTCGATTAACTTCATTGACACAATCAGTAACAACAAATAAACCACAGCGGATGTAATTGAAAACTGAGCTGAATACACAAACCAATTACGTGCAGATCCCCTATCTAGACAGATGGAGCTGCAGAGATGCATCAGACACAAAAAAGAACGCAGACTAAAAATCACCTGACCATAACAGAACATACAGCTGTTGTATCCAGCCATGCAATTCTCAACCATGGGAATGCCAGCCACTCTGAAAAGTTTCTCCTGCAATCTCGAAAGAATGTGTCTCAGTCATCCGACCAGAAGCACACTGCTGTGAACGTACAGAAGGACCTGGGCACAATTATAATAAATAAATAAATAAATAAATAAATAAGTCTCAGCAGTTAGACGACAGCAAACCTGTGTGATGTGTTCGCCAGCAACATGATCAAAGGTGAACCTTGACTCAGGTTGCCCAATCCAAGTGATACTCTGGGAATTTTCCTGTCGAACGCATCTGCCGAAGCCTTTCAACGCAGACTCAGACGAACTGATTGGCCGAGTGCGCAGTATCACCTGTACCGTGTAAGAAGCCAGCACAGTCAGCAAATCTCTGAAGTATTCCCATCAAAGACCGAGATTGACATTACGGAACTGCAATAGAGATCATATTTGTATGACCAACGTTTAATAACCTCCATGGCGCCAGCAGTTAGTCCCGAATGAGAAACTTGATATGACCTAATTCGTCTAGAATGTGCGCTATGGACACACTAAGACACGTATTTCTTGGTAAGACCATGATCTAGATGGTATGGAGAAGTGTAGGACACAAGATAGGGACATGGATGAACGAATTCCGAGGGTTATAAATGAACAATTGCTATCTGTCTTTGGTGGTGCACTAACTTCTCAACGACTTCGCAATGACCAGGCACATTGAATCACAAATCACATCAGGGCATATTCTCCGAGCCATATCAAGAGCTCAAAACCTGGTCTAACACGGTTACTAATGAGATCTCTCCTTTCAAAAATAATTGTGAGAAATCTTAACTGATCCAAAAACTCCATTGTGTACGCTTACCGGCAATCCACCAGAGAAAATGCAGCCAATTTCATCGTTCATAAGTGCACAAGTGAGCGATCGAAAAATGCAGACTCGAAGCTCACCTGCACGTTGTGGTCGTCCCAGAACATAGGATCCTCTTCAATGTCGTATTGCTGCTCCGAAATCTGCTGGTCGGCGCAGACTTGGGATAATCCCAGCGACCTAGCACTCCCAGGTGCTCGTACGCTACCTATACTGGCTGCGCTACCAGGGGTAGCGCCATATCTGAGAGATCGATTAATGATGCGGCTGGGGGTGAAGGTCGAGTTGCTCGAGCTGACCCAAGTCTTGGAATTATCGGAATCCAGGGGTCGCTTGCCAGTGATCCTGGAGGTGCGAGGTGTGGAATCAATTGAGCCTACCTTGCTAGCTGTGGAGGTCGAAACAGCAGGGGTCCGATTTCCGGCAGTGGGAGTCCCACTGGCAGAATCGCTGTCCGAGCTCCTGTTCGCTGAATCAGTCTGTTGTAGACTATCGTGCAGTGAACGAGCTATAGAAGGCAACTTGGGCGGCCAGGCTGCAGCGACCTTACTGACCCGGGTGAGAGTAGTTCGTTTCTCCCGAGGCTTCTCGGGTGTGTTCGAGGCGGAGGCAATGTTGCTGTCAACATTCTCACTACCTCTAAACACGCCAGAGCCCCGCTTCTTGCCTCTGGGAGTGGAAGGCCTTGACGGAGAATCGGGCTCCGTCTTCTCAGACGTAGATGATGTCTTCAGAGTCGCTTCTGGAATTGAACGCAGCGGTAACCTTACAGGTTGCAATGTGATGTCCGCCCCATCATCTTGACCCTTGTGCGACTTCAGAAATTGGCCAGAGCGGCGCGGCGAGGTCGCCCTTGACGTCATTCCTCTGGCTTCTCTTTACTGCCTCCTAGCTCCCTGTCTATATTTCACAAGCTCTCTTGACATAACACATACTGTGACAAACTGAAACATCAATTTTCTTGTAACTTGCTCGCGGCTCACATCGATCGAGAATGCTATCTTTCGGAGAACCGCAGGGCTGATAGTGTCCAAAATTCAATTCCAATACCACATGAACTCGTCGGTTGTAATGAGGATTCGCGAAAACAGGTGTACTCCTAAACTAGTCCCATGCGGAAGAAAACTCAAGAGCTAACTGGCTAGCCCACGACCTTACCCTGCTTTCGCCTTGCCATCGATCTTACAATTAGAACACAACGTAGAAGAACATGTCTCCTCGCACTCCTCAAAAGCTTCGAAAACATTTTGGAACCCTCTCTTCCTATGGGTATAAAACAACAGGCCGAACCCTCAAAAGACTCTGCTCTACCTATGATTCCTTCGTAGAGAAACTACAGCGAGAAAGACGGTCGCAAAACCGTCTCCAAGACAACAATGCGACACGATACTGCAGACATTCAGATTCAAAATCAAGCGGAATAGAGACAGCTGATCAGCTGATGATTAATAATTAACAACTCTCCAACTACATTCATGACCACGGCCCACAACAATACACAGTCACTCTCAGACTACCTACGACAGCTTACTCTAAAACATGACTTGACTGCATTCCGGTTCAATCAAAACATTCACATAAAGACCACAATCTCACCACCAGCGTATTTCCCACTTGAGAAATCCCAGAACTCGAACGGGACAGAAACGTCAGACCAACCTACCAATGAACTGTACCTCGAGAATCCTCTCTCCAGAGCACGACTCACATTGAAACACAAACTGCTCAATCTATCTCCCACGCTTCAACTTCAAATTTTCTCGTGCCTTCCTCCCTCACTCACACTCTACTTCTCACCTCAATAACTTGCAGTGTCCATAACTTACACTATACAGGTGAACTCTCCACATCTACAATCAACCACCGAACACCGAGACCGAACCTGACCACCAATCTCTCACTCTCACAATCGCTCCTTCTCCCTCCTCTCCGTCCCGCCCCCTCCACACCTCACCGATTCGCTCAAACACCAACGTTCACAAACAGTCAACAACTTAAACTACTCCTCAACTTCGAAATTCAAACGACAGTGACGATCGGCAGCGATTACTGCCTCTCAATAACGCCGCTTCCACTCACCGTCACTCCAACAAAGTACCCAAATCAGACACTACAGAGATATGAACCCCAAGGACCTTGTCTTCTCTCCTTGATCGTGAATGAGCGCCCTATCAACCCCGAACGAGAAAAACAACCCAAATTGAAAAATCGAGTAACTCCCGAACCCGCCGGTGGGTCCTACTATTTCAAACTCGCGCGACGGGGGAAGAAGAACAAGTCGGAGGGCTAAACGGATGATCTCCGGGGAACAAACGTATGAAAAAGGCTCGATTACGAATCCGTGTCGCTCCGAGTGAGGGGTTTCTCATCCATAAGCTGACGCCATTCCCGAGGCTGTGAGCAACTGTGTCAGCTCAGGTCAAGAGCGCCAGAATTGGGCAACGGAATAGCGGAGAAAATTAAATACAAAACTTCGTCGTGAAGAAGGGACGAAGGAAAATTTGAAACGCGAAGGAACCAAGTGGAGGCGCGGGCCGATGATTGCCGTTGGGGCGGCGGGTGTACCGAGGGCGTAGATCAGTCACTTTTTGAAGCAATACTTTGTGGCGGGCTGCGCCTATTTCCTTGAGAACCCTTTTCCCTCATAATGAATATAATGTCGCCTTATTGTGTTTGCCAACGCTCGGTTGCTCTCTCCCTTGCTTCCCCCAATTTGACTGACGTTCCGGAGCATGGAATCCGGACCCCCTTCTCTGCTAAATTTAGCGGTGCCTTTCGGAATTTAGGGGCTCCCTTCAGCCATAACTTTACGTTGGGACGGAAATCCCCTCCACTTCGCTGCTCATCGTCTGCTTGGCTCGTTCTTTAGAGCTCCTGCTTTTCGACGCCGCCCCAAAAGGAGATAAACTCGGATTTCGGGACCCGCTTTCAGAGAGTTGTGTCACTATCGGAGTTGGAAATTTGGGGTGGGTTCTTCGTGTTGTCTTCATTCTTTAAAGTCCTGGTGTTCCATGATGCATGTTGCTTTCTTTGTCTCTTCTGCGTCAGGTTCGTTAAATGTGACTTGCAGGATTATTCATTGTATTTTTGGGGGGAGAGGAGGGGAAAAGAAAGGGGACGAAACAGATAAAGAAAACTTTAGGTTGAGTATTATGGTAAATCTTGTCGTGCAACTTCCTACAAATTTTGTGAAACTTATTTTTGGCGTTTGTAAGTAAATAGATAATGTGGTATTGTGACAAATAAGAGTGGAATTTTTATTTCTAAAAGTAAGTAACAAGAATATGCAAGTGCTGATAAGAACAAATTGGTGTGTTTATTGCAAAGACAATAAAAAAAAGTTCTTAATTTGTTGTGAATTCTTACTGTACAGACATGTGAAAAATTAATTGCATTGTAATTACTAATATTATTATTACATGTCTTCAAATTGTACTCAATGTGTTGTTAGTTGTTGTTTCCTATGCAAGTTTCAGACTAATTTAGAAAATTAGTCAGTTGAAATTGAACCCAATGAAAATAAATGAAAAATCCAAACAGTTTGTGTGAGCTACAGGATATGAATGAATGTACATATTATTAACATTGTGATATCTAGAGTTATGGTTGTGTTTGTTCCTTCACTTTTACATATGTCTCTCTCTCTCTCTCTATATATATATTTATATATATATATATATATATATGTATATAAACATTCTTAAATACATTCAGATGTGTGAGAGAATGAGAATTTGTAAAAAAGAAACTGTCAGCATGGTAGATGAACATATTTATATATGATTTGTTTACTCATGTATCGAAATAACTAAGCATTAGTACCTTAAAATCATTTTGTGTTTATTTATTTATGTACGTGTGTATATATCTACACACACGTGATCAAAAGATAATTAAGTTGAATATAAGCTTTTAATCTGGTTGATTTTATTTCAGTAATTTGCCATCAAATATTCTACACAGATTTAGAACTTATAGATCCAATTATTGTTTTTATTAAATGAACATTCACATTAGTGTAAAAATATTGTTGAAGTTTAAATTATTTGCTTGGTCACAGTAATTATGTTGTTAAGTAATTTCATTCAGAAATAAAATGAGAAACTTCATGAAACTAATAAATTTGATAACACACTTCTTCTACATATGATAATTCAAATGCACAGCAAGAGGTCTACCAATGAATCATTTAGATTATGAGAGTAGAAAAAAGAATCAGCATAGCTCAAAAATTTCCTGAAACCAAAATATTAGGAAAAGCATACAACATATTCAGAACAATATTAAAATGTTGTAAATATATTAGTTAAAAAAAAATTAGACACCACAAACAAACAATATGACAACGTAGCTAATTGTCAATTAATAATTACAACAAATCTTAAGCATGATGAACAGTGTCGACATTCAAATGAAACTTGCCACACAAAATACAATCACTTATGAGCTAAGCAATTTTGGGAATACATTAAATAGTAACTTCTGCTATAAAATTATAAAGTTCTGATGAAAAAGGCAACATAGAAGAGAAAGTTATTGATTAAGCACTGCTTTATTTGGTTTTCAGTCAACTTTTGGATGTTGGGTTCTGAAGCAATTTAGTCCAAGTTCTTTGTAAAGTTCTAAGCTGGAATTAATGCTTAAAACCATTACAGTACAATCAGGTCTAAATTCCCTGGCCCTAATCATGGTTCCCAATTTGAAGCATGCCCTATGTAACACCCCATGTGCATAAACAAATTCGGTTAAGGTAAAAGTTCACTTATTACTAAGGGGGGAAAATTGACATGATCGCTTGGTGCTGCTCGTGCATACAAACGACTTAAATGCTCACAATCCATCTATTGTAACTTCGTTCATCCAAATTTGTCAATTTAAATAATAAATCAGAAAGTATACAACATTAACCACTGAAAAAGAAAGAAAAGACAAGAGTCACATTAAGATAGGCCTTATAAATTTCGACATTCTAAAAATAGAAAGCGAATTTACTGAATATAAAACAGGCTGGGGGCCGAAATTAAGCATTGTTTTTGTTCTAACCAAAAGTGCAAACTTGCACACCCTAAACCCTCCAACCAGTATTTCCATGTCAAAGCTTGATACGCCATTCCAGCCTCAGCATGCTCTTGAATTTAGAGTTGAGATTTGTTCTCGCAATGTTCAGAGGGCTGTTTCTTTGGTTCAATGTTTGTTCTGTGTGCATAGTGGTCGTGAGGACAAAGATGGGCCCGGTGTGAAGCATCAGTGCATTGTGAATGTTCAATTCTACAAGCGACCGTTTTGCAAATAAAATTATCACGGTCACAATGAACGCCAATATTATGTTGAATGAGAAGCGTACAATTTGTTGACCAACAAAGCAAAGAAATCATATTTTGTAAATAAGAAGAAGTTGAGTATGGATACATTTCTGGATAGCTCCGGCAATGAGCTCCACTTCGAGATTTTAGCTTCAATTGTTGAAAACATCGTTGTTGATACATTTTTCAATCCACAAGACAACAAGGAAGATGATTCTAAAGCCATCACAATGAGAAACACATTGAAATTGTTCTCTTTACATCCAAACAGTTTGTATTTCGTGAGGATTAAGAATTCCACCCGATTTGAACTTGCTTTGAAGCATACATTGATTAGTGTCTCCTTTCGACAAACTACTGCGGTTATCAGCCATTACAAGGAGAAGTTCAAAAATCCAAAATTGGCTAGTCTCAATGACCGCATGGTCAGCCAATTCGTTCTTGTACTAGTGGGCGTAAACTTGCAGATCATCTCCGACATTCTTAGTAATAATTCTATATGATCCTTCGCCCTGGCTGGAGACAATTCTTACCACCAAGGGATATCGTTCTTTGATATTTGAATCCGAGTTTGCATCGATGGTGTGCTCTATAACTTGCATTTGGTTGTTCCATTTTTCGACTGTCATACTACCTTGAACATTACCTTGCTGATCTACAAAATGCTGGACAACATACATTCCAGTTGGCACGGCAAATTGATTGCCTTCAATTCAGAAGGTGAAAACACTATGATAGATTGACATAATGGCGTAGCTACCCTTCTTGATAGGGAAGCCATTGAACAGATACTCCGCATTCGCAATACATTTGGTTGAAGGAATCTCATGCGTTCAGGCAAAGCAAGACGTAGACAATAATATTTCGATGGAGGAGGTCCCACCTATAATGCTTACAATGCTCATCAAAATGCGAACATGTACATTCATCAGCATTATTCTTGACCCTCGTCAAAGTCACATCAGAAATTACTAGTGAAAGATCGACGTAGAAAAATTGAAACAAATCACAAGTTGTTAATCAAAGCATATAACAACGAGGTGACAACCACAATTTGTATCAATCGGCACGATCACAAGACCATGTTCAATGATGCTTGGGATGATGTCAAGGGTCGATTCATGCACCTTCGCAACTTCTATGGAGGATTGGCTAATGTGTTCGCAAATACATCAATGGAGTTAGATTTCTCAATCTTGAAGTGGGCGAAGGACGAGTTTCGCCAATCGCTGACTAGTTTGGCCCTGGATGGAGTGTTCCAAACAAAACAACATGAAATTCTTTGCAGTATCAAATAAGGTAGGTATGATTCATTCAAAACAGTGATTCCCTTTGTCAAAAAGACGCTGAATTTTCTTATAAACCACAGTTTTCTGGCTTTTATTAGAAATGCCATATTTCATTAGAGATCGGCGCAGAAAGAAATTAAGCTAATTTTGGTAATTTCGGCATTTGCCGAAATTTATGAGGCTTGCATCAAGAACCCAACATTGATCATATTAACCCTCCCATACTCCGTACATCACGTTACCTGTCTAAGTCTACCTTAGAAACTAGATAACCGTCGCACTAAAATAAGCAATCTGTGTGTACAGAGCAAAACACCGAATACAGATGCTGTGTTGTATGAGACCTCCAGTCGATATAGTGCTCAACGCCAGGTGCAGATCATTCCCAGCTTGCATCACCTGGTACAGACCTAAGTAGCAAATGGTTGTCATTTATCAAATTATTTTTAATCTAAAAACTCAAAAAAAGAAAAAGGAATGAACCACTTTGCAGAAGAAGCTGAGAATCAATTCATGTTACAACTAGGCCAGTGAAAGAGGTCAAGGACAGTGAGTGCAGGTAAATGCAGACCTACTGGAGATGGAAAATCGCCCTCACGCTACGTTTTCTAAACATATTCGGGGCAGCTGTTGGTTTCAGTTGCAAGAGTTGAGTCGCTTCGCCACGGCATGGTCTCTGCTAAGACCCTACACAATGGTGTCAGATAGGAATTCATTTATTACGCTTCTTCTGAGATGCAAGGCACAAATCGGCTGGCTAACAGATCATACACAATACAGAAAGCAGAACATGCATATCACGCGCAGCGCTCGTCCCAAGATGAAAAGTTGAGGAGGCGAACCTAAAAAAACTGATGCTCACGACTGAGTTCAGATGGCCCAATCCTGAATCTTTCACTGCTCGCATCCTCGTTCACCAAGACCGATTGCATTGTTATGTTGGCTCATTGATCAGTTGGTGGAATTTCTTGGGCATCCATGCGGTAACGCAGAGTCTGTAATACTTGATAACTGACAGAGATCGCCCAGCAGGACAAACCTATAATCCCACTGAAACCCTATGCATGTATGTCTTTTGCCCAAACCCATTTTTATCAAACTGGGAATGAGAACCCTTGGGTTTCTTCGGTGGAGCTACAGAAAGATGCAAACGAGGCCCAAACATTTGAACACCTTTTCCGTCCCTTAACTCGTTTAGTATTTGTAGCTGAACAGCCACGAAAAGATGTGTGGGCATTAAAAGATTTGTTCTTAGTAACTCTTTCTCAAACGAGATTCTCTCGAAAACTAGTAATCGACTGCCAGAGGAGAGAGGAAAGCGACGAAAAAAGTAAAGAAATCGCCATGTTTTTTAAACAACCACAAGTCAGCAGCAACGTAACATTGGTTTTGCGCATACCCGAGACTTATTTGTACTGGCAATTGATGAAATTTCTTGATCCTTATTTTTCCATAAAAGTTGCATTCGAGGCCTGATATCCGTCGATGATTGTGATTGTGTATCTTGAATACTTGATATCTTTTCCTCTGAAGCAAGAAATTTTAAGTTGCGACAACACAAAGGACACAATAAGCTCCTCTTCCCTCCCCCTCCCAACTGGCCACTTATGCAAAACGCGTGAGCAGCATGTCCACAAGTAAGGACCTGTAGACCGTCGGAACACACTTCACTAGTTGAGGTTGACTGCGAACTGGAAGAAACTCCAATAAGCTCGTTCATATTGCTAGAGTGTACACCCACCAACTCAAGCTTGCAAATACAACACTTTGAATTACTGAGAGCATATGCGTGAGTGGAGCCTCTTAGCAACATATACAAACTATGGTGTAGAGATTCCTCGACCAGTTGCTTGGCTTTACCCTGCATTACTCACCACAAGTTGTTCAAGTTCAGGACATTTATAGCACCATGGAAGAAACAACCATGTAAAATTCAATTTATGTTCTAAAATAATTGCAATGCACTTGCTTTTTTGAGTGTGAAGTATCTATAATTACCATCAGCAAAACTTATAGGCGGAAGCCTTTGTTTCTTCTGTTTATACTGTCCACTTTCACATGAAGATAAGAAAATTGCGAAGGTATAAATGCACAATGAACGGTGATATTTTAGAAACAACGTGTTTTAACTTTAGCGACATACCAAAATTGTGAACTCATAGGTGTAAGCACTCAGCAAGTTGCAAATGGCTGCTCGAAAGTCCCCCAAAGGATGACTACCGTAGTTGGATATAATCTGCTGCAAGAGGATTTGCGGCGAAACATGATCCTGCATTGCTGTTACAGTGCTACCAACCAGATGCACCAACCACATCCTCACAAGCTTGTCTGCAAAAACAACAGGTACATCCGTCAAGCACAAAGGACCAGCTAGCTATCACATTAACCCAATGGAAATTGAAGAATCAATATAATGAAGAACCTAACTAAAGAACAGTACAGTACATTTATTGTCGTCCATCATTTTATATTGTACAGAATGCACTCGCTCTCCAATCACATCACTGGAGGCAGTAGATAACCCTACTGTCGTGCCCTCAAGAAAAGCTGGTGTAAGATTACGTAGTGCCTCCACCACACTGCGGAAACAACAATTCTAGAATCAGAACCTCAAGCAGGCAGCGAGAATCTAGCAATTTTTACCATCGGTCGAACTCAACAGGTTTGTGTGAGCATCGATAAGAAGCTTTTACAGCGTTGCTCACCTATCAAGTAACCGAAACCAAAGAGAACATGCTTCCTCAGAACTCAGTCGCTGCGTATTCCGCAGACACAAAGCTACTCCAGCATGAAGTGCTGACTCGACAGCAGACGTCTATAAAATTTACAATGACAAAAATTGATGAGATGATAAAGCAAATCACTTCTAATAATGCAGTCTGCTCAGTGTAGAAAGTATGATGTAGTCTTCCACATAAATAAATTCCATTCATTACCCTCAATAAATCTCATAGTTTCACGGGAAAGTCACTACGAGAGTTAACATCCACTGACCCCACATGTACAATCTAATGTTTTCCAATTGACTTGATGCATCAACAATGAATAACCAGCAGCATTCAGGAGTATCGAAGGTACCTCGGACATAGAGTAAAATGAGTGCATTTCCATATTAAAACGATCCGACTTCTCAGAAATGAGACTTTGCAGCATGATCTGCAAACTAGAATCTAGATCTTTGATCAAAAGTGCAAGAGCACCTGATATGTCCCCTGCACGTTCCAGCAATAGTATGGCTGCGTCGGCGATGCCGTACTTTTGAACCATTCTGAGGCAATTATCTACATTATATTGTTCACATCTTGCGAGAAATTCCACGACTGACTCAGGTTCCAATCTACACAGAAGCTGTTACCACCGAAGACATAAAAGTTTGTTAACACGGTATACTAACAATATTGTATGATAGAGACAATGGCTAACGAATATTTGAAAAGGAAATATGTTCATTAAAAGCTCCAGAGAAGCAAACTGGTATGAAGTTCTAGCGCGTGTCGTCATTTTGTAGATACTAGAATCCTTAAGAAGCACTACTCTTTCCACACAAGTGACAATTACAATATGCGGTAGAGTCACAGAATGAAAACAAAATAAAAGAAACCCACCTGAAGATATTGCTCGACCATCTTATCAGTACACTGAAAGCCTGAACGTCGAACTAGCTTGTCCAACTTGATCAAGAATTCCCAACGAGAACTAAATTTGTCTCTGTTTCCTTCGTTGTGAACCTTTGACTTGACATCTTGCAAACATGAACTGGATCGGACACCTCCTGATACTACAAAAGAAGTTGGGACACCCCAAATTGCATTCATAAGGTCTTTGAGGAATGCAAACAACAGGGTCTCATCAGATTCCAATGCCTCCATCACTTGCTCATTTGAAGTGCTGAAGTGAGTTAACACAATCCAAAGAGTACCTTTGCTGGAGAAGATAAACACAAGAGAAACCGAGTTAAAGTTCAGTGTATGCAACAGAAGTAAATCATCAATCGTTATAATGTTTTGGGAAAAATTAAATCGATGCGTGTACGGGATATCTCCAGGGAACCCTACCTACTATGCAGCATGAGTTTGCAGATTCGATCCAAAACAGCTTTCCGAAATTCTGCAAGGACACCACCTTTCAAGCCGGTCGTTGCGTCGAGTTTTTGCATCACATAAGAGAACACAGGCTCATGTACATATTTGTCCTGAAGGTAACAATCCAAAGCTGCTACGGATGAACCATATTTGACGTGCAGCCAAGCACTTGCCTACTCACAAGAACCCCACACAGAAAAAAAATTCATGACTGCAAATCCGGTGAGTAGCAATAACAAAGCTTCTACAATCTTAGAAACAGCCTCGGAAACGTTGAAAGCCGTGAAATCAAAAATCAACAGATCATCCATTGAAAAAATGACGCAACCAAAAATAATATGAACTTATCCGCTATGTCTTTAAGGCAAATCCGTTCACTTACCTGCCAGAGTCCAGCACGTTGTGCACATAAAAGAGAATGATCGAAGTCCCAATCTGATTCAGGCACGCTTTTCAACAACTTTATCAATAGATTCTGTCTAGTACTCTTCCCCATGACCTTTTCTGCAATGGGTGATGTCACGTACTCCAGAATACACTTCAGGGTGGTACGACCAACAACAACGTGCCTCGACGCCACATACTCGGCCACAAACTCAAGTATAACCCCTTGATCATCGGCCGATAGCCAATTTTGCGAATCAGAATCTAAAATCTTAGAAGAATCATATGCTCTCAGGTCTAAGTTCTGTGTCATTGCAATAACAACAGCTTGTAAATATCTCACCCCTTCATCAATAACCTGAAAATTGTTTGGTAAATCTGAGGATTCTCTGTAGTCTATAATGGATGCCTCTGCTGCATCGGCATATGCCCATCCTTGCCTGCCAATGGACAAGACCCCATGAACTGGAAAAGCAGATCTTAACACAACCAGGGTCGCTTGAGTATCCAGCTTCAGAAGATATCCCAGCCTTGGGTATGCACAACCTTTGGCATTGCAACTTGAGTCTACAATTTCTGCCAAGGTTGGTCGAACATCAAGCAAGAATTGTAACAACTCTGCCCGCAATGTCGGCAAACGATCGATTGGCAGGGTACCCCGTCCTGTGAACACCAATTCACTCGTTACAGATCAATGCTGCACAATAAACGTGGCACATGTATGATAAACGTCAAGGTTGAAAAACCGTACCCAAAGGAAATGCAAGTCCGTTGAAGCAGGCTTTCAGGTATACGAGCATCTTGTACCTGGAAACAACGAGTGAAAAGAAACGCTCATCTTACACACAAGAAAATGTACAAATAAAGTTTCTGTAGATACAGTTCAGTAAAGTTAAGCTTCAATGTCACAGACAGGAAAAAAAACATTATTACTACTCTGAGTTTTAATAAAGAGCATTTACCCAAGTGTCCTGGGCTCAATACGACTACTGGGAGATTGTGCAGCTATCAGAAGCTCTTCCAAAGGTGATGTAAAATCGTCTAAACCACTGTTGAACAGATAAATAAGCGCTGTGTACAATCCATGCTTACGGCATAACTTAATAACCTGCAAATCCACTAGGAAAGTTGCATCAATCCACAGGGAGAAGTATGAATGTACGAAAAGATGGTACGATATTAGAACTAATGTGTGCAACAATTATTGTACAGGGTGTGCAGAGGGTTCCGGTCGCTGGTATTAAGCATTGATGCATATACATCAAGAGTAGAACTAGACACTTCTGTTAACATGTATACGCACAGACTTGAAGTTCACGCAAATGTTGGAATACCTGATTGAAATCCAGAGAGCTAATGGTCATATGAAGCACGCATTCCTCGACTCTTTCTAACCAACCACAATGACTGTAATGGTCTACAAAAGCTTGCATTACCTGTATGCCAAATAATCCTGTTATACGCTTAGAGCTAGCTATTTTAAGTTGTAGATTACAGAAGAGATTGTTCAATAATCCAAATTCTTAACAATGCTGCACAACAAAGAACCATTTTTGACATGCGAAATAATTGAACTTGGTGTGGACTGGGAATTAAATACCTCCGGAGCAAGACCACTCAACATGTCTCTGAGGATATACGGCTCAAGCAACTCCAAAAAGGTGCCTACATGCACCAAAAGTAGCATCCTCAATCAGCATTTGCAGTTGAAGTGGATTCTTCATACAAGGCATACACAGGTCAAGTCTGCCTTTAAAATGACACGGTAAATACCACCTCGTTACGACATGAAAAAGGAATCTTTCAATGAGTATCAAAGCTGAGCTCACTTACTCTTTTGGCCAACGGATTCAAATCTGCTGTATATGTCCTCACATATAACTTCCGTCTTTCCGATGTGTACGCAGAATTCAATTGACATACGTCCTATTTTAGCGTAATGCTCGTGAGGCTCGGCAATCATTTTAAGCCCTAAGTTGGCTCTTCCCCAAGTCTCAATACCAGTAGGACTTTCAACAGCCTCTCCACTCTCAGTCTCAGCAGGAATCGGGTTGCTGTCAAAGACGGCCGAGGATGAACCAAGTGCTAGATAAGCAAATACTTCGTCAAGATATGAAAAAAGAAGCCCAAGCAGTGTGTCTCTGATAGCATGCCGCATCGCTTCCAATCTCCTTGGAAGACCTGTCACACTTTCTGCTTTACCATCAAATAGTTCCAAAGCAAAGCGAAAGGCTTCCATCCAATCACCGGAACCTTTCAGAAGCTTCAAGCGGTCAAACCATGGCAGAAGCCGAGCCCGCCACAATTGCGAAGGCCCAAGTAAATATAGAGCTGCACCACGAACACCTATGGTATTATGAAATGCTTTCTCTGGATTCTCAAATTCATTTACGAAATGAGTATGGTACATAAGTGCCCCCACATTTCCTTGAACATCCTTCAAGGTTGCTCGTTCAATCTCTGTGCCATCCTTTTTATACACTAGAAGCTGCCCTTTTACAGTCGCAACAACTAACACCTGCGCGATCGTTATGCACAATCATTATGTCGACGAATATCTTTAAAACACAACAATGATAATGAAAAACAACAAAAGAATGCAAATTTCTTTTAAAACGTGTTTTAAATCTTAGCTAAATTTCAGAGTCAATAGTCATAACTGTGTTAGTCAAAAATCTCTTTGATAGCTTTCAAATTAACTACACCTTGGTTCCAAGCCCTGGTAATGACATCAACCGGTAACAACATAGCCAAAACTACCAGTAGTACATGTCGATTCATCTCCAAAAAACCTGTTAGAATTCAGAGACTCCCTGAGTTTCAATACTGGCAAGAAGAGATTGGATGCGTTCAACGTACCTTGTCTTCCAGCCATGCTATTCCAGCAGCAGCATTATCAATATCCCATTCAACATCAACTATCAGTTCACTGATTTTGAGGTTAAGATGTGCAATAATAACTCTTCTATCCCAAGCAACAGCCAGAACTGGCCAGTTAGGATCATTATCTACTGTATCATATCCTACTTCTGCATATGTCTTTCTGGAATGCTGCCATGAGGTATAAGGGATCGCTCCTTCTCGAAGCCGAGCAGGCCGATGTAGTGTGGCAAAACGTGCATAAGTTGGGATTAAAGATGCCTGCGAATCCAATTCAAGACCTTCAACTTTAATATCTGTAAAGTATTGAAAAACTTCCGTCTAACTGATAAGGTTATCCTCTGCCTCGATTGCCTGTATGGATGTTATCTTACAAGGCAACAACTTCTCGAATGCGGATAACCTGCAAATGAACATCATCTTGAAATCTTCGCAAAACGTACTTACTGCCCTTACAGACCGCAGATACAGTAACAATACTCACAAATTCTAGCTGGTGAATAAGAGAGCTCTGAAAGGTTAACAATTACCGCAAAAATGGCTGAACGAGTAACAATGACAACTATTCCGCATCTAGCTGGTTCGGTCGGTTCCACTGAACCAACTTCATTGAACAAGAACTTATGACCAGCATCCGTAGATTTATTGGCTGAATTCATGTTTGCTGTACTGTGAGTGAGGTCTTCCACATTTAGAGGTGAAATTGCTAACACGGAACCCATATCCTGTTCGATATCCACAATCTGAACAAACAACTCTTGTTAGTGGAGATTTAGAAGGACTTCTACGCTTAATAATTTGGAGCCAACGCCGCAATGTTATGCAATTTCTTGGCATCATCTCGAGTCGCTAAAAGCCCTCAGAATGTTAAATCATAAATTGACGCGAAATTAGTATGCTAAACATCAAGGAAATCTTACGAAAGGTGCACTGTCAAAGTTAAGCACATCGTCTACCCTCCATACAACCACTGTGAAAACTTGATATACCCATAAAATAAAGATAACAAACTTTGAGGAGGGCAAACCTGAGAAAGAACTGAAAAACGGCGTAAAAGTGGCCGGAAAGTGAACGTGTGTAATAACACGCGTCCTTTACAATCAGCAGTAACAGCCCTCATCTGTCGCATCTCTGTGTCAGCTTGCAAAAGAAAGAACGCATGCACTATGGCTCCAGCATGTTGGTCTACTATGGACATGTTCAATTTCACCCTTGGCACATCCCAGAGGGATATGGTGCCTCCCGCATAACCGACCAGCAGATGGTCACCATGATCGCTGAAGCACATGACGGTCACAGCCATCTGCGCCTTATCTGGCGGTTCTAGAAGAGCGGCCTACAAATGCAGTTTCACACCGTAAAACTCAGAAAAAAGTGAGGTTACCGTGGTGAGCCTACAGCAGCAAGGAAAACTCATGTCAAAACTACTCATTCCGGTGAAAAAGTCAACAATCTCTAATCCACCATGAATCATTCAAACGTCATGTTGTATGTAGTTGCAGGAAAGTCGTCTTCGTCAGCTCAGGATCTCTTATTCTGCACACATTCCAAATTAACTCAATTTCTGCCTGCACATGAAGCTTCATCGTGCAGCATAGCCAAATAACTTGCAAGAAGCCTCAATCATACCTTGGCATCCGCATCATCAATTGCACGGGTAGGTGAATATTTGCTTGGAGTCACAAGGACTGCCCCTTTCGACATGCCCACAGCTATGAAATTTGCATGCACGGCTAGAGCTTGAGTGAAGCCAAAATCACGTCGCATGGCAGTTGAACCGAGGGCTTGAGAGAGAGAGCCAGTAGAATCCACGTGCAATATTCCAGTCCTCGACTGCCCTTGCTTGATAAAGTCCAAACTAGATGTCTGAGCTGCGGCATCTTCTTCCAAACAAGCTCCAGCTTTAGTGACCATTTTCTCGTATTCTTCAGCCCGATCTAATGCAGTATGCTGATTATTTTTGTCCTCCTGATCTACTCTGACATATGGACTTTCTGAAAGCTCTTTCGACTTTTCATGAATAAATTCAGACTTCTGTCCTATCATCATATGCTCTGTCTCTGATCCACCACCAACATCGTGAAATTCTCCCTGATTTTTTACAATTTGCACCGCATCTTTTGAGTGGATGTTGTCTATAATTTCCTCATGCAATTGAGATACAATGTCATCAATAGTGTGGCCCTGTTCTTGATAAGAAGAATTTTCAGTCACAAGCTCGTTCTCAGTTTCATGAACTAATGATGATGTAACATTCGACTGGAAATTCTCATCTGCATCACTACAGATCATAACTCCATGCACAGTAGTAGATGCTGTCAAAGAGGGCTCCGAAAGAGGATAATCGTTCGTCAAGTTGATACAACCATCGACACTTTGCGTGAGAGAACTGTCTCGAGTTCCTCCAAGTGAGGAAGGCACTTCCTGCAATTCCGACGGCTTAGCAGGGATATCACTTAGAAAAAGCTCTCTCGACTTAATGATTTCCCCTGATGCTAAGTTCAAATCTGGCTGCTTTCTTGACGATAAAGCTGGCATACGAATATCTACAGACTTCGTTCTTCGGCTCCTTAACATTGTGGATGGAGAACTAGCCATTTGTCTCGAAACTGCAGCCGCAGCTGCTAAGGCTGCTCCTGGTCTCGACATTATTCGAACTCCTGCAACTTGACCTTCGGACTCCAACACCAGTTTTGGTGACCTAGACATTTCGTCACTGTCTAAAAGCACATGTCCTCTTTCAACAGCGACAGACTCCAAACTTGAGTAATCCTTCGATCGGGTCTCCACGAAGTTAGCACTGCACGAATCCTCTACAAGACTAGACATCTCAAGGGAATGCAAATGCGGCGATGCATCCAGTCCAGAAATGCCTCCATTTGTAACACTTTCATGTCCAAAAGAAGCTTGACTCCCAAGCAATGAGGCATTTAAGCCCTCAAAAGACGCTAAGATTGTCGAAAATGGAACATCATTATTAAGATCCGTTGAATCGATTATTTGATCAAGAATATTGCGTTCAAGCTCGGATATATCTGAATTCCCTTCTTCATCACTACTCTGTGCAAGTAAAAGAGCATCAAGCTCATAATCCTCAGCCTGCATCTTATATGAATATCAATTGCTTGTCGAACTGCATCCTGCTCGAAAGCATTCCGCGATGCCAGGATTCATTGACACAAAATTCATGCTTCCATTCTCCAACACAGACAACTGCAGCATCTCCAAACACACACACACACACTTCAATTTCAACACCCTTGAATACATCAAACGAAGATTAGCTCCCTCCACATGCACAATCAATATACGTTAATGAACAACCCGAACATCCACTTTACAAAACCCTAAAAAGAAAACCTATCATACACAATTCACCTCTCCAAACTACTGTTCTAAAAAAAAACGCGAGATGCCTTGCGCCAAAAAATAATTCGCAGACCATCACCTTACACTCGAATTGCGGCCTGTACGCCGCACCCCCCGCAGCTCGCAAACCGCTGTCTACACCTTGCAAACCAAAGAGTCCTCGTACACCCCACGCAAATTCTTCCTACGCAAAGTAGGCCTACATGATTGCTGGAAAGCTCGAGGAGCGGGACATTGACTGGATCGTCGGATTGGAATGGGCTGACGGAGAAACCGAATACCGGCACAAGGCGAAGGGACGAGTGGGGTGACACGTCGAGAAGCAACTGGGCGGGGCCTTCCTTGGCTTACTTCACAGGGGTGGAGAGTTCCGTATTGGATAATGGAGGGAACGACCACAGTGCCGGAGACTCTTCTCGTGTGCTCCTCGCCCGATTCCCACTGGAACCCACTTCGTTCGTTCTCAGGGTCCCCGTTTCATGTGGAATATAGACTCTTTTTAGTATTTATTCCTTTCCTCTTTCTATTTTTTGAAGTGTCAATGAAAAGTGAGTTGGAATTGAATACACTCTCAAAATACTTCAAAGTTACATTCGACTATATATATGTATGAAAGCTGAAGTCAGCCCGGTTACCTCAAGGGCAACCGAGATTTGATGGAAAATCTTATCTTCAGATAGAATATATCTATTTATTTATTATTGTGAATACCATGTTTGGTAATATATCATTGTAACTTGAAGAAGGCACAATTTACAGAACAAAGGTCCTAATCAAAGAAACCAAAACACTACAAATTGTAATGTAAACTAAATAAATTAAATCAAGTAGTGAAATACTTTTAGAAGCACAGCAACTATCACAAATTTAATGATTAATAAAATACACAAATGTTACAAATAAAGGAAATACGAAAATTTGGAGGTGGAAAAAATATTCTGTCAAACAAGTCATTGTGGCACAATAGGATTGATGCATTGGTTTTCTTTTTATCTGCAATTAAGTGTATATATATATATATATACACATATATATATATATATATATATATATATATAGATAGAGAGAGAGAGAGAGAGAGAGAGAGAGAGAACTTTTTTGATAGAAATAAGTATATTATTTTTCTTTTGTAGTTGCAAAGGAGAAGATTTTAATAAAAAAAATATCTTGTACAATAAGACTATGTTTTCGAAATTAAAATTCCAAAAAAATGCATAGTATTGAAATTATTGAATATGATTTAATTTGTGACATCATTGAAAGTATATTTAAGTTCATGTTTTGTCTAATTAAAACATGCCAAAATTGATCAAGAATTTGAAACAATCAAATCCATGAAGAAATCTACCGAAATATTTTGATATGACCAATTGGATAATAAAGCCACAGAAAAATAAATAAATAAATAATCAATTCTTTTGAACCAAACATTAATTGAAATTAAAATAAAAAACCAATCATTTTTTTTTTGCACTTGAGTTAACAACAATAAAAATATCGTAGTTTTGATGGTTGATTTTTTTGTTGGTGATTTTCAAAACGTAATTTAAACATTTAACCTTATGACCAGAAACAAATTTCTTGTTGTACTAATTTTCTTATCCTAAATCACAAATCCCTTTACATACTTTCTGTCATTTTTATAAATTGAAATGTTGGAATGCACATATATGAAGAAGAAATAAAATAAAATAAAATAAAAACTATGCATTTGAAATCATTCAACATTAATCTGAGTTTGTATTTGTATCTCCACGTGAGAAGTAAATATCTAGTATTAATTACAATTTTTTGAAATCAACGATGTTTGTTTGTTTGTTTGTTTGTTTGTTTGTTTGTTTTTTTTTTTTTTTATCAAAAATAAATATGAAAGTATTTTTTATTTTACTCTTATTATTATTATTATTATTATTATTATTGTTATTTTAAATGCATCTAGGTTACACACATACTGAACACATTGAAATTTATTTTCAGAGATGAGATTGTGACTTCTTATTTTTCTTCTCACAACCAACACAAATGAATTTGCCTACATGCAGAATCCGTAATTGATTAATTATTTTTCATATTCCTTCTTATGAGATTTCATATTAAACAGAGTGGTTCACTATTGACAAACTTGGTAACAAGAATTTCAAAATTATCAATCTGGCTCTTGAAACATTTAACGACAAGTACTTGTCAACAATGACTGCAAATAATAATAACGAAGTCCCTGGTTCGGTGCTTGCCAACTCAGCATTTTGAGAGATCCGAAACTTGCTGAGTTGGCATGTCACCGCCCTCGCAGACTGCCAGCCAGTCTCCCGCGCGGGCGTTCAACCCAATTCTCGACTCTTCGAAGTCCTCGATCCAATTTCGCATCAGGTTTCCAACCAGACCTGGTATTCGGCTATGTCGGAACCGCTTTCATCGATCAGTGCACTCGCTGAACCCTCGCATTTGTTATTATCGACTCGGAACTTCCATTCGATTTCGGAGGTACTACTTGACCGTCCGTGTAATGCATCATTGTGATTGGGAAGGGGCTTCGTGAGGTGGTCTTGTGGTAGTTTTGTGTGGTTTTGCACCTTATGTTTGACCGGTGTTCAGCTCCTGCGCGATGGCGATGTAGAAAGCTTGTTACGTTCCCTGTTGGTGGAGCCGAGGACCTTTCTTTCGCAAAGTTGTTTGTCTAAGGGTTGTGATGAAGTATCACTGGCTTGCATTGTTGAGATGCAGGAGAGCAAAGATTGGGATTGGTTTTAATGGAACGGTTTTTTAGTTGCGGATGATCCATTTAGGTTTTTAATTTGATTCGTAACTTATGGGAGGCATGCTAAAATTCGTGAAACTCTGAGGCATTCAGTTCTGTGCTGTACTGAATTATTGATTTGGTGTGACACTTGACAAGTGTGAGGTTTCTTCGCTGGTATTCTGTATTTGAAGAATGAATGAACAGTGACGAAGAGTGCTGTTCAATTGGTGTTTCGTAGATGAGGGAAGAACCCCCTCAGGAACGAGCATTCTTGTCTTTCTATTATCCTCTATTCCACATGTTTCTGTGTTGGCAACTATTTTGCAATACGTGTTTGAGAATCTGCTCCAAAATTCCGCCTCCTTGGCGTTGTGTGTTTTCGCGATGGTTCTCTGTAGGTCCTGCTTGAAGCGAAAACAGTGGTTGGATTAGCACAGCTGTGATCGATGGAGCGACATCCTTCTTAGTGCTAGCTAACCCCGAAGAGATAACGCTCGTCGAAAGCAGAGACATCCGAAAATAGTTTGGCACATTTTGTTAAAGCTCCTTTGGAGCTGTCAGGTAGTGCATTCAACGAGCTAATCATCACCGATTGTACCTGATATCACAAAGATGATGGATCCCGATGAGAGCTTTCCGGCTGGATGTGAAATGTTTTGTTCCGAGTTTATCAGGATGCAAGGATTTGGCATCACTGTCTTCTGAGCTAGAAGACTTGCTGACATTTTCAGCTACTAATGATGGTGTTCTAAGCAGTCAACTCATTCGGCAGCAGTTTCATGATATTACCGGTTTGTTCTATACCTTCGTACTTCAATGGAGCAGTATGAATCGTTGCGTGTTTGGAATATTATGCTCTTGTTTCAATTCGTGGGTACATTAGTTTGCAATGGAGGCTCTTGGGCTAGAAACCGACGATGCTTCTTATGTTACGGAGTTCAAAGTGGCTTTGAAATGTGTTCCGTGTTAGTATATACTGGATTCTTGTAAGAAAGGTGTTCTTTATAGTCTCCATCATACACGCGCTATGAAGTATGTGCGATAGGACCGAATTGGCTTATGAAGATTGTGAGGTTTGCTTATACAGCTCAGAGCATGAATGGCTGAATTCCAGTAAAATCCTGCCAATTTGGCACCCTTCTGATGTAGTCCCTCATGCAGGGATCAATTCGTAAACTGGCACCAGTTGAAGGAGAGGTAGAAAAGTTTCTGCAGTGACGTTGATGGAGGCTGTTCTATTTGCTTCAGAGTAACGGTTGGTCATGATTGGTAACCTGGAAAGTCGGGGTTTTTTTGTTTTTTTGTTTTTTGGGTCTTCAAGCGGCATCGTAACAATATTCATCGTGATTATTCTGATATATGAAGCCACCGCTAATTGAGCACGTGAGTCTGAGTAACATGAATACGTTTTAAAGCGGATTGGATTGGTTCCAGGAGCAAGAATCTTACCATGTCAGTGCTGACAATTGAATACAGGTTTAATTCATCTAATCTTCTCTGCCATAGTCATCATGCTTCGCCTTTCTGGTGTGAACAGTCGCAAAACTGCTTTAGGTTCAAACGGATTTCGCATACTTGAGTCGGACTGCGACTGCAACGAAGTTCTGATCAGCACTCTTTTATCAAAATGCGGGTCATTATAATCATGAGCAGCGCAGGAAAGACTAACGACTGTCTCACAAAATCGTCAATAATGAATTCTGTGTACGAGGCTTCTCAGCTGTATCCTATGTCAGTAGAAGCCCAGCGGGTTTGAAATGCTACTTTGAGTATTGGTAACCAGTAGATCACGGGAGATACATCATGGTGCATTCAGAGCGACTACTGAATAGATTGTCTCACAAATATAGAAGATGATTGCCCAGCCGTCCTCAACATGGCCCACGAATAACGGAAACTTTGGAGATTAAATCTCCCGGCGCCCTCACCCAATCTGCACACATGTGATCCAATGTTTAAAATAAGACTTCTGAGAAGATTCCTCGATATCGGCATTTCACCCTTTCACTACTCGGAATTTAGGTTTGCTAACTTATCAGCTAGAGCACCGTTTGTCCTATTGCAATCAGAGCATTATTAATTTCTCTTGCGAACTTCATTACAAAAATACTTTGCACTAGTAAAAGCTTTTGATAAGCGGCGTAAACGAGACATAGTTACATAAAGTACAAATACTAATCTCAAGGACAAATTGCGCAAAGTGCGCAATGAGTTCCATGCTGTACAAAACCAACATGGACATCGGATGGCTGCCACCAGCTCCAAGGACTGCTGATAGTTCACTACGCTAAATTGGAAAGCAGGCTGGGTCGTTCTGCGAGATCTACACAAGTCTGGCGCACTTTTACGAAATTTTTGCGTTGATTTTGATGTTACAGTTGCGCCAAACATCTTCACGGATCACAGCCCATTAATATCCTCTAACCGTGCCAGGCAAGTGGCTTGATTCTGGGCTTGTGTGATTTGACTCCGAGCGTCTGAACCCAAAGTAGGTGGAGGCGGGGAGGCGATGTAGATCAAATCTTAAGTGTATCGATTTGCTCTTGTGGGTCTCGGAGGACGCCTATTCCTCACACCCAGTTTTGAGACTGTGGTTGTAGTCGTGTGTCGCGTAGATCAAGCTCCTTCCATTCGAATCAGTTTGATTTTGGAGGATTTGAAAGCTGATCTTAGATCGGTTGAAGAGTTCACAAGTAGTGGTAAGTGGGTGCGGTTCGGCGCTGCGAAGTGGGTACTTGTCCTGTGTAAAGGTTCGATTAGGCGGGGGGGAGGCTGGGCCGAATCACAACTGAGATCCAGCTGTCGATTGCCTCGATGGATCTGTTACTGTGAAATTGCGTTGCAACGAGAATTGTGAATCCCATTCTCAATGCTGCCAACGTAATACCTTTCTGTGGCAGCATCTATGGTGGTCCAGTGGCCATAGTCCGAGGTTATGCGAGAGCTGACTGTCAAGGTGGTGCAGATCTCTTCGCGTGAGGGGGCTCCCATGGGAATTTGCGGTTACAGAGGATGTGAGAGTACACGTGGTTATTAATTGCACGTGGATATTATTGCGACTGATTTTGTTGCGTCACGTTATCCCTCTTAGCAATGCTGAGCGTGCCAAGCTGCCGGAAGTTGTCGTTGGGGAGCATCATGGATCGCGTTCATTTGACCCTCTTCGTTGTAGCTCTTTCGATTTTCTTTCGAGCTACTTCCACAGCTGGCCAAAGTGGAGGTATACTTTCTGACACACTTGAATGTTAGTTGATTACTTAGAGACTAAGATGTGGTGCTAGATTGGTCACTTGTGTCGGTTTGTGAACTGTTGCTTAAGTCATTCCCTCCGTGGGGTTCGTCTAACATTGTCAGACTGCGTAGCAATGCTGGCAGATTCTTTCCAGGAACTTGACTACCGTCTTTTTTGATCGAGTCGCGACTCGTCACATTCATCGTGCATTCTCTAAGGGTATTGTGATTTAGAGTCTATGTCGACAGTGTTGAAAATTTGTGCTTAAATTCATATATTTGTTATCCTTTGATTTTCATTGGCGAGGCGTTCACCGAGTTTCTTCCTCTCGCAGCTCCAATTGCAGTGCGAATTGCATGCGGGTCGGAAACCGAATCGCACGCTCCGGAATCCGGTTATCTATGGCTAAGAGATATGAATTACACAGGAGGAAGCTCAGGGAATTTGACTACTGTTAGTCGGATAGCCTCGCAGCTGGACACCGTTCGCTACTTTGAGCTTTCAGACGGTAATGAAAATTGCTACAACGTCTCTGTCCCAAATGGCCAGTATCTGATAAGGTACTCATTTTCACAACTGTTTAGATTGTCGTACAGACCCGACTTTTAAGTTTTAGGTCTGTTGAGTAAGAGTGGAAGGAATAGCGGCGCAGTGTTCGCTGGATTCGCATTTTTGTTGTCCTCTCTCTTACACTGCTTGGGTCCAATTTCCAACAGATTCTACTTCAGCTACGGTGTGAAGGACAATTCTGGGCGGGAGCCCGAATTTGATGTATCGCTGGAAGGGACATTAGTCTACTCGTTAACCCGTGGGTGGAGCACCGCAGTAGACTATGAGTACGCAGATTCTACTGTACGTATTCTTGATGGAGCGGCAACAATTTGTTTCCACAGCTCTGGCCATGGGAATCCAGTCGTTGCCTCAATTGAAATTTTGCAGATTCATGATAGCGCATACAATTTGGGTGCTTCATCTCCATCCAATGTGATCCTGAAGACGGTGAAGCGAGTTTCAGCAGGAGCGGAAAAGTCTGGCTATGGCGTCAGTTTGCATGCCGATCCATGGAGTGGTGACCGGTATTGGGCCACTGATCAAACCCTATTCACTGCCAGATCCGATATTAGTTTACTAAACACATCGAACAATATTACGAAGTACAGCGATCCACCTAATACATACCCTCAGGCCATATACCAGTCAGCGACCACAACAGGGCCTAGCAACAAGCTGTCCTACACTATCCCCGTTGTACCGAATCAAAACTATTCAGTCTGGCTACACTTCGCAGAAATAGATCCTAGCATTACAGGTCCCAACATGCGAGTGTTCAATGTGCTTGCAAACGGACAACCTCTGTTTGAAGTTGTAGACATCGTGAAAATCGCAGGGGCTCCATTTACAGCTCTTGTGCTGAACAAGACCGTGTTTGTGGAGAGGAAGAGTTTTGAGCTCACTTTCGAACCCTTAACAGGAGAGATTGCGGTGAATGCATTTGAAGTCTTTCAGCTGATCACACGAGAGCAGCCTACTGCTACTGATAACGGTTTGGTTCATTTCCATTGTAGATGGTCATTATTATTTTTTTCCTCTTCAATTTGTTGGGTTTAGGATTTTAGAGTTCGACAGATAGAAGAGATTGTGGACTGAATTAGTCTTAAAAAATTTCCTCTGGCAGTATGGGCACTTCAGAGTATGAAGCATAGCTTGAGCCTCCCTGCACGATTGGGATGGAATGGAGATCCATGTGTTCCTCAAGTTCACGCGTGGGATGGCGTAAACTGTGAGTTTGACGGAGCGTTTGGTACCTGGTTCATCAGTGGCGTGTAAGTTGTCAATCTTTCGCTTCGGCAAATTCTTCTCTGATGTTTCTCTCAGTGTAATTGAGATCTGGATATACTGGCTGTTAGTTTGTTAGATCGTTAGTTTATTTGTTTACTTATCGGGTACGAACGTTTTTTATTTTTTATTTTTTATTTATTTTAATTATTGGAATGGGCTTGACTTGGTGTAGGGACCTCAATGTGCAAGGCTTAGGAGGCCAACTCGGTGACGATTTACTGGGTTTGCAACGACTTCAAACACTGTGAGTAGCCTTCCTTGACTTGCACTAATTCAAAGCTTGGTTTCTATGAATAGCCGCCCGTGTTTGGATGAAAAGTACCAGTCAGATGTTTCACTCTATTAGTACATTATGAGGATCGTGATATGTGAGATTTGTCCGGTCTTTTCACTGCCCAATGTATTAGGCCTCGCCATCTCTTTTCAAGTTCTGCATGTATTCGGGCATTTCAATCCGCAAAACTTAAGACTCTTTTTGGCAATGCCATCTTTTGCTAATTTGTCATTTGATTACGCAGAAACTTTAGCAAAAATTATTTGACTGGACCTATACCTGAATCACTTGGCAAGATTTCCTCTCTTACTACGTTGTGAGTTTATCATTCCACCTTGTTCTTCAATCTGTACCTGTTGTGATCGTGTAAGGTTACAGACAGTACAAATTGCACTTTTGTGCAAATGCAACTGCTTTTCCGAACCTTTCAGCATCAAAGCCGTTGTTTTCATTCCACATCCTAGGATCCGGCACATGATGAAGGTTTAGAGTGCCATCACATCATCCTGCTCTGCATGATTTACTTTAAGGGACTGATTTCGCATGTATCTACTCGCCTTCCAAGTCATGTTCCTCTGTACCTATGTTGCAGGGATCTTTCTTACAACCAACTGAATGGATCCATACCTCCAAGTCTTGCGCAACTTTCTAAACTTCAAGAATTGTAAGTATGCTCACATATGCACACGTCTTGAAATCCCGTCTCCGTTGTTAAAATGAAAATAGAAAATGTGCTTATCAGTCTATGCCCCATGCGCGCTTGCGATGTTGGAAGAGAGGTGCTTCAAGGCGTTTTCAAATTCCATTGTACTTCTTAGGGCCCTCCTCTAAACACTGATGGGCCTTGGTAACAATAGCCCCTCACTTCTATTTTTAATTTTTAGAAACTCAAGCTCCTCATGAATAAAACAGGTTGTTGAACGACAATCAGCTGAGTGGAGAGGTACCGCCAGCCTTGGGGGCTTTACCTATTCGTGGTGCTACGTTGAAGTACGTGATCTTATCCATCGTTCATCTTCAAGCTCCTTAGCTCTGGTTACAAAAATCCTGATGGTTCAAGCAGGGGTTCATCTACTTACATTCATAAGGTAGCCGTGGATTTCCGTTCGTATCAACAACTGATGTATGCTTTGATGCAGCCTTACAAATAACGACGGTCTTTGCGGAGTGGGTCTCCAGTCTTGCGAAAGTGTGAACGGCTCGAGGTGGACGACATTCTTCTTGCTCGTACTGGGGTTTTTGATACTTGTCCTGGGTGGCTATCTGTGCTATAAAAGGCGGATGAACATGCTGCGGGGAGCTCAACGATTACGTAAGTATTGTTCATTGTGCTTAATTTTGCTGTTCCAGTCCCAAGTCAATGTGCAGTTTACTCCACTCCTGTCGTATAATTACCGGGGTCAGTACTTGCTGTTATACTAGAATTCACCTTCTTCCTTGGTTGTAACATGGGATCATAAGGGTCTTACATGCGTCAGTGATGTGGCTGCGTTATGGTTCTAGAGATGCACACAGGTTCTGTATAACCTCCGATATCTCATGTCACCTCTTGACTAACTTCTAAACTTCAAATGCAATACTAACACGATGCAAATCAATCCTTGCAAATCATCCTTGCAAGTCAATCCAAATTTTTATTGCGAGTAAAGAGTTGAGCATCAAGAAAGAGATCTAAGATTGAGCAGTCTTTTGCTGTATTTGCTGAAAATGTGTGGGTGTGGGAGGGTCAAAAGTTCGTGTCATTCTGCCTCTTAGCGGGTTACGGGGCTTTATACAGTGCATCTACCGATTTGATAGCACATCTTCGTTCTAGTAAATTCCTTGCTATTGATACCTTTCGTTTGTGTTGCAGCTCGAGATGCCCCGTATGCGAAAGCAAGGACGACATTTGTGAGAGACGTGCAAATGGCGAGGAGCGTGCTAGCCAACCATTTCAGCAGGCCTGCTCCTTCGTGTACAGAGACAGCTCCGTTAAATCCACATTGACTCTCAGAAGTTGACTGAGTCCCTTGCCAAGCGCTTCAATGGCAAGCATTCAAAAGCAGTCACGTCGTTTTTTCTCTACTTCCTTTTTCTTTGGAGAGGATGCAACGTCACTGTCGTTCGGCCTTCGAATGGGGACTCCGTCAACGCACAATTTAAAATTGCAGTCATAAGGTTTAGGCAGGATATTCATTGGCAGGACGAGGTTTTTAGAGAGACGGCACTCCGACATTGTATGTTCTCTGTGGGTGGCTGTGACCAGCCCTACAACGAAGTGGTGGATTGAGAGTGTTGCCATGCATGAACGGCAAACATTAGGGATGTAGGGTTTTATAATTTTTAAGAGGACGCTGCGATATGGTGGGTTCGGAGACGCAGATCTGTAGGCAACACCAAGTGGGTTTTAACATGGTCTGCCGTAGTAGCACCAGAATGAAATGGATAAATGGTGCACATTCAGTCTAACTAACTGGGTTGCATGTTGAATGGAAAAAAGCATATTTGCTCTACAAATATGTTTCCTGTGGGTCCTGAGTTCCTTCGGTCTCCACCACAAACATTCAGTTGTCACCATCTGATTTGAATCTCTCCAATGCCTTCTTCGATGATTTTATTTACAGACGTTTGCAATCATTCTCATCCTACCCTACAATATCTAAGAAGATTTTCATAAAGATACTATTCTTTTTTCTTTTCTTTTCTTTTCATTTTCTTTATTTTTTGGAATTCAATCCTCTAGTATTTTTGGATATTTTTATATTTGTCAAGAAATTGTTATCGTTTCCTGCAAATTCTATAAAAAAAGGTGTATTGTTACTGCAACATTTTAAACTGCCAACAAATCGTTGACCACAATTTTTTAACGTCACCTCCAGATAAGATTTATTTTACGTAAACTTTGACATTATGGTGACACAAAACACACATATGCACTTATACGCATACATCTGCACATTATATGCTTTTTACAAGGGTTCTAAAACCCATAGAACAGAATTTGTGAAGAATATCAAATGAAGGTGACAATGTTAATCTAAAGAGGAACAAGCTCCTTCCACAATCATTGGTTATGCTTCTCTCCACTAAATGTTTAAAAAAATTCAATTTCTTTAATAATTAAAAGAAATTTCTACTCTGGACAGGCTGCCAATTGTTATTTGAAGCTGTTGAGAATGTTTAGAAAGACACAAGAGTAATAGTAAGTCATACACACATAAGAGTAGTAGTAAGTCATACACACAAGAGAGTTTCTAAGAAGAGAGAACTTCACACATAAAAATCTATTGATCTGGTTGTATCTCGTATACAAGAAGAGAAAGGTGAGAGGATAAACAATACTTCTCCACTAGACTCTAAATACTGTAGCTATAGTATTTATTGTAATCTACAATAAATACTATGGAGAGCGCCAGCTACATTTAATAATTTCAACACTCCTCCTCGCTCATCATAATATTTATATAATATAAAATTTGTATAGAATCATGATCTATACTTTTTTGTGATCTTGGAAGATCAACAATTGTTGCACCATTAAAACCTTATCTAGGAAAATCTTATTGTATTTAAGGACAAAACCATAGATGAAGGAAAAAGAGTACAACATCATTTTCTTTAATTATTTAAAGAGCTCATTAACTTTGTTATTCAAGAAAAGGAAGTCGCCGCATACCAATGCCATAAGTAAGTCGACGATGGTTACACAATAGGAGAGCTTTGGTCAAGAGATCAACAAGGTTATTTGTAGATTCAATTTTCTTATTTATAAGTGCTTGATCAGTAATCAAGTCATGTGTATAACTAAAATACTTTGGATTAATATCCTTTGTCCTATCACCTTTAATGAAACCAACTTGCATCTATACAATACAAGTACTATTATCTTCATGCAAGATAGTTGGAGAATCATCATATAAAAATCTACAAGTTGTTTGAATGAATTTATTAATTGATCGCAATCAAATACATTCTTGAGATGCTTCATGTAAAGCAATAATTTTTTGATGGTTGGATGAAGTTGCAGTTATTTTTTGTTTCACTAATTTTCATGATATTGCAGCTTCATGTCTTAAAAATACATATCATGTTTGAGATTTAATTGTTGCAATATCAAATTTATATCCTACATCACAATATCCAACTAATTTTGGATCTGTAGATTGTGTGTAGTATAATCCAAAGTCTTCAATATCTTTTAAATAACGTAATAAATGTTTGATGCCATTCCAATGTTATAGTGTTGGACGTGCACTATGTCTTGCAAGAACACTAACTGCAAATGTAATATCTGGTCTTATAGATGTAGCTAAATACAAAAGTATTCCAACCGTTGCAAGGTATGGATATTGATCTCCCAATATTTCATCTTCTTCCTCGCATGGACAGTATAAATCATGACCATCACAACCACGTCCAACCATTGGTGTGGACAATGGATAAGCATCAATCATATTAAATCTTCACAAGATTCGTCTAATATACGTTAGTTGCTAGAAAAAAATGCTACCATCTATTAGATGCATAAACTAAAGTCCAATGTAGAAAGTTGTTTTTCCTAGAATTTTCATCTCAACTTCACGTATAAGAAGGCTCGTAGCTATAACACATGCAACTGTAGTGCCCACTAGATTAAAATCATCAACATATACAACGATGTTCACAAAACCAATTATATCTTATTTGATAAACAAACAAGGGATTAGTGGATTACTTACAAAATTATTTGTAATTAAATAATCTTGAAGACGTTGATATCACATATATCCGGATTGTTTTAAACCATACAAGGCCTTATATAATTTAATACCATGATATTGTCTTGGAGCGGATCCATTTGGAGTTCTTGTTTCTAAGCCAAGTAGAACTTTCATATAAATATTTGCATCAAGAAAACCACATAGATATATAGTTACTACATCCATTAGATGCATCTCAAGGGTGGCATGAACTATCATTCCAATAATATATCAAAATGTAATTTAATCCATGACTAGAGAATATGTGGATTCATAATCAATGCTGAATCGTTGAGTAAATCCTTGAGAAACAAGACGAGCTTTATAGCGGTGTCATAATACATGAAGTCTTGCTTGAGAATGCTCCGGGCACTTGGTTGTGGAAGAAAGAATAGAAATTGCAATAACAAAATCCTAATTCTAATAGAATACTAATAATGCTCTAATTGGACCACAATAATGCTAAACAAGCTTAATCAAATTCAAAGAAATCTCAAAGAAATTTCAAAGAAATAATAAGAAATATTAAAGAAATATTAGAATAATCACAAATATCTCTCAAACATATCTCAATTCAATCTTAATTTAATCTTAGTTAAAATCCTATTGGACTTCATTCAAACTTTAGGCCCAAATTAATTAAATCTTAAACCTTAAATAAATCCTAATAAAATCCTAAATCAAATCTTTATCAAATCCTAAATCCAAATCCCAAATCCTAAATCAAACCCTAACTAAATCCTAAACCCTAAATCAAACCCTAACCAAATTCTAAATCCTAAATAAAACCCTAATCAAATCCTAAATCCTAAATTAAACCCTAATCAAATCTTAAACCCTAAATTAAATCCTAATCCAAATCCTAAATCTTAAACCAAATCCTAATCAAATCCTAATCCTAAAATAAATCCTAATCCAAACCCTAAATCCTAAATCCTAAATCAAACCTTAAACCAAATCCTAAACCAAATCCTAATCAAACCCTAACTAAACCCTAAACCAAACCCTAGTAATTTCTACAACAGATTTAAACCTCAATAATTAATGAATAAACCATTGATTTTAACTCAAAATTTGCATACTTCTTAAAAACTAAGTTCAAAACAAGCACAAAAAATTGAAAAAGATCAGAGTTACCAAGTTGACGATATCCTCAAAAATGTACTTGGGTTTTGGCCGGCCTCCTTCTCCAATCTTGATGCCAATCTTTCAGAGCCAATATCTCTTTTTTACACCGTTCGATTGATCTCAAAATTCTCATACAAATAGAAAAACAAGTCTAATATCTTCTCACGTAATTTTTATTCCAATCCAAATAGTAGATTGCAAGAAAACTTAAAAACTCCTACTAGACCTAAAATTCTACTTTCTGAGACCTTGATCCACTTAAACCTCAATATTCCTCAGTTCAACCATTAGATCAAGCTCAAATTTACGACACATATTAAACACAACTATAACCATAAACCCACAAAATTTCACCCATAGATCTCTTACAAAACTCTTGAAATCATCCAAAACATAAACCCTATTTTATTTCATAAAATCCAAATTATCCGAAACAAACCTTGATTTTGCAAAGGTCTTCCTAAGTCATATCAACTCCAAATCACCCAAAATCAACATCTATAAAAACCTTATTTAATCTGCTATTAAATCCCACTCTCTGATATACTAAAGAGTCTTGGAGTCGTCGTCGAGTCTCAGTTTTGTGCCTCAGGGTCTGATTTCGACCCTAGTTCATAACCGGCCCTCTCCGGATATCAACATCTATTTTTTCTAAGTAATTTTTACTAGAATTTACTCTTAACTTCTTCCTAAAGATGTCTATATCATTTATTTTTCCAATCTATCTTATTTTGCCTTATTTTTGGCCATACAAAGTAAGTAGAAGCTATTTTTTCTAAAAAGGCAGCATTACTACTAAAAGTTTTACTACCTTCTTATCTTTTATTCATATTTTTCTACTTTTTCTTTTAACTTGGCTCTTCTATAATAAGATCCATATTATCATCTTTCACCATATAGTCATGTTACAACATGATATCCACCCTCTCTGAACCATATAGTCATGTTACAACATGACCGTGGCAACAAGGTGGGCGGCAGTGTCAGCATTAACAATGGCAGGGTGGGCGGCAATGGCAACGTCAGTAGCAGTGGGTTTAATAGCAGTTTGGCGGCAATTTGGTGACAGTTCGGCAGCAGCTCGCTAGTAGTTTGGCAACAGTTTGGCGACAATTTAGCAGTTGTTCGGCGGCACGCGCAGAGCATAGCAGGGAGCAAGCTGGGGTGAATCTAGGTTGGATCAAGTATTCTAAGCAAGCAGGATAGAGAGTGGAATAAGTACTCTAAGCAAGCAGCTAATGTGTGAGGGGCCAACAAAAAGAGCAGCAAGATCATGAGGCAGACACTGAGCAAGAGTAGCAATAGGTTTGAAGAATCAAGACTAGAGCAAAAGAAAAATTGTAATAGTGTGTAGAAGAGAGTCGTGCCAATAATGTGTTGAGAATGTTTCGAAAGACACAAGAGTAATAATAAATCATATACACACACAAGAGTAGTAGTAAGTCATACAGACAAGAGGGTTTTTAAGAAGAGAGAACTTCACATATAAAAATCTATTGATTTGGTTGTGTTTCGTAAACAAGAAGAGAAAGAGGAGAAGATAAACAGTACTTCTCCACTAGACTCTAAATATTGTAGCTATAGTATTTACTGTAGTCTACAATAAATATTATGAAGAGCGACAATTACATTTAATGATCTCAACAGAAGCACCATCATTCTGTTTTTTCTTTTCTTTTATCTGATACATAATTTGTTATCAATAAGGTTCAAGCCACAAGAATTTGCATCTGAATGAACTTGCCAGATTCAAACTGACTTTTGAGCTTCCGCATAAGTGCACTGATTTAATTAATTTTGTTTCACTATGAAGTAGTTATTCGTAGGATTTGAAGGACGATCTTTTCATGCATTGTACTCTAGAAAAGAATATAGATATTTCAAATACGCCCAACTTTGATAATCCGCAAGAAACTACGACAATGTACAAACAAAAATATCTGTACAAATGTAAATTCTCGTTAGATCCACTTTAGCTTGACTCCGACAGTTTCATTTTGACTGATGCTTTTAGTATTGCCAGTTTTGAAGGCCTACCATTCAAGGCCTCGCAGAGCTTTAAAACCGTCCATGCCATTACGATCACATGGCCAGCAGTGAACATAGTTATTTAATTCACACATACATATATAAAAAATACTATGTTTTCTCCACCTAAATTACAAAACGTTGGTAAGTCCAATTCGAAGTACCAAATAAAATCTACACCACCAAGTTCAATATGACCTTCAAACTACCCTAAAAGAAAAATAACACATTATGAAAAAATATTAAAAAGTTGTAATAGATTCGAATCCAAACCTAAAACATCTAAAAAATCTCAACACTTGTCAATACATGACCTCAAGGCCTCCCAACTCAATTCATTGGCTGGGGCAATCTGGACCACAAGATCTCCAAAATTACTTATAAACCATTGATGCATTGAAGAATAAGAAGTAGGAATGATGGAAGGGAACAAGGGAGGGGCCAAAGGCGAGGGGAAAGGGGTGATATAAGATAATAATATCTTTAAAATATATCAATTTTAAATCATGTTTAAAGATATTTAAAGTGTATCAAATTCATTCCACATGGTGTATATATTACAAATCTTTAAGATTATATAAAAAAAGTTACTATTACAACTATGCATAATTAGTATAATCCATTATCTTCTTAAATCTCCTTTTTTCATTAAATAGTGTATGTGATATATTTTAATGTTTGATTTATTTAAAAACACCTTTGGATTAATTTCAAACACCTTTGTATTCATTACTTTTTTGACACATTAAATATAAAAAAATAAAAAAATATATTCATACCTTTGAAATGTCTTCAATAAAATATTATGTTAAATATCTTTCATTATCATCAAAATCCATAAACATTATGTTTGAAATTGTTGCCATTGATGTTTTCCTCCTTGGTGCTTGTAACAATGTTGATTGTGTTTGCTTGTAATTTGTATGATAAACTTCACAATGTTGTAATAGATTTTTGTATAATTATTCATAGTATTATATTAAAAAATAGATATTTATTTATGTTATATTCTGCCAAAGATCACAAAAGCACGCCCAAAAACCTGCCCGCCCCGCTGGTTCCCTTACGCTCCCTCTCTCCGTTCCCAGACTTGAGATCAGCGGCTAAGATCGAGTTTGAGGACGACCACGATCCAACGGTCCACGATGGCGAAGCTAGTCGAGGCCACTGTTCTGCGAGGCACCTCAAAAATCTCAACTACACAGGAATAGTTTACCGCTTCAAACCAAAAATTATACAATTAAAAACCTTAATTAGAAGAAGGAATATAATAATAATAATAATAATAATAAGAAGAAACCCACACCATGGATGAGGTGTCACCGGAATGAGGAGAGATGCGTTCGAGACACTCTACCGGTGAAGCGCGTGTCCACAAGTGAAGGAAAAAATAAAATAATAAAAACCTGGCAATTTGTCATCGAGGTTGTCACCGACATGTTGCCAAGTGCTACCAAAAGATCTCCGTCGCGTCCCCCCGCCCCCTGTCGTAGATCAATACATAATCCCCTACCCACATGGGCCCTTCTACCTCATCGTTTTTTTGTTTTCTTCACTGAGTTGTCTTTAAAAGTGAGTGTCTTTTCTCAGGAGTCGTAATTTGGGATTTGGGTTCAGTTGCGAGATTGTTGCAGTTGTTGTTGTTGTTGTTGTTGTTGTTTTTTTTTTTTTTTTTTTTTTTTTTGGGTTTAACAAGAGTTGGGAGAGTTTTGTGTTGAGTGAAGATGGACTGGTTGCGCAGAAATGATCCCTTTGAATATGACAAGGATAGAATAGCTGCTGGGTCTGGTTACTATCCTGCTGCGGAGCATGTTGCGACGAGCCGATCCGTGTCCATGGATCCTGGTAGGTCTGTGGGGTATGGGACTGAGACTCCGGAGATTTTTCGAGCTTACTCGATGCGATCTCGTAGAGTGGCGGATCCCCCGTCGTACGACCGTTACTCAAGCTATCCTGAGGTTCCAGTGTATGAGCTTGCACGGAACCGGAGCGCCGGAGAGTTGCACCATGAGCCGATGAATTATGTCCGCGCGACGTCGAATACCTCTGATTTTAGTGCGTTGAGAGCGTCCAGCCGGACGGAGCCTGCTTACTCGCCGAATGCAGAGGTGACGGAGACGTCTGAGGAGGTTCTAGTGAGAGTTCGTGGCGCTGTTGTTCATTTGGTTGACGATGAGGAAAGCCCCCTGTTGGCGGAAGGGTCATTCTCGGTTGTCCTAATCGAGCAAGAAGGGAATGGAATTGTTGCGTTTGTGAAAGTTGGAGATAACCTTCGGTGGCCCTTGACGAAAGACGCGCTTGCCGTGAAATTGGATTCCACTCACTACTTCTTCACCATCCACGTACCCCGCCCCGTCGATGAAATGGACAAGGAGACAGCTGATGGAGCTGGCGGGGAAGCATTGAGCTATGGGGTCACATTTTCAGTGACAGGGCAAGAGCGCGAACTCCTTCATCTCGACTCACTTCTGGAGAAATACAGCAACTTTTCCAACCCTCAGCTAGTCCATGACGACAGACAGAAAAGCAATTTTGATCGTGCTCTTCAGTCTGGAGCTGGTAGTGGTACCGCTGGCGTGACCATTCCAGAAGCAGTCGTCTCCAGCAAGGGGAAGCGGGTAAAATACTGAATTTCCTTGACATTCTTTCAAATTATTGAAGTGTCGGAATGGGGTGTTTCGTATGTCGGTGCCGATTACATCCCTGATCAATCACGATTGGAACGTGTGCAGGTGACGGAGGGCAACCAGGCCGAGTTCTGGAAAACAATGGCGCCGAATGTGAACGATTACAACAGTAGGCTCGCGAAGGGCATGGCTAAGGGCACCGGCAACGTCATAAAAGGCATTTTCTGGGTGAGAGACGTTACTGTGGCGCGCCTTGAGAATGGTAGCATCTACATGAAGGGAAAAGTCAAACCCTGTTCCAAGCCAAGCAAAATCAGTCCTCGGACTCTACGCAACTTGAAGAGGTGAGACATTGGAATTACTTACTTGGCTTGAATCTCTTGTTGGTGATGGAGATCAGCTTAAGGCCCAAGCATTTCCGATTTAAACACTTTACCATCGAGTACTGATTATGTGAGGAACGTCGTTGTGCAGGGTGGAGAACATGTCCAAAGCCACTGAGGAAGTAGCGAAGAATGTTTTGGATGGAGTTGTGAAAACGGTGGGCTTCTTCTCCCAATCCCTGCTAAAATCCAAGCCTGGCAAGAAGTTCTTTTCATTGCTACCCGGCGAAGTGGCTCTTGCCTCTATGGATGCATTCGGTGAGTAAAACTTCCAACATGGTCTTCACTTATCGATGTCTGCATTTGAAGAAACCGCACACTGCTGGCCACCTTAGATCTGTCATCCCCAATTCTTTGCACTAATATTTTGGCATACCATTCTTCAGTCGCTGAAAACACGTTTGTTCAAATTCTCACATTCTGAAAGTATCCATATCTGTTTGCAGCGAAAGTATTTGATGCGATGGAGAAAGCGGGAAGTGATATGATGCAGTCCACCGCAGTCTTCACTCAAGATGTTGTCTCTCACAGGTTGGTCCCGTGTTTTTTGGACCCAATTTGTAAACCGGATCGAAATAGGAGCCTAGGAAGAAGAGAGCAATGTCATGTGATCTAGTGTTACAATACTTGTCTGATTAGGTGTTTATTGTTGTGCAATTGAATGCCTGGTTTGATTAGTTGGTTGTAAATTGGCGTGACTCAGATATGGTGAGGGAGCGGGCCAAGTGGCTGAAAACACAATGTCCACCGCTGGCCATGTCATGGGAACGGCCTGGACAGTATCCAAGGTCCGCAAGGCCTTGAATCTGAAAACTTCGAAATCAGGAATGTTTAAAGCAGCAGTAAAACAAGCAGTTGGAGCCAAGTAAATCAGTTGGGTCGAGCGAGGTATTAAAACGAGGTTTAAACGTACCTAATTCTTATTCGGTAGATAAATTTTTATATCATATACATTTATGATGTGAGCAGTTTGGCGGTTGTGTACGGAGTAGGTACTAGATGAAGGGGAGAGAATTGTGGTGCTGATTTCTAGTCGAAGATGTAGGAATTGCATTAGACGAAAAACAAAAGTCTGGTTTCTTTTCTGGTTATCTAACTCAGGCATATTTGAAACATTTGTGTATTTTTTGGTTTTCACTGTATGAAATGATCATTCTTCAAACTTTTAGTGAAGCTGTTTTGTACTAAAATGGAATTTATTGAAACAGTGTTCGTATGTGGAAGTTCGGAATGTAGTTTGAATCCAATAGGTTCACTCAAATTCTTCTACTTCAAGCTTTCTGTGTCCAATGAACTCATCTACATTTTACACTACACAAAAATATATCACACAAAACACACAATCATAGCCTAGATAAAACAAAAATCTAATTTCAAATAAATGTGGCACAAGCCTATTGAATTGAGCAAATGCGTTATTACTAACTATCAGGTAGACACCTCTATTCTGTTTCAGTAATAATAAAAACGAAGAGAAAAAGAAGCGAAAAAAAGAAAGAGATTATGTAGATTGGCATTAACACGGGTGGCTTATCAAAATCCTTACCAAAGAGTTCCACATATTTACTACAGCATATATGCAAGAAAAAAGTCCACATACATAATGTCTATTGCGAGAAGCTTGTTGTTGCATCTGAACCGCCAACAGGATTCGGCAGCAGATACAAGCATCTCTCTCTCTCTCTCTCTCTCTCTCTCTCTCTCTCTCTCTCTCTCTCTCTTTATATATATATATATATATATATATGTATCTACAAACATTACAAAACCCACCTGCTACTTGCCCCTACAACTTACTCAGTAAGAGCTTCACAACCCAGCAATCATAATATCCTACACAACCAGGACTTACAAAATACGTTATTGCACACAACACTCAAATCACCTCTACACACAAACATGAACGTTTCAGCAGCTTCATTGTTGATTTAGAGCATGAGTCAAAGAAACTGGTGGCACAACTGAGAGAAACTGAGGGGGGCAGCAAGCGGTGGAATCAGGCGAATCTGTGGGTGCATAATATTCACGTTGGAAGGGGGTGGTGGTGGTGGTGGATCAGGGCCAGTGGTAGACATGTTGCACGTATCCATCGTGTCTGATCAGTGACAGACCATAATCGTCCACTACCCAGGGGCATGAATATGCACTAAAACAAGGGATGGCTCTGTTGGTCCACATCACGAAAGTCCCGCTGTAGGAGCCCGGACCCGAAAAGTTGCAGCTCCACGAGGACTGCTTCTCAGTTGGGAAATCGAAGGCGTAATAGTTTCTCGGCGCAACAAAAGTTGTAGCCAAGTTCTGCCTGTCTGACCAGCAATGGATTCTCAGCCGATCTTGAAGATTGTTCTTGATGGACATGTGATAACCTTCGGCGGTCGTGAAGAGCAGCGCGACAGCTAGAGCAACAGCGGCAGAGCACAGAACAGATCGAGTAGCCATCTCTGGCGGCTTACATACACATACCTGCGGAATACCAAATAAGCGCAACATCACAGAGTTAACACACAGACACGAAAAACCACAGCAATAGAATTTGATACTATGCTTGCCACTTGACTAGAGTGGCGATAGCTGTTTGCAGCATGACAGCATGTGGGTGCTAGCCTGTAACAAGCGTCATGTTTTGCGAGATCCTGCACCTGCATGCACCATACTGAAGAGACAGGTGAATGCAAACAAGAGAAGGCAGTTACTCTTAAAAAGCAGGTGAGAATCGATGGACAATGCAGCAGAACCGCAACAGCGCAGAAGGGTGAGGGAGGAATACCCCAGTCACTGCTTGTATATAATTTTGTAGACGTCGTTCTCAGAAGCCTGTGTGCTGGTCGAGATGATCACTTCACATCTGTGGAGTATTCTTATCAACAAGCTGATTTTGCTCCCACTGTAGTTTCGCAAATTGTAGGTCTTCCTGGGAAGTCAAGATCATAGACACATCGTGGCAAACGGTACGTTCGATTACGATGTTTTCAATCCCTGCCGAAGCATCAAAGAACTTGGATACGAATCAACCTCTTTACACTGAAAGCTGCTGATGTTCTCCAGAATCATGAACTTCTACTTGTCAAAAGAAGTCAAGCTTTGAGAAATCTACACTGGAAGTTCTGGAGGGTGATTTCTTTTTTATCTTTCTTTTTCCCTCTCATTTTGATTTTGTGCAATACTTGCTTTGAGTTTAATCAACACCTTCCACTGTTCAGGTTTTGCCTTGCACAATGTGCCATTTCTGATGCACAAACAATACCCATCTTCGTTCAATTCATTGTTTGATGTTGTGCACATTATAAAGGATTCATATTTGGTTATTTAACCATGAGTTATAACGAAGGAATTCATTTGTATCTTTGGCGTTTCTCAAATGTGTTACATATATTCCCAAAAGAATAATCTCTGTATTTATTTATTTTACTGTAGAACTTAGTGTTGTGTGTGCAGTGATTAGTATGTTTTTTAGAGATTCTATTCCGTTCTGAATTAAAAACAAATCACATGCAATGATATACACAATTTGTGTTATATTAAATTGATACTGTTTGTTAATGCATAATTATTTTCTTTCTCAATATTTATTCTATATACACATGTGCTTACACACATCTATAGTCCTATTATCAATATAATATATAATATTTAATTATGCACATAAATACATTAGCAGAAAATATAAAATTTTACAGACTATTTAACAACTTGTTGAGCATATTTAAAAATAGTAGGTTTATCTATATTATAAATTAAATACATTAAATTTTAAATGATTTTAATGAAGATACATATATATATATATATATATATAACTATTTCTGTATTTATATGAATACATATTTTTTAATATGGAAGAAACTATATCTTTTAATTATATGTTACATGGTTTATTAAAATTTGTAAGTAGTGGTCATAAAAGTTCTAGAACAAAATAGAGTTTTAATTCAATACCTGATTTTTTTTTTAATTCAAATTATTTTAAAATCAATGAATTAATTAAAATAAGGTAAATTAGTTTTAATCTTTATATAATTTAATAAATTTTGTGTTGATTTAAACAATAGTAATTTTTGAAGATCAAATTGTTAAGAAATAAAATTAACTAGTTGAGATTAAGAAAACTTATAAAACCATAATGCAATCTTCTTTTAATTAATAGTGTCTAAAGTATTATTACTATTGTACCTCAACCTATCAATTTTTTTATTTTTATTTTTTATATTTATTTATTCTTCTAGAGATTTTTTTAAATTGATTATAGTCCTATGATATTCTTATAAGATTTTTAAAATTATTAAAATTATAGTAATTGCAATTACTACATATGAATCTATCAAAACAACAATTACAACAAGTTAGAGCAACTTGCTAATTCTTTAGTCATAAGAAACTAAAGAAAACTTGAAATTATACATAATGTTAGTTGGATACTATTATGATACTTAAAATAAGTATATAAGACAAGACATTGACCATCAACAATGTTGTCTCTTGATACAAGATGCTAATAATACTTAAAGAATTGTCTAATAAATTTTATGTCTCATGTATGTATAAATACACATACAAATTTTAATATTATTCAAAAATATATATATATATATATATATATATATATATTAAAGCTATGATGCCTTAAAAAATATATAGATATAAGAAATTAGAAAAGTAAAGCTATGAGGTAATTATGTTTACAACTAAAAACTCAAAGGTCTATAAAAACAACTTAAATACAAATCTTTTTGTGTGCTGGTTTTTTAACAATTTTTTATTGGTTGCATAATACTTCAAAAAATCAATTCTAGTAAGCATATAAGGTAGGGTAAAAAAGAATTGGTTTCTCCCATTAGATATATTAGTACCCTTATTTAAACTCCCTAAACTACAACCTTTGAAAAGTTTTGCAAGCTCACCCAAGTTGAGTTCCCAATTTTTAGGGGATACTAAAACATCCAAGAAGGGGGTACCAAAATACCCTTGCCAAATAATAATTGTATTACTTATTTATAAAATAAAAATAGAAGAAACTTAAGATATTATATCTTTGAATATAAAATATGAATTAATTATATCTTATAAAGATGAATTAATTTTATTTTTATAACAATGAGTATTTAATTCATATAGTAAGTAATGTAATAGTTATTGTTTAAATTTGTATGTATTATTTTTGTATTAACTTGGATGTATTGAAATATACATATATATATATATATATATATATATATATTTGACATTATGTGGATTTTTTAATCTATTGCTAATGTGTTTTTTGTATTTTGAGCATGTAAAATAATTATGAAAAATATGATTTATCAAATTATGTAAAACTGTGATTTAAATACAGATTTTAAAATCTTTAGAGTTTTTTTATTTATCTAATTAAAAGACTTAAATTTTTCTTTTAAATCTTCTAAAAAAGCCTAGTGCAAGGTGATTCAGTTGCTTAGGAGATGAACTTTCTAATGATGTGATTAAACATTAAAAATGTATTGTTTCAACAAAAACAATGATTTTATAACCAACAAGATAGATGAGTTAAAAAAAGAAATAGAATGAAAATACACTATATTTTATTTTTATCTCAAAAGCTTTAAAAGGCACAAAAAAATCCAAAGTAAAGTACTACTATAAGATCTTATAATCTATTATGAATAAATTTTGGATATAATAGAATATTAATAGTATAATGAATTTGAGGTTGTACAGTGCTATAGATAAGTTAATAAATAGATCCAGAGTGACGTTGTGCAGTGGCCGGCATAGTGCTGCTGAACACCCGAATGCAAGTAAAAGAAATGAAAAGGAAACCGGAGAGAACCTGGATGTCTGAAAGGAAAGAGAATCTAGAAAGGAAGAGCTTCCCTAAAGAATTAAAGAAGGTCAACAAATTTATTTTGGAATAAAGAAAACTTTAAAAAAAGAAAGAGAGCCAACTGGCCAAAAAGTCTAGAATAGAAAATCGAATACGGGAACAGATGTAGTGCGAGGTATTGTTAGGGTTAATACAGATGGCTCAACCCCCTTTTATAGACACTCTTGTTTTAATCACACTCCGGGATTTTCTATACTTTAACTCCTAATAATGTTTTTCTGACTTTATCGACTGTTACCTGAAAATAAGAATAAAATACATATTGAGCATTTCCTCTCCCCCAGGAAGAGTACCATCTTCTCCGACTATTGCTTATTGTTATGCTTGCACCCTCGGTACCCATTTTCCTGCAATCCAGACTCCTCCGTCACACTAGTGAACACAAGTGAACCGAGGGCACAAAAACGATGCTTGCCCACATAAAGCTTGGATTCACTAGCTCCGCATTCGAAGCAGGAGCAGTGGATTCATGCCCCACTAGCAACACACAGTCTGCGTGACAGATCCCCCCCTCCTCTGAATCTTGCAGCTAGGGGTGCTAACCTGGCTACTGCTCACCTCCTAAAACTTTAAGCTTGGCAAGCGCGGATTGCATCAGTGAGCGTGGTGTAATCGTGTGGAGGCGATAGTCACTCATCTACCTCATGTTTGTCTTTCTCAACCGACAAATCCGACTCAGTCATTGGCTTGTTGATTTCTCGCCCACCACCGACTGGTCCAGATTCGCACACCGTGACTGCATGTGGATTAAGTTGCCCTCCGCTTGGAATCCTAAACCTCCAGTCCACTAGCCACATCGACATTGCTCATACCGTGCCCAGACTCGTATCGCCAGATTAGTTGGTCGGCAAAGGTGTTCGTCCTTTTCGATGCGGCTTGTGTGGATTATTGTGAAGGAGGAAGAATATCCAGTCGGACAGAGTCATTACACTGAGGAACTACCTAAACGAATCTGAGCCCATGTCTGCATGGGATTCGATATGGAGTAAGGCAGTCGGCTAGTGCATTGCGGGGCTCTTCTTGAGATCTGATCAGGTACCTCTCGCCGACCGGAATCCCGACTGCTTTTGCGGTTAGTCTACTACAATTAAGATTCGAAAACTTCTTAACATCAAATATGAAGTTAGACCTAGGCCCTAAGTTTAGTATTTAAAAAATTACATTATCATTGACAGGTTTTAATTTCTTTGTAATCATGTTTTAATATGGTTCAATCCATTAGACACAAAATTGATACATTCTTCAGTTTGTGCCATGAGACGAGAGTTTTCTCTTCAGAAGAACACGAACAAATCATTACAAACGATCATAGAACGAGCATAGCGAGAAGAAGCCATCTTAAGAGAATCCATGTATCCTACGCAACCCAATATAAGAATAGTAGATCCTCACTCTGTGGATGCCCCCATTTTGAGGCTTACCGATATGTTACAATAGAATAACATATTAATCCTTGCACCAAAATATTTAATTAAGAATTAGATTCACTATAGACGGGTGCAGTGGTTACTGAGCATCCAAATTTTGTACCTTCCAATCTATTTTTTTAATTTTATTTCCTATTTATTTTCTTCTTCATTATATTCTGTTTCTTTTAACTGGGATACAGCACATCCTCAAGTCAAACTTCACACAGTGTAAACTGACTAGTTCTAAAATTCTCAAGAATTTTCCCTCTACTCCGTCGTCCTGCTCTGATTCTCACGACCTGGATGAAAATTCTGTTGTTTCTCTTGTGACGAAGTTAAGATGATCGAATCCAACCTTCCCAGTTGAAAAAACAGCAGAGGTAATTCCTGATGTTCATAGGTGAATAAGTACATAAATGTTAATAATAATGATAATAAAAATGATGATTAATAGAAGGAGGAGGAGGAGTAGGGGTAGAAGAGGATCATTACAACTTACGACCTCAAAAATCCAGAAATCTTTATTGTGGGGGTAGCATATCCGTTTCCAGGAATCTCTTTCTAGTGCCGGAGAAGTGCTAAATTGCAGACATTTTGCAAAGCTCTAAATCAGAACATGACTTGATCCTAATTTCAGTCATGAACCCGTTGAATATATAAATAAATATTCCTTCACGTGAGAAAGTCCGAGTGCCTTGTCACCCACGTCTGGAGGGCGAAAGGTCTCAAACGTATTTTATCAAATTGCAGAACAGCGCCGTCTCGCAGTTGGTACGTTTGTTAAAGGGAATGGTACGTGGTGTGTGGCGGTGTTCGGAACTGCGGGTGCAGATCCGCTTCTCCGCTACGATGGTCACTTGGACAGTACGGCATCCAGGCTCGATCCTTTCGTTGCTAGTAATCTGTGCTGTGCTGTGTGGACCAGGTGGAGTCAGTGTGGTCAGTGGAGCCGACGATGGCTCCAGGTTCAATGATCACAAAGAGTTGGAGGTCCTGTCGATCGCCTCTAAAGCAGAAGAGAATCACGCAAATTGCTGTAAGTTTAACGTAATGTCTCCAAATTCTGTGCGTCTGGGTTGGTAGAAACGTGTGATTTTATGATCTTTTGTAAGATGGCTGCAGTTGTCGGTACCAAGAGATGTGCACGAAGAGATGAATAAGTCCTACTCATGGGCAACGTCGTCTCATCCGGCCTTCGCAAGATTTGAGTTGGTTCAGATAAGTTGATCATGTTATCAATTATGAAAATGATAAAACAACAAATAAGAACAAGACGAATACGAAGAAGAAGTAGAAGAGGAAGAGGAAGAGGATGACGACGACACTGGGTATCATGTAGTCAAAGTTTCAACTAATATGATTGATGAACTTGCAGACCTTGTGTCGTCCTGCAAGTCGGAATGTAGCCGAGAAAGGTGTCGTCCTCTGACGGAAGAACACACTCTTTGCGCCAAAGTGGATAAAAATGAGTACTGCCCGAAGTCTAATGTCGGTTCAGGCTGTAACCAGATGTGGCTCAATTACGACAGATCCTACGTGACGTACGTTAACTTGAATCTTATCCTAGTATGTGATATAAACTGAGAATATATTGATTGATTCGATTCTCAAGCTGTGAACATCTCCCATCTTTGAATTACATGCTGAATTCGTATCTCTGCTCGGATGAATGTGCAGGCTTCCTCCAAATTCAAACTCTGACGCCCTTCAAACAGAGATGTCCAAAGACATCTGCCTGCAGCGACCGATGGACTCCACATTCAAAACTATCTCCTTCCCAGATCATTACTCGTATACCTACTACGGGTCCACAAGCGGTGCTTGGAGATCTTTCCCAGGAAGAGACGCTACAGACCAGAAGTGCGCCAACTTCGAGTGTCGGCGACGTCCCTGGTACTTGGATGGCATTTCGGTAGCGAAGCAGGTTAAGATTCTCATTGACACCGGAAATTCCATGGGCATCGGCGTAACTGGGGAATACCAACGGCCTCTCCAGACTACCTACTTACATGTTGCAATCGATATAACTTCATCCCTACTTCAGACTCTGTCCCCAGGGGATTGGGTGGAGGTGTGGTCATTCAATACAAGCGGCGCCGTCTCTCTAGGAGCACCAGTGAATGTGGGACCTTACACTGATCCTAATAGCCGTCCTGAGTTGCGGCCCTTGGATAATAGCGTGCGAGCTTTGACGCATTCAGCAGACCCGGCACCATCCGACCTCGCTACCGCAATTACCAAGTCAGTATCCAGTTTTCAATCCACAGCAACTCAAACCTTGAAGGTATTTAACTTGAGGACTTGTGCGTTTTCCAATGTCCATGCAAACTGCACCCGTCAACATCGATCTGCCATCACGCTATACATAGCGCTTGTAATCAAGTTCTCCATCAGCTTCTGGGCAAAATTATGTCACATCCAGATTTTTATGAAAGCCATGGAAATATTCATGTGCTGATGATTAGTCCGTTGTACTTGCAGGTGATAATCGTCTTCACTGATGGCCTATTCTCCGATTTCAACACCACCACGTTTCCAACCGCACTTATCGCACAAAATCGGGTCAAAATCATACTATTCAAGCTCCCCCGGAACTCCGACTCAGATCCGTTCTTGTTAAAAACCACCTTGCAACCAATACTGTGCGGTGTGCAAGGATCATTTGAGCTCTTGGAAGCACCTGCTACTTTAAATCCCCTGTACGCCATCAGAAGTTACTTCTCCTATTTGGCCAAGATTCACGAGGATATTGTTGAGTCGAAAGCCACTTGGAGTAATGTGTACAAAAGCGTATCCCAAGAACTCGACGCCGTTACTGTCACTGCACCAGGTGGAGATTGATCCCGTCGCTCCTCTTGCATCTCCCAGTTTACAATCTTTTGTCGCCACCCCTGATCTCCAGGTGTGAAGTCAACCCAGGTTGCGAAGCTTATGTCCTGATTTTTAGCTGTGGTGTGGTTTTCACAGCGTTTGACAAGCAAGGAAGTTTGATAGGAGTGGCAGGAATTGATGTGTTTCTGAGCGAGATGGAGAGTCGGACGCGATCATTGGTGGTTGCAGATTTGTCGAATAGAAGAAGAGGAACCCAACCAGCTCCTGCAAACGTTACCTTCGTGTGCAGCTACCAGGTGCCCAGTGCTAAGTTCCGCCCTTAGTTCAACATTCACGTTTAATGCCTTCGAACAATGTCCAATTGATTTACCTCGTTGAGGTCACTTGTTGGATGTGCGATCCTGTGATCCTTATGTCTCCCCCTTCCTGGTTGTCGCAGAATCAGTCGTTGGAAGCAGCAGCACCCACCTCCTGCTCGTCTACCCTGCTGCCCGCCGACGGAGTCCTCTGCCAGGCCACAGACACGAGGAACCTGGCCGACCGTGTCTGTTGCGGCCAATGCTCGACCGTACCTCCACCTCCGTATGCATGGTGGAAAATTCTCCTCATCTGCGTCGCCAGTTTACTTGGGATTGTAATTTCGTCTCTCGCCTTGTATTGTTATTGCTGCAGACCTAATAATGAAATCATGTTTTAGTAGCAGCAGTAGTGAGGATTTCTAGCCAATGTCTGTACCATCGCCATATTTTCATCACCATTTGAATGTGATTTTGCCGAAGTATTGGTCAACATCCCTTTTTCTTTTCCTTTATGAAAAAATTCATTCAGAAATCAGAGATGCTGCAATTCTTTCCACCGAAATACACACTATGGAGGACCTCCAACAGAATCAAAAAATTATCTCAACGCGCAACTGAAGACCAAAAACTGTTGTAGTGTAAACGTTTCGCAAAATACTTCATTAAGTCCACTTCCACTGTACAAACTGTTACTTTCTAAATCTCTAGGTTATTGCTGTTCATATTCACAGCGATGCGACTGACCCTCCCTGGCCCGATTGTTCAAGGACCTGTTAAGACTGGACTAAAACTACAAAGGTTATCGGCATTTGTGATTATCTAGTATGAAGTTCCAGCCAGCGGATTGCTAGAACTATAGAAATACATACAAATTGGAGGATTGACCTTCGTCAGTGCCAAAATAGATGACGGAATGGTCCACACGCCATCGCCGCAAATCAGCCCAGCTGCGATGGCCGGCGTAATGATATCCGCCTTGGCCTTGTTCACCTTCTCATACACAAATCGGATAACCGACCCGATGAACATATCAATGGCGAAGTAGCCCCCGATGTAGAATGGAATTGCCATAGCCATGGGGATCGGAACGAATTGGCCGATTCTCCTCGGAAGGAAGTCACGGAGCAAGTTGATCAGCACTGCTGCAACAAACAAACAATAGCAAATCTCTAAGCAATGCGACGGGAGGGCGCTGAAGCCCTCCACGCCGATCAAGGCCATCGACCTGTACACAACAGCGTAGGGCGCCTTGTAGACACCGTCCGGGTCGCCGATCGAGTAGGCCTTGTAGAAGAGCCAAAAGGTGGAGGGCGCCAGGACGCAGCCCATTAGGGTCCCGACCAACTGGCTGACGAACATGGACCTCGGGGAGGAGAGTGTCAAGTAACCAGTCTTGAAATCCTGGATTAGGTCTGCAGCTACAGAGACAATGGACATCATCACCCCACAAAGGGCAAGGCCTACAAGCACACCACCGTCTGTACCGGCCCAGGCGCCGAAGACGAAGAGCGCAAGCTTTCCGTATGATGAAGAAAGGTTCCAGTCTGTAAGCCCAGTGCCGTATGCGTTGCAAAATGCAAGGATCGGGGCTAAACTGTAGCAGATGAGGACGTAGTACCATTTCACGGGGGAGAAGAGGTGGGGCATGGAGATGGTTGACACAATAGCTAAGAAGATGTAGCCGAGGAGCGCCACCCATTGTGGGATTCCTTCCTTCATGAAGATCTCGGTGCGGCGCGCGTGGTCTCGATCCATTGCGTCCAGTTTCGCTGCCACAGATGCAACCCAGGGTTTGAATTGATCTACATGAAAACCAAAAGGGAGGTGTATTATTCAACTTGTGGAAGAGGATTGATTGTGAAGATGGTGTCTACCAGGAGCTGTCACCGGCAGTTGATTGTTGGTTTTGTAATGAACGTATAATTGGCGGGCCGATTTGAAAATGATTTTGAGGAAGTTGTACAAACCGTCACCTAGGATGACGGCAATAGCAATAAAGACCTGTGGTATTTATTGCCTACATTGTGAGTAAAAATGTGCACGCATGAGAAAGCGAGAGAAATTGATGATAATACGCAGTATTGAAAGACTTTCTACATAGTTCTGATAGTGTTCAATTCTTAGACTTGATAAATTCAAGTCATTAATAAAGCTGGATTCTACCGAAATGCTGGGCATGATTAGACTTGCCTTGTAAGAATATAGACCTCTGAAGTCGGTTTCTTTAAGGCCTGTGGGGTACCAATCGCCTTCGTGATTTGAGATCAGAGGCCACATCAAGCCCCATGCAACTACCGCCCCAAGGAGCACAGATACATTCACAATGTGAGGACTTATGATACCCGCTCCTATGTAGGTCATGCTGAAATCGAAGTACATCCTGCACACGTGTATCAAAAGCAAACGCAAATGAGAAAAATAATCAATTTGATAAACTCAATGCTCAACCTTGTACTGGTCAAAAAAGAGGTGTTTGACGAAGTGGATGTGATAGGGTAAAGCACGATGTGTTTTTAAAATTTGTATGCAAACAATAAGTAGAGGATTAACAGAAGCAAAAATGAGTACTTGTTATGGTAAGCCTTAAAGCCCAGGGTTGGGAAGTTGTCGAATCCACAGCTGTTACCGATGCCGCTAAAAAACCACTTGAAGAAACCCCAGAGGAAGCTCACGGTGAAACACTTGCCTAAACATCTCACTTGCTTCCTGCATGCGCCCGGTAAACATGTCATTAGCGAGTTCATCTAGTGCTAGTTCTCTCACATTGTCTTCAACATTGAAACTGAAGTAAATGTCCATTCATAGAATTGTTATAATTGACTTCAATCACATTGGGAGACGCTCTGATGTTCAATATCCATGAACATCTCAAAGTGAAAATCCGAAATTCAAGTTTAACACACAACTCTGTGTAGAAAGACAATGAGTTGGGGAAGCGTACTTGGCGACCTCTACCCCTCCTGGGGTGTGGAAGCTGTTGATTAAAATACCCGTTGCCGTACCACTTGGGTAGGTTAGTCGGTAATCAATGATCATAACCTGCACAGGAACATGGACAACCAACAGTCAACTTATTAATATCATCACAGTAAGGCAGTAATGATGTAAAAGATTTTCCCAAAAAATTGGGACAAGCAATCTCACCAAAAATTCTCCAGCAATTTTATTCGGAATGTTAAAGAGTAAGCCGTATTAAGGACAAGGAAAAGATGAGTCAAGTGTTCATTATTGAAACACGGCTGTGAGAATACCTTTCGAAGTATTACGATGGAAAAGATTCCAACGAAACTGACGACAACAATAAACGCAAACATCCAACCAAGTCCCGGATTCTTCACACCCTCGTTGCCGGGAATGTCCCCTGGTGCTGCAGTGTTCACCTGATCGTGCGTCTTCTGACTCATACCCAGAATGTACGAACCGAACCCGCCTGCAACCTCGCCGCATGATACAACGTCAATTCATTTACTCCATCCAGCTACATATTCAACCTCAAATGATTGAGCCAAGAGGAATTTAAAGTTGAAAGATGTGGGAGAGATCATACCGCTGAAAGCCAGACCATAGCACGCAACGACGCACGTCTGGATAACAGTGTTCTCCTGGCGTGTAAAAGGCGTGGTGAAGAATCCCAACTTCGACGACACTAAGGCCCATAACCTGATGAAGAAAAACCCTAGCAGTCCCGCCGAGATGTTGAGCGATGGTATGACTCCCACCGTTAAGTTAAGCTTGTGTGTGATGATGCAGAAGAGTGTGCCCAACACGAATGACACAAATAATCCTCTCGGTGTGAGCTGATCTTGCCATCGTGGGATGTCGACCAACATGAAGGCATCCTCCAAGCCCACATGATCATCGTTTACGTTGTAAACGCCGTGGCTCTTTGGGACCGCCATGTCTGAAACTTTGAAATCATTGCCTGGCATTTCGTTCCCTCCAATGGTGGTGTCCATGGCGTCACTGCCATTCTGAGCTCCATGGTATGAGCGGCGAACCGGCCCCGCTTCTTTTCCATTGTCCCGTCCCATGGTAGCATTCGAAGTTGAGAACCGACTATAACTTTCTGCTCCGGCAAGAACTGTAGCTTAGCCAAAACACTGAGGAAGTTCCCTTAATTAAATTACTCCATAGCTATCAGTGCCTGCATCAAAGCATACAAACTCAAGATGTGATTCTCGCATCTTTAGCTACACTCTGCATCTGAAGCTAGGCATCACTGCAAAAGAGTGTGTACCTCTTGAACACAGCGGCAACAGTGAAAACACACAACCGGCCGGTTAAACTACAACTAAATTTTAGAAACCAGCTTCGTTCTCTACAACTATCTCCACAAATACTCTCCATGGACAAGATAGCACGCGGTGCTCCAAGCTAGACGAGATTCTTGACGACTTCTAAAAGACTAAAAGACTCTAGAGCCTTGGTTAGATTACACGGACTCGGCTACACTCGTCGGGCTATGAATCTGCTCGTGCAGCGTGATGCGCGCTGTAAAGTTCTCACTTGTGAAAGAGAAGCCCCATTGAAGTTCAAGGCGATTTGAATAAATAATCCAAAAAAATGGGACCCACAAGCTGAGCACGCGAAGCAAGCGAACAGTGTTTTATAGGTTCCTGTGTCCTCTCCCACTCAGCTCCAATACCCTAAATATAGTTATATGTTAGAGCCCCAGAAACGTGGGAGCATAGACGTCATTCGCACAACAGCACAATGTCATTTAGATCGAAGTACAAGGACAAAAACTACGTTGGTGCACGCTGTCAAAAGCTGAGAAACCAGTAATAGAATGAAGTTGGACCGAAACACAGACGATGGTTCTCACTGCTAAGAGACGAACAGTAACGAGTTCTTTTTTTGTGACTAGAAATCCCCTCGCGAAAGCCACGAGAAGCACAAGCTTGACATCGCCATGTGCATAGATTCTATCATCATCCGTAAGGTGAGGTTACTAAAATACTCATCGACCACAAATTCTGAAACGAATTTTACTTCGAATCCTGATGAACCAAAATTTTCATTTGCTTCAAAGGCGAGATCTTAAATTAGAGGCGAGCAGGTTGACAACTTGATGATTCACAACTCCGGGTTGATTGTTGGGGCGGCCAAACGGTATGACGCCCTACGCATGCTGCTCTGTTGATCAATCGAACTGTCAGCATCTGCAATTCTTTAGCTTTGAATGGTAGAGACGTTGTAGTGGTGTCTCTTTCCTACAGACCTTGTTTGTTACCCATAGACTACCTCAGAACAGCCCATTACACGACATGTAAAGACAGAGCCAGAAATTCACAGACGGGAAAATCGACGGCTGAATCGCGAAACATGTCCACCGACACAGACTAATAACTTTACCATGCGATCACAAACCCTGCAAAACTTGCATCCTCGCCACCCTCCGTCACCATCTCACTGTAACTTATATGCAGCCAGAATCGAGGGAAAGGACAGGGGAAGGATGCACCCAAAAGCAAAGATTCTATGTAAACATGAATCACACTTTCCGTAAAGAGCAAATGGATCTGGACTGAGCCAGAACCGCGTTCTCACCCGAATACATAAACAGTTACCGCTTCTGCATCTCACCTAGATTCCAACGAGAAATGTGCCCGAATTACCAAGTCTTCTCGCTCTTCAAGGCTGTGTTGTTGGTCCAACTTCTATTTGCGGCTCGGCTCGGCAGCAAACGGCAGCTTGGCTTTTCACGCGGATAACAACCGCAGATGCTTAGGAAAGAATCCTCCTCACCTAGAAACGCTAGAAAAGCTGCATGCACCCATAGCAAGCTCCACTTAGGGACTAACGCTACTGGAGACCGGAACTCGAGAGCATCAAATGATTTCGTAGCAAAGAATTCACAAGTCAAGGTTGTACTTTCGTGGACCCTGTGATGGCTCTGACCATAGTCATTATCAGTCTCAATTGGACTGCCTGTTTCTTTTCTATATTCTATCCTTATTTCTTCTTCTTCTTCTTCTTTTTTTTTTTTTTTTTTTTTTTTTCATGTGTTCAAATGGGTTCACGTATGAATGCTCCCCAAAGAGATCCAATATCGCGGCGTGGTGGTCTGAAAGCGGTTCTGCAGGAATGTGGGCCCTGATCGTGATCTCGCACAGCTAGGCCACCGCTCCTTAAATATAAAAAAATAAATTATTATTATTCTTCTTATTATTTAAATCCCTTTCAAACACATGCTCACAAAGATGCCACTCGGCAGAGATCTTCACGTTGTGGGCTCTGGAACTTTCTCTCTCTCTTTCTCTCTCTTTCGTGTTTTCAGTGCCGCATTCTGTGATGCTTCGAAGCGGACAAAATTTTGCAAGAAGAATGGATAAATGAGAGAAAGAATGAATAATCCCACCATCTTGTTGTTGCTTTTTGCGTTGTTCCGATCTGCGAGGTGTTCCATTTCTAGCACAAGACAGACCATCATCCTGGCCCTTGGCTTCACGTCTTCTTGCATTCTTCTTGCATTCATCTTCTTCCTCTCCTAAAGTCTATGTCGGTGGGCAGTTTGGTGCATATAGTACTCTTCCTCTGATATTGCGTTTACTTGTACTCAGTTAATGTTTTTTTTTTCCTTTTAATATCCAAATGTGTCATTTTCAAGTCCATAGAATGTCCAAGCCAGTGACTTTGATGGTGTTCGCGAAAGTCAAGACCAATGAATCATGTGTTGAGAAGAAAGATGAATGAATTAGTGAGTGAATGAATGAAGTCAACAACTTCAACGAGCAGAAAGCAAAGCAAAGCAAAAGGTGGCATCATGACTGTACCCAAAAGAAAGTTGGAATTCTTAAGCCTGAATTCATTCACTCTATTGGAGTGTCGTGTGTGGTGCTGTTTGTGTGCAGATGTTGTGCACCACTGGAACTGTATTTTTAATCTCATTCAACAATGAATGTATATGTACATATATATCTATATATATATATATATATCTATATATATATATATATCTATATATATATATATATATATAAGGTGCTGTATGTATATGAATATGTATATATAAATTATTATTTGGTTTTTCAAAAATAATTTTATTCAAGTAAAAGAAAAGATAATGATATAATGGTAATACTTGATGTTAATAGTAGTCTTTGTTTTGGATAGAGCAACTTTGGTATATTTAAAGTTTAAAAAAAAAAAAAAAAAAAAAAAAAAAAAAACAGTTAATTTAGATAATGATTGAAAATCTTATTTTGAACCTAAATGTTTTAAGAATTCTTTTAGTATAAATCTGCATTATATTTTAAAAAACAAATAAGCTCAACCTAATTAATGTACTATTCCAAGGAATTTGAGAGTTGCCTATTACATACAAATATATACTACTTTTTATATCATTTGGAAAATCTGTTAAAACTTTTTATTATGCAAAAAAATTACACTTAAGTTATATGTGCATTCAAACATTTTTATATACTTAAAAATAGATTAATTTCTTTTTGCAAGTAATACTTTATGAGTGCATATGTAAATATATATATATATATATATATATATATATATATATATATGTGTGTGTGTGACATATGAATTAGCTTGTATAACTTATTTGTTTTTTACAACATAATAATTTTTTTAAAAATCATATTATTACTTTTTATAATGTGTGTATGTATATATATACGTATATATATACGTATATATATAACTTGATAAGATTTTTTTGATGTGATGATTTTTTAAAAATTAACATTTCATCATTAAAAAAATTAAAAATTAACTTTAAAAAAGATAGATTAGTAAACCATTGCCTAACATATCTTCTAAAATTATGATTTTTTAAAATTATTAAATATTTTTACAAAGAGATTTTTGTTTCTCAAACTAAATACATTTATCACCTTTTTATTTTTGCAATTAAACTTAGAAATTCCAGGATAAAGATATTATCAGCTAAAATTACTTTTAGTATGAAAACGAACAAAAAAATCAATATTAAATTATGTGTTATAAATTCTAGGATTAAAATTCTAAAATTAACTTTATTTTATTATATTAAAATTAGTAAATTTAGAATTAAAAAATTTATAATAAAAAAGTATTTTTTCTCTTTTTCTCTTAATCTCAAGAACAAGATTAAAAACTTGTGCTAATACTTGGCAATTGAGCTTTGGTTTAAATTGCCAAGTTATTTTAAATAAATTTTTATCTTATATCACAAATATCTATGTTTTTTATTGATATAAACTATTGATACAAAACATATGTATATTTTTTTAAACCAAATGGAAAATTAAACATATAAAAATAAAATAAAATAACTTGAAATGAAACCAATATTACAAAAAAGGTCCATAGAATATATATCTTAATATTACCACATAATAATAATAATTTGGTAGTAAATGAAATTAAGCTAAATTTCTACCATCTAACTATGAATTCTATATCGTTCAGTTTGGACAAACTAGGTTCAATTTTCTAATATTCAATTTAAAGGATTTTTAAATTGACCAAGGCATTTATTGAATTTACCCACCCGTCATGGGTGAGGATCCAACCATTTTCTCATTGGTTTTCGACCAATGTGGATCCCGCAATGGAGAATGTTTTGATGATGATTAGGATGAGTGGGTGGATTTAGTAAATGCTTTGGTCAATTTAACAAACCCTCACTTTAAATCACTGTCTGCAATATTAATTAAGTCTAAGAATTGAATCAAATAAAATTTATCACTTGTCAAAGTGTAATCTCAAGAGTGAAACTATATCATTCTTATAAGAACATTTTTCTTTGAGCAACAAGTTCACATTGCTAAGTAAGGCCTGTCCAGCCCACATGTCAACCGCCCCTTGTTACCTGCCAATGCTTCACGGTTCAGTAGAAGAGGGAGTCCCTTTCGAAAGGATGCCACTAGTAGAAGAACATGATATAACAATTTTAAGATTTGTTACAACTTACACAGAATATTCGACGAAAAGTTGGATCAATCAGCAACAGCAGTGAGTCATGGACGGACCGACGGAAGAAAAAATAAATAATTTAGTCCCTCAGGGCATGAATAGCCTTCAATTGGAGGCCAGCTGATTACTATACTTAGTCATCGGGACAAAAGCCTGCTGAGAGGTCAGATTGATGCACTTACAAACATGCGAGTGTAGGAAGCTCCATTGGAGACTGTTCCGTATCACCTTTTGAACCTATACTATTTTACAGATCCTTTAAAGAACTAGACCATGAATAACCCTATACAACTAGAATACGTTACATTTTTTCGTGGGAAGTGAGAAACAATGGGCCAGAGGTAATTGCCAAATGCGAGTAGGCAGAAACAACCCTCTTGCACAACGCCCGTGTACATGAGACGATGAAGGAACAAGACACCCTACACCTCTGAGTGCAGGGACATATTGCTCCACCTAAGGGCATCCTTTAGGGGTGTACCTGAGACCTCTAAGAAAACTGCAAAGGAGTGAAGGAACAGCTCTAGATAATGGTTCCATCAGGAATGATTGCGTCCTTAAATATTGTTACAAGACCACTTCTGATGAAAAAACCGTCTGCCTCCCGTTCTGCCTCTCGAACATTATCTACATTCACTATCTGCAAGTAAGGTGGTCGTGTAAGACACTTACACAAGTCACACAATTAAAAAATTGTGAAAATGAAATGAAAAAATACTAACGACACTTTGCCAAGCATGCCCTTCAATTAATGACACGCAATACATTGCTGGACGTGGGAGAGAAGTACCTGAACGTTCTCCCCAATGCGTGCATTCTTGTCAACAATGGCTCTCTTCACGATAGAATTCCTCCCGATACCCATGGGTATTCCACCCGAAGACAACAGCTCCCTTCGTTGCTGATCTGTCTGCTACACACGCGTAACAAACGCGAAGGCTTAGACACAAGCTGCAATGGGTTTCATCTGAGATTGCTTGGCTACAAGAGCAACACGATCATATGGCCCCATGAGTAGATGAGTCTGAACTAAAACATAAACTTAAGTGTGCCAAAAAGCAATAAGCTGCTGACTCACGAAAATTAAATATTATAAGTCCAAATGAGTCTTCAAGTCGTGCTCCAATCTCCATGATACTGATCGTTTACGTTTCATATGCACAGTTAAACATTGCTTGATTTTTAACTTACTTCATAATAGTCAGCACCCATAAGAAGTGTATCTTCAACAACCGCACCCTCTGAAACCCATGAGCGCAGGCCTAGGGAAGAATGATAAATTGCAGCATTCTGCGAACAATTAAAGTAGCATTATTCATATGTTGGACAACGCATTTTTCTTGTATGTTCCTACATCGCGTTACATAATGTCTACTCATCACGAGAATACATCCAGATCATGCCTGGATAGAAGTTTCTAATCGAACGAACGTAACGTTCAGTAACGACCCAAATGCGAGACTGAAAATTAATGAGATCAATGAGCTGCAACATTTGACTGTATTGATACCGTAGTACATATTTGAAATAGTTATGATTCTGAAGAGTATACCCGGATAATGCAACCTTCCCCAATGACACTGTCTCTGATATCAGCATCCATCATCTTTGACGGTGGAAGGAATCGGGGCTGTGTGTAAATTGGAGATATCCTGTCATAGAAACTGAAATAACGACCAGAGAATATCGATACGTACCAGTAGGTCATGAGTTCAATTGGTTTGACAAAGTCTGGACTGTTCAATTGCTTATGAAGAGTAAGTTGATAATTCATTAGTCAAACAAATCATTTCTCTATCGACTGAAAATTCAGAACCTTTATTAGAAAAATTAAACTATTCCTGGATTTTTTTTTATCTTTGACCGTGCAGATTCCAAGTGTTCAGGCATTTCTGACCATGACTATCATTACAGTCTTACACAATTCACCTAAAATCAGGAACGGGCTTCTTCGTGATTCCTAAGTTTGCGTTGTAAAAAGCTTCAATAGTTCCAATATCTTCCCAGTAGCCATCAAATAAGTAGGCCTGCACCTGATATTACCTAGTATTAGCATTTGGCAAGATACTTGGAGTTACGAATGAAAGGCATATGATGACGTTGAAAGGTCGGCTTCTTTAATCAGCGCTAAATAAGGGTCATGGTCTCAAGAGCAAGACCGAGCCGATATTCCAAACCCGTGAATCACTAATAACATCTACTCTGTTCGACTTGTAAACTCAGAAGATCGTCTACATATTTCATCCACACTGCATAAAATGACAGGGGCCATTTTAGGTGAGCAGGAACAAGAGGGGAAATGTAATGCTTAAAGGTGATAACCAGTCCGAGAAACGTCGGTACATACTTCAAGAAAACACTAGCGGCACGGAATAAGGGATTACCTTCATTCCGCTTTTCGTGGCTCCAGGAATCACTTCACTTCCGAAATCATTCGCCTCAGGAAAATCCTTTCGAAGCAATGAAACCATGGCCTCCTTGCGTACCACATAGATACCCATACTGGCAATGTACGATTTAAGTTTGGCCCTCTCAGAATCCAAACCCAATACAGTTGTGTCCACCTGCAAGTCAACTAGAGCGGGCTATGAGAACTACTCTTACGTCTAGCTTAGTGGACTGTTGTGCATCTCAAGTCAACTCTGTCTTTGTGCAAGATCTTTGACATACAGTATGCTTAGTTCCTGATATCTGCTCCGTCTTTGCAACCAGAAAAACGTCACTAGGACACAATTATGCATGAAGTAAATCTAGAATACATACCATACCCTCTATTTCAACATTTAAAGCGTTATGCATGTACCTGCATTGCCCTAAGTTCATCTTCCTTGGGCTTCTCTGCAAACTCGTAAATCCGACCTTTGCCATCAATTTTCATCAACCCAAATGCAGAAGCACGGGCTTCATCCATGGGTAATGCCGCCACTGTAATATCAGCCCCAGTATCACGATGCACTTGAATGAACTTTTGGTAGTCCATTCTGTACAAGTGATCTCCTCCCAAAATCACGTAGTCCATAACCTGGGCTTCTTCGAAAAGCCAGAGGTACTGCCTCACAGCATCGGCAGTTCCCTGTATCATACAACGTACTAGAGATGAAAAAATCTCCTTATCAAAAATAAAACTCTTGTTCTCTATTCCCCACTATCCATCTTCTAGGACGGGCACAGAATAGTGTCTCAAAAGTTCATAAAATCAGGAAAATCCAAAATTTCAATAACACCATTCAAGTTGGTAACAAAATCTGTACATCTTTGATTTGGTCCTGAATCTCAAGAATCAAGATTCAGACATGTCTGAGAAAGGAAACAAAGCTCGAGAGTCGATGACAGAAAAAGGACAAATTATACCTGGAACCAATTGGGATTGTCATGACTCTGCTGGGCAGCCAGAATCTCTACAAAACCCTCATTTCTATAACTCCCCAAGTTGGTAGCATATGCTCGAGACACGTGCTTGTTTAACGATGCAGAGTTGTATTGAGTGAGAACATAGATTTTATTGATGTTGCTGTTGATACAGTTACTCACTGGTATATCAATCAAACGGTAATTGGCACCTATCGGCACAGCTGGCTTGGCACGCTTTTTGGTCAAAGGATACAAACGTGTCCCTGCTCCGCCACCTAGAATTATACCAAGCACACTCTGCAGAAATGGATACATATCAAATCAGGCTAAGGTAATGCAAACTTAAAGACACACAAACACTATTCAGACGTAAGAAAAGTAGCAAACATTTCTCACTTGCCTCTGCAATGTTATAAGCCACTCAACAACCGTGAGTAATCGCTGCAATTGAACTTAATTTCAGAAGCACCATGTACCACGTAGTGCTGTCTGTAATGACATAAATATTTCAAAGAAGTTCAAAGAAGTTCACCGGAGGGGGTGGGGGGATCCTACGTGCATACAGAAGAACAACGTTGTGAATCATGCATACAAGCACAAACTGTATTTAAAATGAATGTGGGAGGTTCAGTCAGCAAGGGCAGAAGAGAGGAGAGTATGCCAAATTCATCTTGCAACATTTGAAACCCTAAAAGAAGAAAAAGAGAGCAAGAACCTCAGCCAGAACCAGTCAACCATGAATTGAATGTAATAAATCAGTGTGCTACAGGTAGAACCAACGAGTTTTGAAGAGCACAGACTTGTCGGCACAGCATTGTCCTGAAATGCTCTCCAGAGAGGGAGCTTACCCGACTGGCGTCGACCGAGTATAGAGAAGCATCGCCACCCACTGGATAATCTGAGATAGCCCGCGGGGAAAGCAACATTTTCCTCGAGCTCTGTTTTCCAGAGCTGAATAAATTCCAAGAGCTGTCCGCCATTCTTGTTCCTCCCAAAAAAGATTCACAAGAACCTAAACTGGAATAACTGCATTTAGCGAAGGAGCAGATTCTTGACCTGACGCTCAATTTGGACGTTACATTGAGGCTTGCAGTCTCGGAATTAATGATGGCGGTTGGCATCACTGCTGCTGTATATGCAACCGCCATCATGGCCAATTCCACAAACCGGCAACTGCTACGGATCGTTCAGGGGTTTCAAATGCATAAACCCTTCTCTATGTCGCTTACGTCCATTTCCCTAGAAGTAACCCCTTGAGTTACGACCTAAAACCCAACCACTTGTGCAATTAGTCCTCATCCATGACAACAGAAGCCATTCTCGGCCAATAATTGGTGGTTTAAGCCACAGCATCAAGGCTGTACCCAGCATCTGCAAAACACCATCCAGAGATTCATCTGCCTATACAGCAAGTTTACAAAAATGGCACCCTTCAAATTCAAGCCTCACACTTCCATTCTCTGGTCTCGATCACAACGCCCTACACCAACTCCACATCATCTTAAAAAACCATCAATACTCGGACCGCCATGCAAATCCAACACATTACATCCGCAGCAACCACTCTTACTTTCATCTCCCGAAGATTCAAAACCACCATTCTATTCAACAACGCCCTAAAAAAGAACAAGCACTCTAGCCCTCATCACAAGGCTCCATCCCATAGGAACCAGGGCAAACAAAAAAGAAATAATAGAAAAATAAAGAAAAAGAATAAAAGATACAAAGAAAATTCTTAAAATCCGCCACAATGTCAAGAAGAAGGCGAAGAGACAACAAATCATCAGTCGTATCAATTAAACCTGCTGCGATCTCTAATCAAGCCTCTACGACTGGACTCATCGAATTAAAACCAAACCAAACCAAACCACACGACTGCATTGTAACCAAATGACGTGAAACCGAATTCCACCTGCATAATACTCATGTGCCCTTGAGTTGTGTCCAATTCCAACAGACCAGATTAACTCCTATGAATCAACAGAAACAAGCGCTGGATCCACCGAGTTCATAGAAAGATTGAAGGCCCGAAGCGCCTCGCCTGCTCCGATGAGACGGGTAACAATGGGTCGACAAGTAATGGAGATTGCGAGGGAGCGAGCTGGCGATCGGTTTAGAAGACGATGCATAGCAAGACTGGCGGGAAGTCACAAGAACTGACTTCCCGCGGTCCTGGAAAGGAATGCCACGTCCTCCTCACGTCAACTGCCACGTAGGAAATGTTCTGCTTTCTGTGCCACGAGTTATCGCGGGAAACGTTTGGCTCTGCGTGAAATGCTTTTCCGGGCTGCTGCCCGTTACTCGTCGGAAGACGCTTGAAAGTTTTCCTCGCTGCCCTCAGGGAACTGATGATGTTGTTACTCATTCGTTGGAGGTCCTTGGATGAACGGAGAATTGGTTTTCGTGAGTCTGTTGGATGACCTTTGAAGTCAAATGTTCTTCTTCTCAAGAATTGAAATGTGTGATTCCATTGCAAATGAAACTAATTAATGAAAATTTTGAGAATACCACTTATTGAATTTGAACTCCAGGAATGGTATTCACGCACTTCGTGGATCACGATGCTATTGCATACACTTATTTAAAACATGTGGTTTGGTTTGGTTTGGTTTGGTTTTAAATATTAGGATTATTTCTTTGAATAATCCTAATATTTAAAACATATTTTTAACTTATTTAAACCACATGTTTTAAATATTAGGATTATTCAAGAAATAATTCTTAAAAAAATCTAAAATCGAAATTAAGAAAACTAAAATTGATACATTTTTTATATATATATAGTCGTACAACACACCACGTTTTTGTTTATGTGTTAATCAAAACATACAATTATCTCTCTTCTCATTTAAGTGTTAAAAAATTTAGCATGTATTAACGAATGTGATACTCACATTAAAGCATGGAAATAAATTATATGTCAAAACCTAAATTAAACTTTACTTCTATACTTCTTTTTCTTTTTCTTTTTTTCTTCTCTCCTAGACATTCAAAATTAAAATAAAAATAAAAAAATCTTGAAGATGATGAGATTTTGAGTTGGTTCGTTAATGAGAAAGAAAGAAAAAAACCCATTAATGATATTTACTACATAAAACTTAGTGACCAATGCTATTTTTTAAATTTTTAATTGTTTTAATTGGACTGGGTCACGGATCATTGGATCCAATACCAGACGACATGAAATACTAATAATTCACTCCTAGAAGAAAAAAGGTCTTAAAAACACTATCAAATCACAGTGTCAGTTCTCAATAATTCACAAGAGCAATGAAGTGTGTTTCGGAAGTCACAACACAAAAAAACACTAAAAGAAGGGGTCGATATTCAGAAATGTATGCTGTGGAGCTCTGTTCGAGAGGAATAGATCCTAGTCAGCAACATGTTTGGGGTTCATCCAATCAGATTGTTGGGTTTCTCCGACCACGTCATCAAATTAAAAATCCTAATTCTGCTGCGATCCCTAGCGAGCGAGCGAGGCTTTGCTTGCGAGTGGGTGGAATGACTTGATCAGCATCGAGACGCAGAGCGATTCAGAGAGCGAGGGAGAGAGAATCGTGAGGTGGGCAGTAGTAGTGTGGGATTGATTGGAGGCGATGGCGTCAGGGTTCGGGGTCACGGGGAAGAAAGGACGATGCTACGACGTGTGGATGGATTTCAGCGATTGTATGTCGCACTGCTCCATGCCAGCTGAGTGCACGTCCCGCCGGGACGACTACTTCGAGTGCCTCCATCACCGCAAAGAGGTCTGTCTGTCTGTCTCTCTCTCTATGGCCTTCTCTGCAGGACAGGACATTTGGGGTCCAACGGTGGAGGAGTGTGTGTTGCGATGGTGATGTGCTTTGACGAGTCTGGGTGGGTGGATTGCGTTTTGTTGATTCCGTGTATGGTGTGATGGTGCATCGGGTGTAGGGTTTGTTTCGTAGGAGTGAGTGCATCGAGCTGTAGGTTGAATGTTGGATGAAATTCAAGGCATTTTGATTTTTTGAGCTGGTCTTAGGATGCTAGGGAAGATCGAGCAATTGGTCCAAGTCGATCGAAATCCTCTCTAGGGTTTGGAATGTCTCATGGCTTTCTTTAGTTTGTACCGAATAGATATTGCACGCTTGCTTTTTGATCTGATTTGTCTCTTCGCCTCTCTCTCTCTCTTTTCTTTTTCCTTTTTGTTTTGTTTCGTTTTGTTTTTTCACTCTCCCTTAGAGGCTTCGAATGGCATACAGTCCTGTCTGTTTACAGCTCCTAGCACGTAGTTACTCTGTGGTCTGGAACAGGCGACGGATTTAGCAGTGTATGTTGGAATTGTTTTAGCCAGAGTACTGTTTTTCTTCTAGGAGTGAATTAGGTGTGGGGTGATCCCTCGTCGTGTCAATTGCATGCCACATTACCATACTCGAGTACAATGATTTTTCTTTTCTACGAGTTTAACTTAAAAGCTTCTGTGTTTCCTTCCTGCTTCTGTTTCTAGAACAACTTATTGGGGTGAAACCTTGGACGTGATAGATATGCTCTGACATTTAGTCTTGACTGCTTGTGCAGTACTCTAGGATGAACGCTATTAACAAAGAAAGAGAGCGGCAAGCTTTTGGAGACAAGAACCAAAAGCCTCATGGTAGTCCTGGTCATCATTGAAAAGAACCTCAAATGGTTTGCAGTTGATGGGTATGGTCATTGGGGTATTATTGAACCCGTGTAGGAGACAACCCCTCGTATTGCGTGTAGGAACGAACTTTGTGAATTGGTTTATCGAAATTCATGCTCCTTAACTTATTATGAATTGTATTTATCTCATAATTAGCTTGCGCCGTTGTCAAACTGGAGGACCACGGCTTCTGTCTCCCATTTGTCACTTCCAAAGCAATAAGATGCATTTCTGTGTCCTTCTCTGTGCTGTTTTGTCCGTAAAGTTGTATAATTCTCTTTTATTATTATCAATTGTTACTTTTGCGGTTCTTGTAAGTGAGTTTGCTGTTCTTCTTGTTGAAAGCTTTGTATATTTTATGCAATCCTGGCTACTTGGTGCTTCTGAAGTCAATGCATCTAACCAGGTGCTGGATTGAAGTGCCTTGTACAGGATTCCAGCATCAAGGTTACACAACTTTAACATCAATGTATTTATAGCAGATCTGACTCAAACTTAAATGATTCGTGCCTAACATACTTATCTACAGTATGAATTTTATACCGATCGACATTCTAATAATTTCACCCATGTCCATGTTCTGCAATGTTATTATCTCATCCTTCATTCTAATAGCCCTTGGCAATTTACAACTTCACGTTTTATCATTTATGGTCATTAATAGTTTACATATCATTCATAGTATATTCATAGTTTGCTCTTTTGTCAGTATTACTAATTTGTAGTTGGAACTGAAGGCAGTCCCAAATAAGGAGTTACCACTTTTACTGGAAAAAAGTGCAATGTCATTAATAATAAGACCTTAGTACTAACCAGATCACTTAATAACTTTTGTTGCCTTTTTTGTAGAAGCTCTAAAGTAAAAAGAAGAAGCTGTTTTCATTATTATACTTTTGAAATTGGCCAGAAACGTTTTCTTCTTCGAAGATACTAAAAAGAAATGTAATTCATAGTTAGTTTTTATCTCACCAAACATCAATAAATAAATATGTAATTGAGAGGATAATTTTTAACTGATATCTTCTACTACCACTCTTCCAGCAATAAATGGTTTTCTCAACTTCGACCGAGGTCAACCCCAATACTGTATACGAAGAAACACACCCAATAATAAACATTAACACCAAGTTCCAACATAGTACGGCGATAAAGAAGCAACAAAAGTGCTGCAACTGCTGAAAGAAACTCTGGATCCTACAACTGGACTAAGCTGATTCAAGGGAACAGTCGAACCTGAGTTGTTAAGATCTCTTGTAAATTTTGAACTAATACTACGCACATTATGATGGCTAAAGAGCACGCCACAGTACTGCAAGTATTGGAGTAATGGAGAAATGCGATGTGGTCCCAGCGGCGTAAAAGAAACATGGGTTGTGCTGTGTATGGGAAGGACTCTGTGTGATAAGGATTCTTTGAGTTGGAACCAGCACAACCTAGTTCCAGAGCCTTGTGCATCCAGATAGTGCGAAAATTTTGACGTCCGATAAACGTCATAACGTGGTTTCAAACATAAATTTCTTCTGGTAAGAATGCTTTTGACGTAACTAACAGCACTATTAATCCTGTTTGATCAAACCATATAGTGAAGACCGCTTCAACACGGAGATCTGTACTCGATTTCACCAAATCAAATCAATATCATGGGCAATTGTGTGTTAGTCACCTTGATTTTGACACTGAATTCCAACTATTTCTGAAGGAATTTTAAATAAAAAAACAAAAAACAAAACAAAACAGGAGAGCTTGAACAGTAGGGATAAGGACAGCATCAGTACAGCTCTATGACGTCGGTATCAAAAGCATCATAAATGAGGAAAACAAGAGTAAGACAATGGGAGCGATAAATTTCACAGATGCAGAGATATAGGATTTGATAAGTACGCAGTTGCGTGTCCTTGAAAGTACCAAAAAGATTAACAATGCTTGTCCCCATGGCAATTAATACGAACAGCTCATGCAGAAACGGAATTTCTGCATTAAAATGTTAACTACACCAAGATGAAAATGACAATCCGAGAGCTCGCATTAGCGGGTCTTGAAGATACTGAAGTGATATCAATATAGCCTCCTGCACACAATCACTACTAGGTTAGTATCTATAAGATGCTTAGGCGGTTGACTTTCAATCTCTGAAATTACACTAGTTTCAAATGACTCAGAGTACCGGTCCTCGGAATGCTTTTACGAAGAAGTTCTTAATTACCTCGGTGCGAATTGTCCGACTTCCTTGTCCTGGGCATACATTGAGGTAGATATTGAACAGATCCCGCACGTCTGAAACCTGAGATTTTCTTTAAAAGATCAGTATAAGGCATTCGTGTTTGGTCCAGTTACCCCTTCAAAGGCGACTATCATTTTCAAACGCTGTAAGTTCGCAGCACGTATAACACACAAGTATTGAAATTTCTGTAAGCGATCTTATCGCCAGATGTAGGCTTTTGCTTTGGGCTAAATGAAAATCACTTACCTCGATGGTCTTATCTAATTCCTTGCTTTCTTCCAAACCCGCAACTCCTCCAAACACGACCAAAAGGTGCCTTAAATCATACACAAAACAAAAAGATAAGAACACATCCAGCTTCCATTGTGTGCCAACAAGGCCAACCACCAGCCATGTAATTATCTCACTTTCTTACATGCGCAACAAAAGGACACTGTATGAGATGGGTTGGGCTTAAGTGAATCCCACTCCAAAACATGTCATTCGACCATAATAGGTCGATAGGAAACCTCGATTAAAAAAATAAAAAAAAATTGGAGAAACTATTGTTGGGCTGTGTGTAGCCCTCAGTCAAGCCTCAACGACAAAGACTTGTTCCACAGCCATTCCATTATTCTAGGATGCTTCTCGAATTGTACATTTCTCTCTCAATGCACAATTTCTAAGGTGATCCAGTTTGGTGTAAGCATGTATCAGCTTATATTTCTGACACTGTTTCTTAGCCCAAATCCCGAACTTATTTCAAATGTTAACTATCAAACATTCGTCGTAACTTTGAAATAGTAGTATTCCGGAATCAGCGTAAACAGAGAGCATGCAGGACGAGCATAACTTACTTGAACTTGGGCAATACCAGCTCTGAGGAACTGACCTTCACTCCGTGCTCTGATGTGCCGATTACGTAGTCATACCCATTCTGCATTTCAAGCAAGTAATGGGTTCAAAATTATGTCAAGTTCACAACAAATAAATTAGATAGAAATGGATATCAACTTTGCAGCTTGTACGTTCTAAATTTGTCGAGCTAAATACAGAAGTTGAATGACGTTGAGCTATATAACACATCCAAGAGCAATTAAATGCGATCCGTTTCTATGCGATCCAAAAAGAACTAAACGCTTAGACATACTGGGAAAGGGGATTCAGATATGGCAGTGCTTAAGCTTGAAGCGTGCCGCACAGCGTAGCCCCAGTAATGACCTTTGTCCCTTGGCTCTGATTTTGGCACAACCTCAAGAATCCTCTGTTCACCTGATATCATCAATCCAAACCCAAAATCATTACTACCCAGATCACGACCCCAAATCCATTAAGAGATATCCTTCACGGATCGGAAATGATGCGCAAGTCAAACGCCTATTAGAATTCAGAAGAGGCCTAACTTGCCAAAATAACACGGATAGTCAAGAGACAATACCACGAAGAATGACTTAAGATGCTCATTACATGTTTGCATCAAACGACTCAAACATGAAGAATATTACAAGCCTCGAATAAATTCGACGGATTTGACGCTAACAATATAAGGGATTAAATATAGATTTACTGACAAGATATGCCTTCGAATACAATCTGAAAGGCTACCAAACATTTAATAACGAACAAAGACTTGAGTCTACTATTTCAAATTAACCATAATTTTATTTGTCAGTAAAATCAATGACAAAGCTAGCAAGAGATCACACATACTACAGAGAAGTACACGAAAGTCTTCACCTGGATTAGGACGTGACTCTCCCATTTTCACAGTAACTCGGGTGCCTGGTTGTAAATTTTGTCGGATAACAACATCCTGCACTAACAAAGCCAATTTCATATACTCAAGTATTATTTAAAAAACACATTCTTCATTTTAAATTAGCCGAAATATTATGTACAGTGATTAACTTAGGCACCTATATAATTTCAAAGGAACACATCTGTGAGGATTTATGATAGGATAATAATGAAAAGAGGGGAACGTGAAATGGAAGACATGTCACAAGGACAAAAATAGTACCTCGAACAAACCAACGTTCACACAGCTACCACCACCAGGTGAAGGTGGCTTGGTTGTTACAGCACCTGTATTGGAAACGTCGAGAAATGCATAAGCTACAACTCACGCATTCCTCAATTTCACGTATTCTGACTATGACATATACATTATTGAATGAAGGTCTAGATTGCTTGTCGAACTCAAAATTAGACTAAACCAAGAATCGAACTTACAGAAATTCCTTTTTCAATACAATACATTCGTGTCGGATTCACACCTTCTCGATAAGGTATCCACTCATGTTTGCGGGCTTGGTGAGGCACGTCTAAAGGAGGCAGACTTCCCTGTCATCAGTAAGATCCCAATCCATGAGGACGGGAAGATTGTGCCTAACCAACACCATTTCATTCTACTGTACGATTCTAGCATATTGCAAAACTTCATTACACGTCAGAAAGGAATCAAGGCTTTTAGAATAATTGACTTCGGCCATGTAGAGTGGTGCATCAGAACTTCTCCATCAAGATGAATGTATAACTCAGAGTTAAAATTCATACCGCACACTGGAGGCTACGGTGCTTGGGGCATAGCGTTAGTCTAAGATATTGCGGAGTTTCCATGTACTTCAACAAGCGGCATAAAAAGCTCCCACTGGTTTCGGTAGCACCCTCGCTCCACTTAGGAACCCGACTGCCTTCATCACCATCGTCGAATACGACTATCTGCCAAAACAAGGATCATCACATCAAAACCACTCGAACAGCTTCCTCGGCAAATTTCAAAGCAGCATCTACTATTTTAACTAAATACCAATCACCCAAGACATCCACCTCTCAGAGTAAGCATCTCTCAAGCCCTAGCAAGAATGTGCACTTTGATGGTGATAAGCTGATAAAAACAGATACCTCATCAATCCTGAAAATAGCTGCAGCTCTTGCAATTTGCCCGGCAAGCTGCATAATCAATTAAAAAACAGACTGTCAGATAATACCCTACGGAAGGCTTGTAAGAACGAAAATTTTGTCATTGATTGGCCATCCTTACTAACCATCAACAGAATCTGCATGCTAAAATAACCCAGCTAATCCTCACACGGAAAAGTAGCCATTGTTGTTCTCAATAGTGCTAATTCAAAACCAGTTACTAGACAATGTGACTAAATCCTAAACCCTAAACCCTAAACCCTGACAATCAGTGTGAAAACTAGATGCCACAAAACCAAAAGGAAACCAGACAGAAAACAAAAAAACGGACGCACACACCCGGCTGGCAAGCACAAGCGACTGCGCATTATCGACAATAGATCCCGCAACCGCCATACTAATCGTAAACCTCCCAGAAGGCAACGCTACATCGGCAACAGCATCCACACCCTCCCTCTCTCCGCCATTTCCAGCCGCATCCTCGCCCTCCACCACTCTCGACTGCTCCGTCTTCTCTTCATTCCCATCCGACCCATTCACCACCTCTACTCCCTTCCCCTCTTCTGACACCGCCTTCTGCTTCTTCTGCTTCTTCTTCTTCGCCTTCTTGCCGCTCCTCTCACTCTCCTCCCCGTTCAACCGCACGTGGACGGTCGCATCGGAGGCATCGGGCTCGCTCTCCTCGATCCTTCTCTTCGACTGCTTCTTCTTGTGGTGAGGCTTTCTTTCAGTCTGCTCCACTTCCAACCTCTCCGACTTCGCGGCGGTGCCATGGTTCGCGTCGTCGTCATGCTCGAGAAGCTGGACCTCTTCAGATTGGCGCTTGGTCTTTTTGCCCTTACGATGCTTGGGATTGGCCTTGGGATTGGGGCTGTGTTCCGCCATCGCCACGCCCTTGTGAGCAACGACGCAAGCTCTTCCGGAACACGCACCCTTCTTCAGTCGGGTATGGGATGTCCCGCGGTCTTAGGATCGGGGCCCGTATCCTGTTCGCATTCGCATTAGTATATAACTTTGTACCGTATAGTATCGTGTTCGACATCCTATCCTCACGTCGGTTATTGTGTTGGGTGGCACCTCGAATCTATTTAGTTGGTAAATTTTGCTTAAAACAATTAATGGAGCATGATCGAACTACATCATAAGACCAAAAAATAATATAAAACCTCATTTCTTTAGAATTTGGTCATTTCTTCTTCTTCTTTTTTATTAATATGTCTTGGGTGGTGTTTTTAGTGTAGATTGTAATTTTTGAATTGTGTCTTAGATGGTTTGAAATTTATTTATTTATTTGTAGGGATGTTGTTTAGAGTGAATAAACTAACTTGCATGTTAATCTTGGGGCATGGAAAGGATGTGCCTTTAATTCTCATTTGGTTGCTGTGGATTGTTATTCAAGCAAGTTGAACTTCTTACATGGTATAATATGATGTGTGATCCATTTTCAGTACCTATTCATCCAACATCATTTCATCCATGAAGTGAATGAAAGTGATGTTTCATCCATCAATGAGGACAAGTTCAGACAACAAGCCTGCGGCGACTGAACTGAGCCCTGTTGAGATCATTAAATGTAACCGATGCTCTCCATAATATTTACTGTAGACTACAGTAAATTACTATAGCTATAGTATTTAGAGTCTAGTGGAGAAGTACTATTCATCCTCTTCTCTTCTCTCTTCTTGCATACGAGACACAACCAGATGAATAGATGTGTATGTGTGTGAAGCTCTCTCTCTTTAGAAACCCTCTTGTGTGTATGACTTACTACTACTCTTGTGTGTGTATGACTTACTATTACTCTTGTGTGTGTATGACTTACTACTACTCTTGTGTGTGTATGACTTACTATTACTCTTGTGTGTCTATGACTTATTACTACTCTTATGTGTGTGTATGATTTACTATTACTCATGTGTCTTTCTAAACATTCTCAACACGTTATCAACACGATTCTCTTCTACACACTATAATATTTTTTGCTCTAGTCTTTGACTCTTCAAACCTGTTGCTACCTTTGCTCAGTGTCTGGGTCATGATCTTGTTCTTCTTGCTGGCCCCTCACACATTAGCTGCTTGCTTAGAGCACTTGTTTCACTCCCTCCCTTGCTTGCTCTGAATACTTGAACCAGCCCAACTCCACCCTCTACTTGCTCTCTGCCGCCGAACCCCTACCGCTACCGCCCGCTGCCGCTTGTCGTTGTCCGCCGTTGCCCACCATTGCTATCCGCCGCTGCCACCCTGCCGCCCTACTGCTGCCTGCTACTGCCATCTTATTGTTGTTTTGCTGCCTTAATCTACAACTCTTTCTTCTTACAAAAAAAAATTATATAATTTTATTTTTTCAAGTTCAAGTTTATCTTTTTATTTGACTTTATATTTTAAGGTACGTTTTACTCAACTTTTCTACTTAATCTTGTATTTTCTTTACAGATTTATTTAAAATGAGTGCTTCAACATCTTCAACTGCTTCTACTATGGTTCCAACTATTACTAGTACATCCCAACATTTTCAAGCTCTTTTATTTCTACCATTGACTGTGGATGAAAACAATTATCTATTATGGACAAAAATGGCAAAAGCAAATTTATTTACAAAACAACTTTCAGATGCCATTATGTTTGAAGAATCTCCTATAACAAGTATTTCTATACCTCCTGCCATTCGTTGGAAAGCACTTCTTCTCCTTCGTCGTCATCTTGTACCTGCATTACAATATCAATATTTGGAAATGGAAGACCCTACAAAACTTTGGAAGAATCTTAAATCTAGGTTTGATCATCAAAAGACCAATTTCCTTCCACCTGCATGTCATAATTGGATATATTTACATGTCTTGGATTTTCCAAATTTAAATGCTTCCAATAGTGAAATATATAGTATTATCTCACAATTACGATTATGTGGATAAAGTATTTCTGAAGAAAAAATGATTGAAAAAACTCTCTCTATATTTCTTCCTGCATCAGATGTGCTTGCACAATAATACAGGAGCATGAAATTTCAGAGTCATTCTGATCTCATGTCCTATCTACTTCTTGCAGAAAAGCAAAATGAGCTACTCTCACGCAATGCGGAAGCTTTTCCTATTGGAACTACAGTTCCAGAATCTCATGCACTTAATATTTCAAAGTCTAAGAAGAAATTATATAAACATGGGAAACGTGCTCATAAGTATCAAGGTAGTCATAGTCAAGACCATTTCTACCCATATGGAAAGAATAAATGTTCTATTATTAATTATAGTAGAAAACAAAAATCAGAGATGCATTCTTGCCATAAGTGTGGAATAATTGGATATTTAACACATGCGTACCATACTTCAGAATATTTTATTAAAATGTTCTAAAAAAATAAAAAATTACGAGCTGAGGCTCGTGAAGTTCATACCATAGATGCCTCCATGGATTCAATTGGTGTTGATGATTTAGAGGCTTATTGTTACGGATAAAGAAATACAAACTTGAGATCTAACAAGAAGTTGAAGAAGAACTGGAAAAGAACTAGATTAAGCAGATGAATACAAAAACAACACCAAAGAGGTGAGCTAGAGCTCCAAGAGATATATTATCAAGACTCAAGAACTCTTCAGCCTCGATTCCAATATATACTCTTATCTAGGAAGCTTCTCAAGCAACTTCTACCAACTAAGAAGCTTCTAAAAGGTTCCAGAGACTTGCTTCTAGAAGGTTCTAGAAACTTATCTCTAGAAGGTTCTAAGGACTATGTCCCTAACATCTTCTACTAATTAAGAAACTTCTAGAAGGTTCCAGAGACTTGCTTTTAGAAGGTTCTAGAAACTTGTCTTTAGAAGGTTCTAAGAACTATGTCCCTAACATCACCCTTTCTTTTAGCTTCGAGGTCTCCGAGAAGCAATGTTGTTGTTAATCAGTACCAACGCAAGAAAATGAAGATCTGTCGCATAATGTCTGTTATGAACTCCAACTGTTGTTTACGAGGTAAATAGTTCATCGGCCCTTGAAGCCAATGGTAGTGGCCCACTCCTTCGACTTCTGACCAAGCATGAACTTCCATGTCCTCATTGTGAAATTGTCCTGCAAACACGCCTTCTGGCTAACCATCGTAAGTAGGCTCGAACTCAAATACAATCACCAGTGATCGGTTACTCAGTATCCTCCGTCATCGTCGTGGAGTAGGCGGTTCTTCATCTTGGGGTCGCCTTCGTGAGCTAGTCAGTTGAGATAATTTGATTAGCATAGTATCTATCTCTTGGCTATCCATATCAGAAAACCAAACTATGGCTACTAAAAAAATTCTACTTTATCTTGGAGAAAATAACTACATCAACTACGAATTTTGGTGGTGCTCTCCCCCTTTCTTATATTCTTAGATGAGCAAGCTTCAGAAAGAAGCTATCGTCAAACCGACTTAGGTTTATGAGGATGTTGTTGATGAAACTCCTGTATCTTTTGTGGCACATTGGCAAGATTTTCAGCTGGCTCCCACGTTCACTCATTAATGTCATAGCCACACCAATGAACAAGATACTCCAACTTGCCCCACCTTCGTCGTGAATCCAATACCTTTTCAACCTCGTATTCCTCGTGATTCTCAATCTCAATACTAGGTGGCGGACATTGCACTCTTCTAGGAAAAGACGACTCTCGATAAGGTTCCAACAGAGAAACATGAAAGACTGGATGTACCTTCATAGAAGTCGGTAATTCTAGACGGTACGCGACTGGATTGATTTGCTTCTGCATAATAAATGGTCCCAATCTTCGATAGTCCAACTTATCACATGATCGCTTGGTCTTGATATTCCGTCGAAGAAGCCATGCTTTATCTCCAATTTTGAAAGTAGGTGCTTGATTCCGAAATCTATCTGCAGACGTCTTATAGGATTCTTGAGCGGATTGTAATTGAAGCTTCAACATATTTTGAAGCTCTGATAGTTGTTTCGCAAATCCTTCAACTGCTGGATTGTGATTTGTTGACGGACTTAGCAAATCAAGCTTCGGATGATACCCATAGTTGGAAAAGAATGGTGTGTATTGAGTCGATGCATGAAGGGTGTTGTTATATGCAAACTCGGCTAGCGGTAGATATGTGGTCAAATCATCTTGCTGATAGTTGATGCTGCATCGTAAGTATTATTCTAAGACTTGATTCACCCATTCCGTTTGGCCGTCAGTTTGAGGATGAAAAGCCGAAGAAAGCTTGATATCCACCTTCAGTATCTCAAAGAGAGATCTCCAAAACTTTGATACGAACTGGGTTCCTTGATCTGATACGATATCATCTGGTAGTCCATGATATCGATACACATTATCGAGAAAGAGCCTTGCTGTGACTTCACTAGATGATGTCTTCTTGCAAGGGACAAAGTGCGCCATCTTTGTAAGCCGATCTACCACAACAAAGATGCTGTCAAATGAGTTCGATGATGGAAGGTCCGTGATGAAGTCCATGGAAATTGAAGACCATGGTCGATGTAGAATCGACAATGGCTGTAAGAGTCCATAAGGGTGATGCCCAGGATTCTTGGATCTTGAATAGATGTCACAGGAGAGGACAAAATCTTTCACATTCTTCCACATTTGGGGCCACCAAAAATCTCGAGAAATAAGCTCTAAGGTCTTGTTGAATCCAAAATATCCTGCAGCTGGAAAATCATGGCGAGATTGAAGAACTCGGAGTCGTGCTGGTCCTTTTGGGATATACAACCGCTCCTCAAAGTATAAAAGATCTCCCTCCACCTTGAACTTGTCGTCATTGGCACGTTACTTGATATTAATGGCTATTGAATCTTCAATGGTCACAACATGTACCTAATTCAGGAAGTCAGCATCAATTGGCACAATAGTAGCGCAAAGTCGAAATTGCTCTAGCTTAAACAACGTCATACATTGTTGATTAAATGCTACTTCTCTAGCCTTTGGTATAAGATACGATTTCCTCGATA